TGATTTATCACACCTGCACATATTCAAAACTTCAAACGTGTGTTAGTTACATTTCGCCTCCCGGATGTGTATGCGATGACGTCTTAAAAACTGCGACATGTACCAACAAACATCGTCGAACTAGGAACGGATGAATATAACAGATCCGTCGCTGACACCTAACCTCGCGCGCCATTCCAGATGCTAACTAGTGAATTCCGAAGAATACTATGTTACTGCGCCCTCTGTGTAGTTTTGTTGTTCCTCGCGTGCTACTTCGTGGACTTAAGGCGTGCGTGGTACAAACTTTTGTTGCACGCGTTCTACATAGCGTGCGACATGCTCAAGTTGCTGATGAAGCTGGTGGAGCTGTACTGAAGATGCGCCGCGACGGCTACGGTAATGTTGTAACTAGGGATAATGCTGGTGGTAGGGCCACGCAGCAGCCTCGGCTGTTGCACGAATGGGCAGGCTCGTCCGGGTCAGTACCACGACCTCATAGAAGACTGGCGTAAAGTGGAAGTATAATACTTTCGCGTTTCGTCGGGTGAGTGAGGTGGCCAAGCCCGATTTGAAAAGGTTGTCAACACATATGGAACCCTCGAGTGTAGCAGATGTCCATGGGCGGCGGTATTCACTTAACATCAGGTGAACCGTCTGCTTGTTTGGCAACTTTTCACATAAAAAAATAAATGCTGTTCGTGTATGGGTGATGGAGAATGATTTTTGGTACAGATAACGGAAATGTCTCTTATATATAAACCTTTTAAATAAACTTTTAGTCCATGTGTCACAAGATCTAAACAAAATATTTGATATTAAATATTGTTGAACTGCGCAATGCTAAAGTATACTTACGAGGGCTTTGATCAGCTAGAAGAGTATTATAAACCTTTAGCATTCAATGTCTTCGCATTTATGTTTTACTATTATCATTATTTGTATTAAAGAATGTGAAAATATGTACATCATTATGTATCGAGTTTGGGATACTAACTTGTATTGCTCATGGATAATAAATAGTATTTACTATATGTAAATGACCAGTGACTTTAACGGTTACTATTGCCAATTTAGTAAGCAATGAAAGGAGTCATGGCAAATGAATAAGGTCGGCACGTAACATCGGAGAAATATTAGAGCTTGTAAGATGAATCTTCGACAGATCGAAGATGTGAGCAACGCAAGATCGATTCGAGAGAATTTCAGCTTTATTTTAAAAAGATCTAAATAGAACTTATAAAACCGGCCAAGTGCGAGTCGGACACGCGCACAAAGGGTTCCGTACCATTATGTATAAAAACTGCAAAAAAAAAAAAAAAAAAAAACATGTTTGTTGTATGGGAGCCCCATTAAATTTTTTTAATCAGTTTTTTAGTATTTGCTGTTATAGCGGCAACAGAAATACATCATCTGTGAAAATTTCAACTGTCTATCACGGCTTATGAGATACAGCCTGGTGACAAGTGGACAAACAGACAGCGGAGTCTTAGTAATAGAATCAAAATAGAATAAGTAGAACATTTGTAACAAAATATTTGACTTATTATGGCCATGACACACTTAATTCTCTTCACATGCCACCACTGTATCTAAGCAAGTCTCCAATCCTAAAGCGTGTCCGTAACTTCATCTGAAAATTGCGCGACACTAGAGATAATAAATTCTGGAATTATTTCGAGCACCCCGCATTAGCCCCAAGGTTGCCGATTGTGATTTGTTTAGGCGCCGCCCGCCGACTCGTTCCGGGAACCCGAAAGGTGTGCATTGTTAGCGGAGAGTCTGTTTGTTTTCGATAGTGCTAACGGCTGCCGTGTTCACCATCGGTTCCGTTTATTCGCCAGTGCTTTATAAAAGTATACAAACAAATGCGTACATAAACAGGCATATTTCCTCAATGAAACGACGCTCGCTAATTTCCGCCTGTGATTTTTGTCCTGCCATAATTATAGCCCGTAGAACCGATCACCTTTTTTGTTATTTGAGGGTGGGGGAAATCATGTCATCCCTCCCATCACAGGGTTGGTTATGTGGGGTTCGTACCCACTAAAACCGGCTCAGTCACCTCCTTTGGAAATCTACTTTTCGGAATTCTACTCAGGGATCTCCTTCGGAAAGCACCGGTGTCCCTCAGTATTGCGCATGAGCACGACTCTTGAGATAGATAAGCCTTCCCCGATTCCCTCACTAATTCACTGGGTTTGTTGAGTGTGGCAACTCTCCTCTTTATTAAAGGTGGCAACGCATCTGCAACCCTATGGCTGTTGCAAAAGTCCGTGGGCATCGGTTAACACATAACATCAGGTGAAACGCCACTTCGTTTGTTCTCACATAAAAAAGGCGACTAGGGGGGTGAGCCAAGGAGCTTTCCATTTTTCGAGTTTCCTTAATGTGTAAAATTAATTCGTATTGGTACATCTGGTACAGAGACAGGCCAGCCGTTACTTGTAGGATTTTGATAGTGAATGTTTGTTTTATGTGTACTTAACTTGTTGTAAACAATGCGCAATGGTTTTCGTGAATTTCGCTTGGTGAAAGCTGATGTTTGTGAGATTAATCTTAGAATTGCTAATGTTCACGTTAGCCGTTGTTGTAGCAGATGCATTATCATCAATCAAATTGTAATAACAAATATGCGATAGGTATTTATCGGGCTGTATAGACGTATGGCACCAGGGTACTTACAGCTTTTAGTACTTAGAGAATCCGCGGCCCAGATGCGTTGTGATAAATTGCCCGACGGAGGAGGCAAACACTGTATGTCTATAAATATTTTTCATGGCGTGTGTTTCTTAATGGATAAGAAAACAAATGAGCAAGCGGAACACCTGACGGTAAATGATCACTTCGCGCATGGACTTTAGTAATGGCAGTGAGGATGTAATTCTAATTAAGATTTTAATTGAACGCAGTACGTCGCAACCGTAATCCACGTGGCTGCAGTTGCTTTATAGATATTTAGTTTAGTAGTTTTGACCACGTTTACCTCACTCGACGAGATACAAAAACGTGAATACTCATTAGGGTAAAACACGCTTTTGTTCGTATGTTCCTGTCATATTTTTGATGTTGCGTTAAGATCAATAAAACTACGCGTATATTACCCTCTCTTTCACAGCGCATTTTATCTGGCGAGCTGATTCATTCAAAAGCAAAAGCTGTTCCGTGGCTCCACAAAAGTAACAAAATATAGCAATATTACTTTTCTAGTTGTTTTGTGAAACTAATTGTTTTTACGGATCAATACGACTCAGACACTAACGCCTGGTTTCTGAAACACCGATCATCGTAGATGTCAACTAATCGGTTGTAAAATGGCTCATCATTTTAGCTGCCAAAAGGATGGTTAAACTCTCTGAATTGCCCTGAATGATCTTAATGATTAGAATGATCAATTCAAAGAATTTAACCATCCTTTTGGCTACACAAATGAAATTTGAAAAGCATTTGACAGTTGATTAGTTGACATCTACGATGATCAGTGTTTCAGAAACCGGGCGTCAGTCTCTTCCTGTCTTAAAGACCGGCAATTCTTTAACAGCTCTTATTCTGAATGTTCATGAACGATTCATCTTCCATTGTTCATTATTTTTTTTTGGAAAATCCTGCTATATGATGAGACAACGCCCAGGTCCAGATTAATTATTTGTAGATCATACAACTACTTTACCCAGAATAGAACCTACGACCCGCGGCGCTGAAGTCCATAGCTTTGCAAATGCCGCAGCAAAGTCATCAACTTACCATTTATCAGTTGAGGCGCTTGTACCTTAGGCATTTCTTCCATACAAAAAATTCATTTATGTTGCCGACATGTTTCCCATCCCAATTGTATAACGAGTCCTGTTTAAAATAAACACACTGAGCATTGTAGTGTTTTTTTTACAAATAACTTGGCTATGCTGAAAAATTTTCCATTTTCATGTTACAAATATTTCTGTGAAATCTATCGACATCGACACATCCCTTTGTTTTGAATAAAAAAAAATACTGGCAAACAAGCCATTGTATCCCGCTAGAGTGAAACAGTAGTCTTAATAACCACAAATAACAAAAGGGGATAAAATTAATAATTTTACTTTGCAGATATTTCGTTGTACTATTAGCTTTCTCCTTTTATGACGAATAAAAATATAATGTAGTTCCGATGTTTAGAAAAACAAAAAAGAGAAAAGCGAATTCAATCAGAAACAACTTGGATTTTACACCACCCGGGAAAGTTTGTAATATATTAAAAAAAATAATAATCGTTTACGCATAAATTTGTAATGTATTTTAGAATTAAATCATATTTTAAATATAAATTTCGTAAACAATTTCTGTAGGTAGGCGAAATTGATTACCTATAGAGTGAGATTGACACCTCTTGTTTGTTCCCTTTTGACAACTAAAGGGCGTCAAACGGTATCGAACAATACCCGTTCGCCCTTTTATTAACTTTACAATATGCCTCGGAGCACGGAAGTGAGTAGCTGATACGTCGAAGTAGGCAAAATAAATTCACAATAGACTGCGTTGCTCGCTTACAGATTGTAATATTGCCTTCGCAATTATCACAAAATAATAACCGCTATGTTCTATACACAACGAATATTATTTTGTTTAGCCAGTCTGACGAAGATGTGACAAAAACGCTCATCTTAACACAAACTAGTTCGACTTAAAATTTCAGTCCACGTACTTACCAATAAATCTGCAACTGCTGTCTAATATCCGGAGCGAAAGAACTGACAGGGCAACTATAAAATTTTGTATGTATCAATAGATGTTTGTTACTCTTTCACACAAAAACTACTGGATAGATTTTAATGAAACTTTACAATAATATAGCTCATATACATATTTTTATGTATATCTGTCTTTCTGTCTGAATGTTACGCCTTCAGCCTATTCTACGCGGACGTAGTCGCGGGCAGCAGCTAGTAACAGTATAATTGTTGGATGATGTTTCTGAACTTGAAATCAAATTAGATGCTTCTTTCGCAGGTGTAGTTGCATGGTGGGGTTAAGGAGGAGGCAACATGGGGGACAGTTTCTTACATCTAGGGGACATCGTCTCCCTATACGCGGAGGGCAGCGTATCAGGGTTTCTCAGTACTTTGGGGTAAGTGTCAGCGCTGCAAATGGTTGAACTAACTAGCTTTACACTTTGAGTCATCGTAATCAATTAAGTGTTCGGCGATAAGTTCCAATTATCAATGTAGAGTACTCCCGTATGACCTTTCTGAAGCAATGAAATATGACAAGTTCATACAGACCTAGATGTCTTCATGTCAAACTTTTATTCGTTAATTTTGATAAGAATAATACTGACTTATTTCGCTGTCATGGCACTAAAAGACGCCAATGTTCTCTTTTCTGGGCTATTCCTTGCCAATGGGCTGACTGGACAGCGCTCAGATAAGAATAATAGTTACAAGTTTTTGCATTATAACATACCATTTGTTATCACAGGTTGGTAGATGACAGATGCGTGGTTTGCCCCGAAGCCGGCGATCTGACTGATCCTCCCAAAAAGTTCCGAGGTAAGTTGAAACAAATATACCCGGAGATCATTTAAAGAAACTTAACACAACGTGCCCTTGGGGAGGCCTATATCCAGCAGTGGACTGCAAAAGGCTGATTGGATTGGATTGGATAACACAAAAGAAAGAAAGATAGCGAGACTCTTTCGGCTGTGATGAAAGTCCCTGAAGTCTTTGATATATTAATTGCATTTTGTTGTCATTTATTATACGGTTATATTCATTTGGTACGAATCAATAAAATATTTTGATACCCTTTTTGTAATAAAAATGTTTACATTAAAAACAACCACAACTTGAAATGTCAGTTTCCAGCCTCCAATACATTTTCGTAATACGCAGACGCAAACGACATTTATAGACGGAACGTATTCCGTCTATAAATGTGGTTTAAGGTACACGTCCACGTGTCAGACTAGACAGTACACGGATAATGCGGCGCAGTTGCCAAGATATTGACTTCGGGGCCGTGGGTTCGCAGGCCCGCAGACAGTTGTTTCGCATCTGGGTGTTTGCCCGCGTGAAATTTATGTTGGTAAAACGTTAAAACACAGGATGATGTTATCCCAAAGTAAGGGCAATGTTTTTAAAATAAAAAAGAAATAGTGCGTGGAGTCCCTCCGCACGGAAGCAGTGAAACTTCGAGTGCCACGCATTCACTCTCGCTCTGTCTCTTTCTATTCGACCTCCCCAGGATCGAAGAACGTTCAACGCAACAGTGCTTTCGTCCCCCTCCATGGTAGCGTTAAACTTTTAACGCAACCTTGTTGGAAGTCGCATTAGAAGTTTCACTTAACTTAAAAAAAATAAACGCACACGCTGCAGATTGCCTGTTCAAGATATGCCCCATGAACCGGTACTCTGCTCAGAAGCAGTTCTGGAACACCGCCAAGCAGTCGGCCAACGCGAACGCCGACACGGACACTGGACTGCTGAAGAGGTTACACGTAAGTAACCCTGAAACCTCATGCTGTTAAATAAATAAATTAATATACTTGTAGGCGAGCCTTCTTCAGGATCGGCCATGGTTACTTACTTGGGCGTATAGGCGGAGAACAAGATAAATTACTTAACTTTACAAATAATAACTCAATTTACACTTTATTCCCGAAATTAATCCGCTGCAATTAAAATATTCACTTTTAATCACAATTAGTAGTAATTATTTTATGACTAGGCGGAACAAGAGCGATCCGTCGAAAGTGTGGTGCGCTCCCGATTGCGGTTCCTAATTGAATTCCTAATCGTTCCACTAGAAATGACAACTGTCAAATCTAGTCTGTCCCACGGACATCTGCTACACCCGAGGGTTGCAGACGCGTTGATAATCTTTTGAATATTGGGCTCCGGCTACCTCACTCACCGGACGAAACGCGAAAGTATTATATATGGACATATTTTCACACAACGTTAACTAGTCCCAAGCTAAGTAAACTTGCACTATGGATGCTGGGTAACTGATGAATATAGTTAAACATTATTTTGTAATTAAATGCATGTTCATCATCTTCCTGCCCTTATCCCACCTGGGTAGGATCGGCACGACATGTGAATCATGCCGTAAGCGGTTTTGGCTATATTTTTTTCGACTGGTCGCCTGCCTGACTTCAACCCTCTATGGGAAACAAACACCCAGATCCGGAGCGATTTTGTGTGGGTCACACAAATACTTGTCCCGTGTGGAAATCGAACCCACAACCCTCGACGCTGAAGCCAATAGCTTAGCAACGTCGCCACCGAGTCTTCGTCCTGCTGTTGAATAAATATATCATATATCGGGACATATTTTGACACAACGTTATCTACTACCAAACTGAGAAAACCATCATGTTGAGTGCAAGTTCTAAGACAAAAGAAAATATCTTAACTACATAATATGTAATATTAAAAATATTGGAATATAAAAAGGTCGCCGAACTATATTTAGCTATTTTTCCAAAACTTAAAATGATCTACTTCAAAGTTATGATTCAAATAAAATAGACATTATAATATCTTAATGAAAACATACTGTTACTTTTAATGAAACTAGATTTATTTTCATTTGGAATCAACGATAAGTCTATTAACGTCCCTTGGATGAGAAATCGTCAAAGATGAAACTCTTAAATCATAACTATACAGAAACTTGTTTGTTTATGCTTCTTTGTTGAATGTTTATTCACACGTCAAACCTTATTTCCGTTTAAATAGATCCGAAGACAGATCCGATGATAATTCAAATGAACCGATCGCGGACGTCAAACGGTCTTTGGTGTCTATTTGGTGTAATTTTATTTTCTTCGCTATTTTTAGGGTTCCGTATCCAAAGGGTAAAACGTGACCCTAAGACTCCGCTGTACGTCTGTCTGCCCGTCCGTCTTAATTGTCACAGATGATCCGTCTGTCACCAAGCTGTATCTCATGAGCCGTGATAGTAAGACGGTTGAAATTTTCACACATGACGTATTTCTGTTGCCGCTATAACAAATACAAAAAACAGAGTAAAAAATATTTAAGTGGGTCTCCAATGCAACAGACATGTTTTTTTTTCTGTTTTCATAGATAATGGTACGGAACCCTTCGAGTGCGAGTCCGACTCGCACTTGGTCGGTTTTGTTCGCACCGGTTTTGTCTAATTCAGCTAACCAAGTTTTAGTGAGGTTAACTATATCTTAATTAGTGTAAGCTTAGTAGGTAATTACTTGTAAATTTTTCCATATCAAGCTAAGCAGTTCAGTTAAAAAAGAATTTCTCTTTTGAAATTTTTTCACGCGAGAAGATGCTAAGCGAGCCGGCAGTTCACCTGATGTTTAGTGAGGCAGTGAGAGTGGCAAATGAGGTAGATTACTGCGTTTAGAGAATAAAAACATTTTAATATTGCAATGATGTAAGACGTCTACCCTAAGATACGCGATAGAAAACCCCCCCTCCCCACCCCCACCCGATATTTGTAAAAAAAATCACCAGCTATCAATCTCGCTGCTTTGAGGTAAACACAAGGCAATTACTCCATCCACTGAAGTAAAAATTAGGGGCCGTCCGGGACTAAGTAACTGTGACGAAGAAGACCTGTAACTATGTGAGTTGTCTTTTATTGAAGACCAAGGTGCTGCTTTCCTATGGTATATTCATACGAGTTACAATACTAGACATCAATTAACCCAAAACCGAATAGAACTGAAATACATATTACTCTGTATTTTAGTTATTATTCGTCGTATTTTCGTGTGCACCAACGCTATTAGTAATGAATTCGATGTTGAAAATGTGCGCGCAGACTTAAATCGATTCAGGATACGACGCGTTGCAATTTACAAGTACATTGTACGATTTTCGGCCGTCGCAGTGCGGGAATTGGACTTAAACGCGCGCTTTTATTGGGCTCTATGAATACCTCGCGAGCCATGCTGCAGTCGCGCCGTTTGCCAGCGAATTCTAGAAGTTTCTAAACGCTTACATTGCATTCCTGCCTGGGACTGGGGCGGGTCAGGTTTCTTGTTCTAATTTTTTGTTTCGGTCATATGTATACATTTAAATGTATACATTTCGTCCTACAAAGGCTTTCTCCGGTCCAACTCTGATCATACCTTCAGATTGTTTTTTTTATGTGAGAAAGTGGCAAAGGAGCTGGCAGTTCTGATGTTAAATGATAACCGCCGCCCATGGACATTTGCAAGAACCGTAGGGTTGCAAATGCGTTGGCACCTTTAAACAAAGTGGGCCCCGGCTATCTCACTTCCAATGTTTCTTGTTCTCTCAATGTTTCCACACGATTTGTAAACGTTCACCTTCTGTACTATAGCACCCACATATTCTTACTTCCTGTTAGGCTTGTATTTCTCTTCCAGGGAAGTGGAAATATTATAAGTAGATCGGACACAAAATTGACAATTTGAAAACCAGTCGTAGCCCGGACTAACAATGACATTCAGACGTCCAACATTTCATTTTGTCCAATGACTATAAAATACGCTGTAAAGAGTTCGGAACGTCGCGCATTACAGTAAAACAATAAACGCGATTAATCCATATGAACAGTTCAATTAAGCGACCCGATTGGCGTGCGGAGAAGTGAATCTGCCTGGTGCGCCAGAGGGTGTGGGTTCAATCCCCACTAGTGGAAAAATATTGTGTGATGGACACAGTGCTTTTTCCATTGGCTATGAAAAAAAAATATCTATGTATCTATAATAAGTATTAAAACATGTAGAAAAAGTACGAAAAGATTGTCGCCGCTGTGGGAATCGAACCCACGTTTTCGGCATTCGCGGCCTGACGCTCTAGCCACTCAGCTAAACGGCTGATGGTCACAGCGACGAAAATCTTAACGCCTTCTTTCTACACTGTTATTTAGCATTTGAAGCAATGCTTGGCGCATCTCCCACAGCGGCGACAATCTTTTCGTATTTTTTCTACATCTTTTAATGTTCAATTAAGTTCGTTAAGTGCAGAGATTAGCACTATAAAAAACTTTAAAATGTAATAAGTATGTTTATCAGTTATCTAGTACCCATAGAACAAGCGTTGCTTAGTTTAGGACTAGAGAAAGTTGGGTAAAAATGTGTCCTAAATATTTATATTTTATATGTTTATATAATTTTGTAATGGAATTAATTATCAAATTAATAATGTTGTGGTTGGCTCTAATACACTTGCATTAGGTGAACCGCCTATCGCTTACCACCTCAAATAATAAAACATGCTGTTTCAAAACGTCCGTTCCATCTCTTACTCTTACTTAAAAAAGTTGCGACTAAAAAAAGTAAATCTCTCGACGGACAGCCGTAATAAAACGGTTCATCACAGTGACTTATGGGCCCATTATAGAGATGACATGCTTTGAATGCCGCTCATCGTGAATAATGGATGTCGTTTGGGTTTTATTTGGGTTCCGTGAGATGTTCGAAAGTCTGTATCACTTACAATTGATCTACGGTTTTGTGTAAAATGAAATTTATGAAACTGGTTAAAAATCTTTTAAATACCTACGTTAAAAATATAATCCATCTCTCATTACTGCGTTCTAAATAAAATGGAGAGAAGTTTTAAGCTTCAAACACAAATGCCATGATAGTAGACAGGTGGTAAACGCACTAGTTCCCGCCTAAGTAATAGATATGTAGGTTCTCCCGAAAGAACCATGTCTCGATAGGACGTGCGTCGCGTGGTAGGTGACGCGTGGTAGGTGATTGATATTTCGCTACCCTACCCTAGCACCCGACTATTCAGAGACTGACATGTCGTGCTCGGCATTAATTGTAAGGCAACTCAGACCCATCCTCCACACGGCTTCGTAGACATCTGGAACACGACTTTAGAGACATGGCTTTGTCTGACAAATGGTTACAGAAATCGAACAGCCGATGATGAACCCTACCAGTTTAGCTGGTAGTTTGGCGCCACCTAGGGAACATGTGTAGGGCATCAGAAACAAAGTATGGGTACTTCTACAGACGCAAGCAACTTGATCTCGAAATAAGGCTGCTGAATACATGTTTAATCGATGTACCGACTAGTTTCGAATCCATCAGAGGTGCGTCTAGAGATGGGGCTCGACCGCGAACTAATCGCACGCACCCTAATGAAAGACCTCCGATAGGTTCGAAACTAGTCTCTACCTACATAAATTAAACGTGAGTTCCGCCGTCCTATTATTTCGTTAATAATATCTCACGTAAGTTTTAATAATTTTACGACTTAATCTCCTTGAACACTGAGTATGGGTCTTCAAGTGCTTTTATCGGTATTTGGGGTTCATTATTGTCCAGCACTGGGGGCAGCAGTAACAGCTAACATGACGGTATGAGTACAGTCTCACAGAAAAGAATCGTGTTGTTTAGCCTTAAGGGTTTGGAAATCAGACACCCTGACGTAATTTGGTTCACGTTCTCAATAACTTTCAGGTGAACCACCTGCTGCAGTGTACTTCCTTTGAAATAGAAAAACAAAACTACGCCATTGAAATGACTAAGCAATATTACGGAAGGGCATCTGCCATCATCGCAGCGCAGTTGCGTAAAACTTCACTGGCGCAATACAGATACCAACAATTATGTTGAAACAATGCCAAACAACTAATCTGAGTTACCAATTAACTTACAGTTTTAAAATTATATAGCTGTGATAGCTCAGTGCCCGGGCGCTCCCTGTAATTTAATATACTCGAGCAATAGTCCGTTTGCCGGCACCAATGAAATTGTTAATTGTAAGTGCCGAATTATCACGTGCTCAGGGTGAAGGAAAACATCGTGAGGAAACCTGCATATTTTCCAAATAATAATTATTATTTCGAAGATATGTTAAGTCCACCAGTCTGCAGTGGGGCCGCATGGTGGACTATGCCCTAATACCCTCTGTACAGAGGAGGCCTTTGTCCACCAGTGGGATATGTATAGGCTATTACTTTACTTAAATTTTTTACTATACATTTGGTTCGATCCATACAGAAGTAGCATAGTCATAGCTTACCGGGAACTAGGCAGGTGGTAACATTAAGCCATCTTCACTATTTGAATTGTTTTTTATATTAAAATTTACCGTAAAAAGTAAAAGTAGGGGTTCTCAGGGTTCACGCCCTAGACTTTTTGTCCTCAAGACACAAAGAACATGAATGTCCAAATGAATGCTATGCATAGAAATCCGCGTTATGTTCCTTTATATCACATATCTGTCCACAGCGTGTTTTAAATGTCACCAAACCCCTCTTCTGTTTTGTTTTAAATACGGAACGTCGCTGACAAATTGCTTTACACGTGCATAAAGAAATCTACTGTAGTGCAACGTCCAACTTTGTAGAGCGGGAAGTAATAATAATAAATCTTCTATACATACATACAATGCTTGCATTGTCATGATCTAGCGAAGATTAACTTTTACTACACCGCATAGTAGTATATGACGTTTATATAAACTAAGATTGGTTTTTAAGTATCATACTAAAAGTACTACAACCTGAAATTTCGTAGATAATACTGTCAGGATTCAGGCAGTGGGGAAAATTCTTGCGACAGTTTTTCTATAAATATCTTTTTAAGAGAGAGATTAAAACTAATTATATAAAGTAATTAATTATTACCTTTACCCCTGGACTATACTAATAAATAAGAAAGTTAATTCAGATTAATGATTGAGTTTCTTCTTGCAGCATGCCGCCGAAATAGAGAAGAAGCAGAACGAACTGGAGAATAAGAAGTTGCTGGGGACTGTCGTGCAGTATGGCAGCGTCATACAGCTACTGCACGTCAAATCAAACAAGTATCTCACTGTGCGTACCTTACAATAATTATTTTTTGCTAATCACTGATTTTAAGTAGAACTACGTAATTTTTACTACGTTACTTTTGATTTTTAAATGGCTAAAGTAGAACACATTCGGAAATAATCAACCAATGTCTTATTTCACTACAACAAAAATATAACTGACAAAATACGTATTTTGTCAGTTATATTTTTAACATACATATGTTGTGGTCTTGGGGACACCAAGATCTTGTGGGTTGGCTGGAGAAACAAAGCCATGAATAGATCGGACTGGAGAGATTTGCTTGACCAGGTAATGCCTCAGATGATGGTGATGATGTATGTTGTGGTCAACATTGCAGGTCAATAAGAGGCTACCCGCACTGCTGGAGAAGAACGCAATGCGGGTCCATTTGGACGCTAACGGGAACGAGGGATCGTGGTTTTATGTGATGCCTTTTTATAAACTGCGATCGACCGGTAAGTGCGAAATGTATACATTCAAAACTTCATTGCATAAATTAGTTTCCGCTGTTGGGATATCGCCTGCAAAACTCTATTTAACAATATGTTTTCTTCATTAAATAATAAATGAACATTTGGTACCTTTCTATCCGACCTAGGCTAACGACCAGTACCGATAAAGTAAGACCTAAGCACAAATACCGAGACCAAAGACCTAGGCCTGTTTTGTTACTCTTTCACGCAAATACTACTGAATGGATTCAAAGTTTTACAATAATATCGCTGAATAAGACATAAGCTATAATTAATACAATATTTTTTTGTATCTGTTTTTCTGCCTGAATGTTACGACTTCAGCCTATTCTACGCGCACGTAGTCGCGGGGAGCAGCTAGTACAAAATATATACGAGAACAATGAAACTAAAACTATATTATTAATAGGAATCCTTTTAGGCGAGGTTCCGAAGATACTGGCAGCGTTCCCCCTTTGAATAGCTAGACTAATTCCTTGTCCGAGGTAGCTGCCAGCTCTTCGGTCTCCAGTGATGTCGACTAAGCTTTTTGCTATTTCCTATTTTATTATATAAGGTAATATTTACTAATAACAACTAATGGACAAGAAGCGATTTTCTTAAGCCATATATTAATTCCATAATATTAATTGCAGGAGACAACGTGGTGGTAGGCGATAAAGTGATAATGAACCCGGTGAATGCGGGTCAGCAAGTCCTACACGTGTCCTCCAACCACGAGCTACCGGACAACGTAGGCTGCATGGAGGTGAGACAGAAAATCTCCCATCTCCCTTACACCTACTAGCTTCCACATCCCTTTCCGATCTCCCCTTTATCTCTACCATCGGCATCGGCTTAGCAATATGAATTAAACGTGCAAACACGAACATACTATGAGTAGAAAGAGATAACACTAACGGTTGCACTCAGCGTCTACAATTAGCACTTAACTATCGTTAAATTCGATCGTATGCCGTCGAAATACAATCCTAATAGCGTATTAATATGACTTAATTTCATAATTTTATTTATTCTATTAAAGCGTTACTTTCTATGACTTTATAATAAGGCTTCTTGATAATACTTCTATTTGCGATCATAAGTTAATAACTTAGGGCGTATAATCTTTATATATAATAGACTGGGGAAAAAGTTTCTTCGCATTTTATATGAAAATTCAAAACATTTTTTAATAAAGTTTATTTAAATTTAACTAAAAACTATGTAGGTGCCATTTTGTTCGATAAGTTTCTGCCATCTTGTAGGTAGCTGATGATGATGACATGATCCCATTGCATAAGCGGTTTTGGCAGTCCTCTCGTGATGTTAACCTGACACTGCCTAAAGAATTCTGAAGAGACCGAAACAAGTGGAAATCTGAAGGTGCAAGGTCGGGACTATACAGCGGATGCATTAAGACCTCCCAGTCAAACTCTCTTAATTTTTGCTCAGTGGCCAAAGATGTGTGAGGTCTAGCGTTATCATGATGAAAAACCACACTCCTTCTGTTGATTAATTCCGGCCGCTTTCTCTCAATTTCTTGCTTTAATCTCATCAGTTGTTCGCAGCAGAGTTCAGAATCGATGGTCCTGCCTGGCGATAACAGCTCATAATGAATATTACCCTTCCAATCCCACCATACACACAGCATTACCTTGTTGCGAGATAACCCGGGTTTCGCCAGAGTCTGTGGAGCCTTACCAGCCTTTGACCACAACCTTTTTCGCACGTTCTTGTCGTACGTGATCCACTTTTCATCACCAGTTATCATGTTTTTCAAAAATGGTTCGGTTTCATTAGGTCATTAGGTTTCTTTCAGTGACCTCATGAGGCACCCAAATATCGAGCTTTTTTGTGTACCCAGCTTTTTTCAAATGAGCCAAAACTGTTTTGTGGTCAACTCTCAGTTCTTCAGCTACATCTAAACTACTGATATGCCAATCTTGCTATACTTTTTCAAAAATGGCATCCATTTTATCCGTAACAGTGCGCCCAGAGCGAGGTGCATCTGTGACATCAAAATTTCCGGATTGAAAACGCTTAAACCAAAGAACAATGCCCACTTCCCATACATTTAAAAACCTGATAATGAAAGTGTATGTATAATGTTACAAGGTATAGCAGAAAGACTACCTTTAAGTTAGTAAATTAATATCATACAGTCATTTTTACGATTGCTGGTCTAGGAAGTCCAAAAATTATTAAAAAATGTTAATTTTTAGGTTAGGATTTGCAGTTACCTAATATAACGAAATAAATGTGCTAGAACTCACTATTTACGCTCAAGTTTATTCTAAAATAATAATATTAGCCTATCTAAGGTCTAAAACGTCTTTTTTACTTGTGAATTCCTAGAAACCGACTGCCCTTACGTCACTGCTTAGACTCGATTGTTGTCACTATAAATTGAGTGAAGAGCATTATCTGCTATTTCAACAGCTCACGTAAGTACTTACTAAAAAAAGTTAAAAGTGATCATTTATCTGCCCTACACATTTCATTGGCCTGCACTACAATACATAATAATCGAGAATTATAATACCTGATGAATAAACGAGGGAAAAAATAAAACACTATGTTACAGTGGAATGCTTTATTAATTATCATCATCTTCACTTAAATGTCTTATAACTATGTTATCCAGAAATTCTGCTAAAACAGAGATATTTTCTTGATAGTTCATCCGAAGTACCACACTAGTCATAACATGAGTGCAACATCCTATGGTTCGCCAACCAACTAAACAATTACAACAGTATTCGACTATACTAGCTCTGCCAGACACATTATTTTCTATTAAAATGTAGACAATATTGTTTTCTTTAAATGTGCCAGGACTTAATTTTTCCTCTTATTAGTGTTATGTCACCACTTCCTCTCAGATTATTCCTAGAAAACTCCTGTGTCCCTACATATTTCTATTCTATATGATCCATGAAAGCGAATATGTTTGTATTTGGTACCTAATGCAAATAGTATAAGTTCACTAATAACTTAATCTCAGAAACATAAAAAATAAATTATCTTCAGAAGTAGAAACACCACAAACTTCAGCAACATGCCTTATATGTGTGGCAGCACTCTTACTACTCATCCAGCATGAATGGCATATTCTATCAGATGATGATATCTACAAAAGAAGTAATAAAGCAATAATTATTATTCATCTTAAAAATATATTTTTAAAAAAATCAATTATGTATTTATTGGTGGTTAAAATTATTACAGCATCAGCCAATTAATAACAGATATAATAATTTACATCTAAAATACAAAAGAGAAATAATCTAGAGTAATAGTATAAAGTTTTATACTGGCAAATGATTAACAATGTAGAAACATGAATATGTGATGTTGTGAACTTGTTTGTATAATAGCATTTATCTGTCTTTGCTTTTCTGACGGATTATCAAAAACTGTTCTTCGACCTGGTTGAGATAATCCTGAAGCTTGAGCAACATCACAGCTTGTTAATTCCTGGTTTATTATCAAGAGTTCATTACAAGATTTACAGATGTAATCTTCCTCAGTAATCTGAAATAAAAAAACATATATTGAGTTTATAATACATATTTTGGATATATAGATCTTTTGAACAGTTGTTTGTGTTATGTCACAGGTATAATTTATAGGAGCTTTGTTAGTTTGATTAGGACATGATTGACATTTTTAGATTGAAAATAATAAACATAAATACTCACAATTACTGGCGAATACCGATGAGTATGAGTCACTCGCAGAACTGTCAAATGTCAAAAAAATCCATTTACGTCAGCCGTGCGAACTTTATTACATGCTGCATTAATAATTTATTATTTTATTTTTAATAAATCTGTACTACTAATAAGATTGATCTTAATTTTTAGACAAATACTGTTAATTACGTGCTTACTCACTTCTCTAAAACGTAAAATCACGTTCAAAACTCAGAAAAAGTTGAATACAGTCAAGTAGGTAGTGTGAAAAATGGAACGTCCTATGCAAAGGATTGTTAAGGTGCGTTCAAAACATGGTAATATGTTTACCCTTGAAGTAAAATAAGCGTAAAGAAATATCAAAAAATATTAATTACTACAAAATGAAATTAGCTAAATTTTAATATTTATTTCACCTCTATACACAATCAGGTCAAAAATGGGCATTGTTCTTTGTGCTACTCCCACAGACACTGCACTAGGTCCATAAATATCACAAATTTTTTTCATGGCTTGCGTAGCATTTTTACCTTTTTGGTAGTAAAATTTTAAAATGTATCGAATTTCTCTCATCTTAACAGTAAGAAAAACAAATGAAAATCACACATTTTCCTAATTTGAATTTGGAATTTTCTTTTTTAAAATTTAAACTTTTTAATAATATCAAACCCATCCAGATACAAATGGTATAGCCATAGATATTATATTATAAGTTCATACATAGGTACCATTTGCGAAAAGAGTTTTTCCCCAACCTAATATTATTCTTCTGTTCGTGTGTATGTCACTTAATTCCTCCTAAGCGGCTGGACAGGTTTTAATGAAATTTTTTGTGTGACTTCAGGTCATTCGAGAATGGTTTAGATTCACAATTCGGGCCACTACAACTTTTTTTTTTATTTTTTTATTTATAAGTAGTTGTCGGATAAGTTATTGTCTTGTGCACAGAACGTCTGTCGGGCTCGCTACTTATACGTATAAATTCTTGCTGTTTCGTATGTTTATGTTCGGTTATAATCTTACCTTCATTTAAACTATTTATTTGTTCATGCTATAATACTAGTAGGATAATTCTCTGGCAGACTTTCTTGTGTAATCTTCTTATATGTTTAACTCTACCTTCTATTGTTTATTTGCGCTAGCATTACATACTACTAAAGACCGAGGCAAGAACGTGCCGGGGTCTGGAAATAAAACAGGTATACCGTCCAGGCGGCAGAAGGGAGTACGCTAGACTTCTATGAAATTTACCGAATGGTCAGTTCACGTTCCATATGCTGGTTTTTAAAAAAAATCCCTTGTCGGAAAAGCGCTTCGATACATAATATCACTGTTGAGAACTGAACCCGCTACTCGCTATACCACAGCCTTTAGCACCTTGGTCAATCGTGCCATATTATCAGCTCGTATTATTCGATAAACCCTCGATCATTCCCTAGCTATTAATGTAAGACGTAAAAGTTACTAATTTTTAAGCTACTAGAGTTATTTATTCGTTATTTTTTTTCTTACGGCCGGTTTTAATATTAATTCTACAGATAGGTTTGGTTACTAGCGCTAAGTATTTGACATTAGCTCCATAAGACTTACATCAAAATTCCATCTCCAGTAACGAAATCAATCTGTAGATGAACCTTGAAACCGGGCGTTATGCGATACAAGTAGCGGTAGGCTTTTATGTAGATAAAGCAGTATTACTGATATGTATCTTAATATTGAACTATTTATAATATACATGGTTAGTTATTATAGGCCAGTTTGAGTTTAATGAGGTCTTTATCCAATTTTGGACTCCCGCGGCTGAGGACGATGAATATAAGCTGTCTGTTTCAACGGTATTCAAAATGAAACATTGTCGCTTTCGAACCTACATAGAATACAACAATGTTTAGGTTGTGTCTGTATTCAAACGCTTCTTCTAGAAGCCGTCTGCTAATCATAAATTAAACCCAATCGGATTTTTAGGGTTCCGTACCCAAAGAACGAAAACGGGACCCTATTACTAAGACTCCGCTGTCTGTTTGTCCGTCTGTCCGTCTTGACACTGAGATACTGCCTGGTGACCCAGGCAGTATCTCATGAACCGTGATAGTTAGACAGTTGGAATATATAACAACAAATTAAAAAACAGAATAAAAAAATATTTAAGCGGGGGCTCCCATACAACAGACATGATTTTTTTGCCGTTTTTATAGGACGGAACAGTTCGTGCGCGAGTCTGACTCGCACTTGGGCGGTTTTAAGAATGAACAATTTGGACGTGGGTTCGATTCCCACAACGGCGACAATCTTTTCGTACTTTTTCTACAAAATTTAATCTTTAATCTTTGTGCAGAGATTAGCACTATAAAAAATTTTAATTTCTATGAACAATTTTAGCTCGTTTATCAATCGAACCGCGTGCTCTCAGGTGAACGTCGTGAACTCGTCGACCTCATGGAAGGTGACGCTGTTCCTAGAGCACAAGGAGAACCAGGAGGAGATCCTGAAGGGGGGCGACGTGGTGCGCCTGTTCCACGCGGAGCAGGAGAAGTTCCTGACGATGGACGAGTACCAGAAGCGGCAGCACGTGTTCCTGAGGACCACGGGCCGTTCCAGCGCCACCGCGGCCACCAGCAGCAAGGCCCTTTGGGAGATTGAGGTATCCATTTGTTTATTAAGACTTACCTACTTACTAAATACATACTGAACGTTGACTTACAAATATGTTTGACTTAAACATAAAGCTGTAACAATATATTTACACATTAAAATAACAGGTAAACAAAACAGTATTAAACAACTTGACTTGAGAACAGAAACTAGCTTAACTAAAAAAATTATCTTTTATCTCTGTGAAAAAAAAAAAAACGAAAAATAAGTTACTTTGTTAAAACGAAAAATACTTACTTTGTTCCCATTCAAAATGGGACTGTACTGTACTGACTGACTGTTTGGCTGTGTTCCATGACATGGAGTTTTGTTTTCCTCGCCAGGTGGTGCAGCACGACCCCTGCCGCGGCGGTGCCGGCCATTGGAACTCCATCTTCAGGTTCAAGCACCTCGCCACGGGACACTACTTGGCAGCCGAAGCCTGCCTCAAGCCGCCGTGAGTACACGAGGCAAAACTGCTGGATGAATAGGCCAGTTTTACTAGACTTCACTTACGTCAGTCAGTCTATCAGTTACCACTATAACCATATTGGTTGATGTTCCAATGCTGTCACATTCATATATATTTCATATCAATTTGACAGATGGTTCAAAAGAAAAAAAAATCAATGCCACTACCGCCACCTATCCGGCACTAACGTAACTACTCGTTGGAGTGGGAATGTTGCCCGTCAGACGGTGTGCATCTGGGTGTTAGTCCATGTGAAATTAATGTTTGTAAAAGTCCTTAAAACACAGGATAATGTTATCCTAAAGTGAGGGCAATGTTATGTTAAAAAAATAAAATAAAAATATAATTTTGGCTAACGCTTCTCGAGTTTTAGGTGCTTCCGCGTTTAGTCTCGTGACCGAGGTAGCCGGGGCCTACTTTTTGTTGACGCGTTTCCGCTTTTGTGTGCCGCGTAGAAGTGTGTGATTGGGAGAGGGATGTAAAGATATATAAAGGGAGATGAAAGGGTGAGTTTCATATGTTGACGCGTTACTATGTTTGAGCGCAGCATAGAAATGTGTGTGAGGGGGTGAGAGATATAAAGATGATGAAGAGAGAGAAGAGGGTGGGTTACATATGTTGACACGTAATTGACGCACAATTTTCAAAAGGTTGTCAACGCATCTGTGATCCACGGGTGTGACAGATGTCCATGGGCGGCGGTATTTACTTACCATCAGGTGAACCGTCTGCTCGTTTGGCAACTTTTCACATAAAAAAAACACGTTACAGTGTTTGAGAGCAGCGTAGATAACATGCATGTGTGTAAGGAGGTGGAGAGAGAGATGGATAGAGAAAGAGAGAGTGGTAGACGGGTGGGCTTAACGGTGGGGTTGCGTCGCAGCGAGGGCGCGTGCGAGGGCGGCGACGTGGGCGAGCCGGCGTACCAGCTGGTGTCGGTGCCGCACTCCTCGGAGATCGCGACGCTCTTCGAGCTCGACCCCACCACCATGACGCACTCCGACGCGGCCGTGCCGCAGAGCAGCTACGTCAGGTGCGCAGCAGAGCAGCACCGGTCATCAAGACACATACAAACATACCAGCTTTCGTGATTTATGTTGCCATATGCTAAACTAAACTTCTAAAGTTCGATAGTTATACAAACAGATATACCGCTATTATGTAACCGTGGCTTAAATTTCGTTACATATCTTACGTAGATTTTTTATTTTTCTTGTTACTATACGCTTAGAAATAATTGCCATGGTGTATGCTCTGTTAGGATGTCACAATAAACAAACAGGAATTTTAATCCTTAACTTATCATCCTAAATTAACTTTCTGCACATTTTCATAACAAAACAAATTTTTGATAAGTCACACATATTACTAAAATTATCCCAAAACTAATCGCATATAAGATTTATAAATATTACAACACCTTAACATTAATTTTACTCGCAGATTACAGCACTTATGCACGCACACGTGGGTACACTCAACGTCCATACCTATCGACAAAGAAGAGGAAAAGCCAGTCATGTCGAAGGTAATAATAGCCCAGTATCATATGTATTTTTACACAGCGTTATAGAATCCTACTAGTTACCTGGTAACCGATGAACATACATTTTTCCAAGCATAGGTTTTTAAGATGTCTGCTATTTGCCCCAGCTGCATTATTCACCGGACGAACCTCAAAACTATAATACTTCTACGTCTCTAAAGGCGAACGGCAAAACTGCTACGAGGCTCTACCAAAGATGGCACTACAAAAATTGTTGGCTCTACCATAGAGTTAATTTACTGATCCTATTACAGGTTGGCTGTTCGATAGTAAAGGAAGACAAGGAGGCGTTCGCCTTGATATCAGTGTCGCCCAGCGAAGTGCGAGACCTGGACTTCGCCAACGACGCGTGCAAAGTGCTATCGGCCTTGTCGACCAAACTTCACCATGGCAATATAGAGCATAACGAGATGAAGTAGGTGCTACAATCGCTTGCACGGCGATCAGCAATAAAATACGTACATTACAGAATTATTTAATCTTTAAAATTTTTTACATCATAATATGAGATGCAAATAGACAAAGATCGGCAGGATATGTTACAAACTCAATTTCATTTTGATAACAATACAGTTAATACTGAAAATCTTTATAAGCCATAGACTCGTATTGCATGGTTTTTTCACCAATATGAATTAAGAGTGATCTGTAACCACTCAGTGGTGAAGGAAAACATCTTGAGGAAATCTGCATATTTTCGAAATCAATAACAAGAAATATTTGGAAAATATTTTTAGTCCAATCCGCAGTGGTGTCCCGTCGGAATACATCCTATAACCCTCTGTCCTTTGCCCAGCAGTGGGACATGTACAGGCTGTTACTTTATACTAATACTTTACGTATCCCTTCGAAAGAGCCGTGATAGCTCAGTGTCCGGGCGTTCGCCTTTAATTCAATTTACTCGAGTAACCTCTGAGTTCGATCCCCGGTGCCAGCACCAATGAATTTGTTAATTTTAAGTGCTGACTATCACGTGCTCGGCGGTGAAGGAAAACATCGTTAGGAAACCTGTATATTTTCGAAATAAAAATAAAAAAAGATAAAAAGAAAATGAAAAAATAAAGGTAACCGACAGCTCAGAGGATTAGCAAGCTGAAGTGGCGATGGGCCGGCCATATAGCTCGTAGAACCGATAACCGTTGGGGAAGAAAGGTTCTCGAGTAGCAGCCTCGTACTGGCCATCGCAGTGTGGGACGACCCGCCACTAGATGGAGTGACGACCTTTGCAAAATCAAAAATCAAAATCAAATGTATTTTCCAACACAGGAGCATTACACTCACTTATTGATAGTCAAAACACTACCACCGGTTCGGAAAAGAAAGCCACTGTACTGAGAAGAACCGGCGAAAGAAACTCAGCGGGCTTTTTTTTTTTTTAAATAAGCAGTTTGACATAAATTCGTTAGAATACAATATAAGAACTCCGATTGAAAGAGCCTGGAGCGATCAGTTCATTACCAGAGTGTGTTATCATTTAAATAATCATTAATATTATAGTAGCCTTTAACACACAAACGTTCTTTTACTATTTTTTTAAATGTGCGGGAAGTCGATGGATGCAGGGCTCAGTACGATCCGTACTTCATGGCAGCCTATGTTTAGCAGTGGATTCAAACAGGCTGAAATGATGATGATGATGATGAAAACAAAATATTCCGAAAATATGTGAAGTCCGCCAATCCGTAGTGCGGCCGCGTGGTGGACTATGCCCTGATACCCTCTTTACAGAGGAGGCCTCTGCCCAGCAGTGGGACATTTATAGGCTGTTACTGTACTTTACTTTTTTTACTTTCGACAGAGCCCTGACGTGCCTCCTACAGGACATCGTGTACTTCATAGCGGGCTTTGAGAACGAACCGAACAAGTCCAAGGCCCTGGACCTGGTGGTAGAGAACCCCAACAGGGATAGGCAGAAGCTACTGCGGGAGCAGTACATATTGCGACAACTCTTCAAGATCCTTCAGGTTGCGTACACGATTCCAACGTAACGAATTATTTGCAACATTGTTAATAAGTTTCTAATTTTCACGTTTTGTAATAGTATTGTATGAAATATTGTATGAATATATAAAGCTCACTAAGAAGTATTATATTTACTTGACAATATATAAGTACTTGACAAAAAAAGTACCCAACTTACCAATAATTTGACCGAATGCAACTTTCATTTTTGAACTTTTATTGCCTGCACAAACTCGCATGTAAGAGATCGCAAGTGTTTTCTATAAATCGCTTCACGGATTCAGTCACCGATAAAAGGTGAGTTTTTTCAACTTACGTTCCTGTCGTTGCATCAAATACAAGTCGGATAGTAATTCAAGTCAAGTCCGGTCGTGTGTGGAGTACTGCTGCCATATCTGGGCTGGGGCTGCAAAATGCCATCTGGCTGCCTTGGACTCAGTGGAGAGGCGTGCGGAAAGGCTCATTGGTGACCGTGATTTGGTTAAAACCAATCTCACCAGCCTCGAGCACATGCGCAGAGTAGCCAGCCTCTCGGTTTTCTACAGGATGCATTTTGGAGAGTGTTGGAGTTGCACGATTTGATTCCTCCCGCCCCTTTCCATCATCGGACAACTAGACGTTCGGCAGGGCCCCACCCTTTTGCTGTCGACGTTCCACGCACAAAAACTAAAGAGATTCGCATCGTCATTTATCATCCGTACGGCTAAGGAATGGAACAACCTGCCGGCGTCGGTCTTCCCATCCGTTTATAACGTAGGCGTCTTCAAGGCCAGAGAGAATAGGCTTTTACTGAGCTAGCGCGCTTACCATCCACGGCTGCATCGCCACTTACCATCAGCTGGGATGGCGGTCAAGCGCTAGTCAGTTCCATATAAAAAAAAATCACAATTTATGCTTTACATATTTTAAGCTGTCTGTTGGAATTTTACACTAACTGAATTTAATAGAAACGAATATTCCGAACATGTACCATATCTAAAGAAAATGTCTGGACCGCGGAAAACCAAGTCAGTTAGTCGATTAGTAAATATTGTATACGCGCGACATTTTTTACTATTATGTATAATTTATTGTACACATAATTACAAATAATTTAATACAATTAATATTAAATACTCTTTAAAGTTAGGTACAATAAACCGGTCTTATCGCTTAAAAGTGATATCTTCCAGACAACCTTAGCACAAGGATTTTGTAAACTACTTTTTACTGTGTAAAAATGTATGTTTTTTTTACAAAATCTCTATATAAATAGACAATTTAAAAAAGCTTTCTTGACAATCAGGGCCCATTCCAAGAGACGGCGGAAGGCGAATCATTCCTGAAGATCGAGGAGCTATACGACCCGCGCTACGCTCCGTACAAATGCATCTTCCGCCTCTGCTACCGGATCCTGAGGCTCAGCCAACAGGACTACAGGAAGAATCAAGTATGCCTCCAGATTGTACAAGATTATTAAAAAACCAAGAGCCTTTTTATTGAGTCGTATAAGTTATTAAATAAAAAAACTCATATTAGTTTCTATGGCATGATAAGAAAAATTTCTACGAAAACGGTTTGTACAAAAACATCATTAGTGATTAATTGACGAGTGTTCTTTTATAGACTGAGAGACTCAGAGTACAGAGCCCCCAAACAAATTTTTAATCGTTTCCATATTGCTGACAGCTATGTCTCTGTCGACAGGAGTACATAGCGAAACACTTCGGCTTCATGCAGAAGCAAATCGGCTACGACATCCTGGCGGAGGACACCATCACCGCGCTGCTGCACAACAACAGGAAGCTGCTCGAGAAGCACATCACCGCTTCAGAGATCGAGACCTTCGTAGGCGCGTGGCCCCTCAGCCCTCTACGTTTTTGTGTCTAACGGACGATTTCTATGTTCTATCTTTATATAATTATATATATATTTTTTTTATGTCAATGATGAATGAATACTGCCGCCCATGGACATCTGGTGCACCCGAGGGTTCCAGATGCGTTGACAACCTTTTGAAAATTGGGCTCCGGCCACCTCACTCACCAGACGAAACACGAAAGTATTATACTTCCACTTTACGCTGGTCTGCTGTGAGGTTGTGGTACTTATCCGGACGAGTCTGCCCATTCGTGCAATAGCCGAGGCTGTTGCTTGGCCCCACCACCGTTAAGTTTGTTTGTGTGTATGTCACTGAACTCCTAAATGGCTGGACCGATGAAAATTTTTTGTGTCTTCAGGTCGATTCGAGAATGTTTTAGATGTGAATCTCAGTCGTCTACAATTTCTCTTTTAAGTTGTCGAATTTAAGTCGTGTGTACAAGACAACGTCTGACCGGTCCGCTAGTCTTCAGATAGATTTTGTTACTAGCGATAGTTATTTGACATCAGCTCCATGACTTACGTCAAAATTCTATCTCCAGTAACCAAATCTATTTAAAGGTCGAATATTGTAACCGGCCGTAAGTCGGTAAATGGTTGATAATTTACTCGGGCAAAATATTCGATAAAATTCCCTCATTGGTGCAGTCTCACATAAATTTTGGTGCTGAATGAATGGGTGACCTCGACTGGGCGTTATACAAAAACGGCGTAGTGGAGTATTTATTTATATTTATGCATTTAATTCGGTAATCGGAGACCCTCTCTATTAAAGGATAACTTTGCAATCCCCCAGAGGAAGCGACGGTGAATACCTCCTAAATTTAGTGAACCAAATGTAAAGGTGATATTTGATCTAAACCATTTGAGTCTTTGCAAACTGAAGAGTAAATTAGATAGGAAAGAAAATGAGGGTATATATTTATTTATATTTATAAAGTAAGCAAATAAGACAATAAGAGGTTAGGTATCGTAAAGGGGGATGGTAAAGCTAATATAAGTGTGTATTTTGTAACTCAATATTTGCGTTACAGGCCTCGTGCGTAAGAACATGAAGACGTGGCAGTCCCGCTTCCTGGACTACCTGAGCGACCTCTGCATATCCAACAAGAAGGCGATCGCTGTCACTCAGGAGCTGATATGCAAGAGTGTGCTCTGTGCAAACAACGCGGACATTTTGATTGAGACAAGGTATGGTTTTTTTTATCTCAGAGGATTAGCAAGCTGGAGTGGCGATGGGCAGGCCATATAGCTCGTAGAACCGATAACCGTTGGGGAAGAAAGGTTCTCGAGTAGCAGCCTCGTACTGGCCATCGCAGTGTGGGACGACTAGATGGAGTGACCCCCCACTAGATGGAGTGACGACCTGTGCAAATGTGCGGGAAGTCGATGGATTCAGGTGGCTCAGGATCGTACTTCATGGCAGTCTATGAGGAGGCCTATGTTCAGCAGTGGACTCAAACAGGCTGAAATGATGTTGATGATGGATTTTTTTTTAACCTATTAGTTCAAAACTGCCGCAAAAGTAACCCGCTAACCCGCACACTAAGCTGAGCGGACGACAGTCTCACCGCGCGAAATTCAACATCTAATAATCTACTTTAGTTTTTATTGTGTTTGTAGCAGTGCTTGAAGTTATCTCATCGATTTACGCACGGTGAGGATGTTGGCCGCTTAGCTTAATGTCTAATACGTATAGACTAGCACTAATTATTAATTTTGATTCAGTCTCTTCCACTAGTTAGGCTTACTCTATTGGCGAAGTACCACAAACTCACGAAAATTCGACGTGAATTATAAGTAAATATATAATATATAATTATTTACGTTTTGTGTAGTGATGGAGGGGGAAAGGGAGAAGCTTCTCCAAGTTCAGCATCATCTATGCGAATATCTATTTTCATACTTTATCATTAACTGAATAACATAATTTAAGCTGTTTGTTCCATTTATATAAAATCGTTACAATTGTCAACAGATTAGTATCTACCAAATACGAGAAGAAATCCAAAACTGATGATGCAGAAAACAGATACACCGTCGAGGACGAGGTGATGTTGCTGTGGAACAATAAAAAAGTGAGTTTACGTTTGTTAAACATTATAACAATAACATATAATTATATGTTGTTGCTGCAACATTGTTATCTATAAAAGTAGTGGAATAAAAAATATGTACTAAGAATTAACGGCGCCACTCATGGTGGTTTGTCTCTGATGAGCGGTTTGCGTGGTGGACGATGCTCTTATACCCTCTGTACAGAGGAGGCCTTTGTCCATCATTTGTACATATATAGGCCGTAGTTTCACTTATTTTTAATCTTCCTTGTAATTGTCCTATCACCGGCTGGTGCGATAGAGACAGATGCAACGTGGGCACTCGCACGTATCCGTCCGTGAAGCAACTTCTCGGGTGAAAGAAAAGGTCGTTGACCTGGCCGGTAGGGCGCAACTCACTGCCCCGGGGAGCCGCTATCGCCGGCCGGCGCGACAGAGACGGGTGCAGCGGACGCGCCCGGCGAGGGTGAGACGGGAGGTGTCTGACGCGGGTGGTGGCGCAAAGATGTCACTGGCCAGTGCGAAAGAGACGGGTGCGATGGACGCCCCCGGCGAGGGCGAGACGGAAGGTGTCTGACGTGATTGGTGGCGCAGAGTTCGCGGCTGCTGTCGGAGCTGGCGGGCGAGGCGCGGCGCGAGCCGCGCGGCGAGGCGGCCGCCGTGCTGGACTACTACCGCCACCAGCTCGACCTCTTCTCCAACATGTGCCTCAACCGCCAGTACCTGGCGCTCAACAGCCTCTCGCCCCAGCTGCACATCGACCTCATACTCAGGTGGCGCACGCGTCTACTGCTTTTACTTTTACTGTGGCACGGCACATAGCGTAGAAGACCGGCGTGAAGTTTTCTTTTGTGTGACAAGATAGCGAGCTGACGGTTCACCTGATGTTAAGTGATAACCGCCGCCAGTGGATATCTACAAACCCGTAAGGCTGCAGACGCGTTTTTACCTTTTAATGAAGTGAACTCCATTTACCTCACTCAACAGAGGAAATGCAGACGTATATCACTTAAAGTTCCTGGACCTACCCATCCCTGCAACGTAGAAAGCTTTTACGTGGCCCTACCACAAGCAAATTAAGAGTTATAGGAACATATATATTAAGTAAGTGATTACCTCTGCCCACGTGCATCTACAAAACCAGACGAATTGTCGAGGCGTTAAAAAACTTAAAAATAAAACGGGTCCAACAAACAATGGAAGTATTACACTATCGCGTTTCTTCCGGTTACCTTACTCACCGGAAGAAACGCGGGTTTTCTTTGAAGCCATGGTGCTTTTTCTTTATTTATTAAATGAATGTTTGGCAAGCGAGCAGGTGGTTCGTTCATCCCATCCCATAGTTCCACAGCCAAACGTGATCCTACCAAAAAACACACTGTGAATTGTTTTTGTTCCTTTTACCAGATTGACAAATGGTAAATGTAATGAGCTCGGTTAAAACTCGTGTAGAATTTTTATTTATGTAAATAGTTCGCAAGCAAATAGGCGGTTCATCTGATGTTAAGTGAATAAAGTGATTACGACCCATGGACATATTCAAGACCTGATGGGTTGCAAAGACAAATGCCAAACGTTAAAAATTTGGTGGACGAAGCGCGAAAGTATGTAATTCCAGTTCCCGTCTGTCTTCTTTAAGCCGTGTGCTTCCTCGAACGAGCCTGCCTATTCGTAAAATAGAAGCTTCTAGTAAAAACATATAGTCCTTACTAATATTATAAACGTGAAAATTTGTATGTATCTCTTAGACGCAAAAACTTACTACTGAATGGATTTTAATGGAACTTCACAATAATATAGCATACACGTCGGAATAAGACATAGGCTATAATTTATATACATATTTTATGTGTATCTGCCCATCCAACGCAGACGTAGTCGCGGGCAGCGGCTAGTCGCGCGTAAAGCCAAATGTCGCCCCCGCAGGTGCATGTCGGACGCGTCGCTGTCGCAGGAGCTGCGCGCGTCGTTCTGCCGGCTGATGCTGCACCTGCACGTGGACCGCGACCCGCAGGAGCCAGTCACGCCCGTCAAGTACGCGCGCCTCTGGAGCGACGTCTGCGACCGCATCCACGTGCACGAGTCAGTATCGCCATACCCATTATGGACTCTGTGCCCTTGGAACAGAGTCGAGAGTTCAACGAACGCAAGGCGCGGTGTGGAAGCGCGACTCGACTGTGAAGTGAGTCGGTGTCGCCCCGCTTATTCTAGACTCTGTGTCTTTGTATTAGAGTCGAGAGTTCAACGAACGCAAGGCGCGGTGTAGAAGCGCGACTCGACTGTGAAGTGAGTCGGTGTTGCCCCGCTTATTCTAGACTCTGTGTCTTTGTATTAGAGTCGAGAGTTCAACGTACGCAAGGCGCGGTGTAGAAACGCGACTCGACTGTGAAGTGAGTCGGTGTCGCCCCGCTTATTCTAGACTCTGTGTCTTTGTATTAGAGTCGAGAGTGCAACGAACGAAAGTCGCAGTATAGAATCGCAACTCGACTGTGAAGTGAGCCAGTATTGGCCCGCCCATTCTAGACTATCTCCTTGGAACAGAGTCGAGGGTCTAGCGATCGCGCGACTCGACTTTGAAGTTCACTCATGTTGTGCAATAAACGGTATATTGTCCCGCTCGTACTGTGGTCCAAAATTGTTATCAATCTCGCTTCCACTGAAGGTTAGTTTACGGTTCTTTTTTCAACCCTATTCTTTCTCTTTCTCTCTTCTATTACGTGCTTTTACTTACCAACCTTGCTAACGACATCGCCTCCACTCACAGATCTATAAGATAATTGCAAAATAGAAATTTCACTATCGGCCATAGTGACCGGACCAAATCCATGTGATTGTGTCAGTCTCCTACATTATAATGATGAAAGGAAGTATATTCAAAAAAATATGTTATATGAAAAACATATTAATCGTTTCACAGTGCTTAACCGTTAACCTATATACATACCTACGATTTAATAATTTTCACTCAAAATTAGTTATAATATCCATTCCCTTTCGATTGCAGTTACCAGTGCGTGAAGGGCGGTCCCGACGCGACCCGAGAAAAGGTAAAAGAGCAATTCGCCTCGACTATCCGCTTCGTTGAGAACTACCTCTGCAAAGTGGTCACCAGCACGTGGTACTTCAGCGACCACGACCAGAACAAGCTCACCTTCGAGGTGGTCAAGCTGGCGAGGGAACTTATATACTTCGGATTTTACAGGTAAGCTTTAAAGGTATCAAGACATTTGATATATTTAATTCATATATAAATGAAATATCGAAATAACTATATACCGAACACAGGGAATGTTTGTGTTATCTTGAATGGGCGAACGTCGCAAACACCTGTCATTTTGTCAAGACTTTATGAACGAACATAGTCGAGCAAAACTACTCATTAACTTATATGGGATGGTAAATCACCTACGAAATAGTAGTTATTACCTCGAGTTACCTGGCTTCCAATACGAAACCTAAAGTCTCCACCATCTTGTTTCTCCTGCCCTTATACCACTGCGCCGAGGTCGTTGTTCGTATGGAAAACGAACCCACGACCTCGGCGCTAGCTTGGTCGGCGCTACCGAGTCATATAGTATAAAAATTATGTTTCTCCCTTCCCTTCCGCGAGGCTAGAACGAAAGTTCTAGTTCTAGGAAATTGCTACGTGACCCTTTTAAAGTGAAACCGTTCGACTTTTTTTTTCTTTTTCCATGTGAGATGGCAAGCGAGCTGGCTGTTCACCTGATGTTAAGTGATAACCGCCGCTCATTAACATTGCAGATGCATTTCTCCTTTTAGTCAAGTGGGCCCCGTCTACCTCACTCACAAGGCAAAGCGCAGAAGTGTAACACTTTCACTTCACGCCAGTCTTCTGCGAGGTCGTGGTACTTACCCGGACGTACCTGCCCGTTCGTGCAACAGAGAAGACCTGCGTGGCCCAACTACTTAAAACACTTCGAAGCATTCAAACAAATACGCATACGATTATAAGTTAAAGTTTAACAGACTTCGGCTGTTGTGTGTATCATTTAGGTTTCGAAGGCATTTTAAACTCATACGACTATTTATTTTAAATAGTGTAGTATTTTACAACGTTAGCTGATTGTATTTAAGTGGCAAAGTGTCGAATTCGAATAAAGTTGCACCCTCGTTGTCCCGTGTTGTCCCGGTAACGTCATAGATGGCGCTAGTACGCGCTAACAGGGTTGAATTAAGACGGGTCTCTCGATCTTTCACCAGCTTTAGCGACCTGTTGCGGCTGACGAAGACGCTGCTCAGCATCCTCGACTGCGTCACCGCCATGGACCTTCTAAACGAGACCAGCGCCCTCTCTGGAGAGGTGGAGTGTAAGTGCCTCTGGACTTTTACGCATCGTCTTTTATAATCTTTTGCATCGCCAGCCTCCACACTGGTGGACAAGCGTCATTTACGTGAATTTTTTGTACCAAAATTGGGGATATAAATATAAATAAGGTTTAGCGTTAGTAATATTCTACCGTATGATAACAAATCTAACATTTGCTTTTCAACTGTCAAATGTATCAGCTTTCTTCCAACTTGATCTGCAAATATTGAATATTTACTTATTTTTGTTAATTATTTAAATAGAATATTTTCGGGAATAACGGTAATTTTTTAATAGTGTTAAAAAATTTTTCGAATTGTTTTAGTACTTTTAGAAGTATAAGTCTTTTAGTTCCTTATTAAATTTTTTTTCAACGGGGATAACAACTTACCTTAAATTATTTCTTTGAAAGCAGCCCAGGAATTGGAATTAAAGAAACGTAAGTTATATGTGTTAAAAAAATATTTGTTATAAATTTTGTTTTATTATAATGTTTGTAAAACACGGCGCGAACGAGCTTTTGGCGTTAAAAACGAGAATATGCCTATAACTCTAAAAGTCAGGTTCAAAATGTTCTATTCGTGTAAAAATAAATCATTCCTTCCCAAATAACTTTATTATATTCTACATATACTATAAAATGTTTAGAAAAGTACTAAGAAGTTTAATTGTCTCAATAAGATTAAAAAAAATTTTTATCTATCGTTGTATTATAACGGCAATAATAAGGCATTTATTTTCACTTAATTTACGAGCCTTAGATTCACATTTAGAAAAAAAAATAGCCGTCGTAAACTAATTACTTTTGGCTCATTTGTCCGGGTATTGGCTCCGACCCCGGTGGTCGTTGGTTCGATCCCAACGCGGGACAAGTATTTGTGTGACCCACAGACAATTGTTTCCGATCTGGGTGTTTGTCCACGTGAAATTTAGGATAATGTTATCCTACAGCGAGGGAACTGTTTTTTAAATAGAAATGCGAACAAAAATATCTCACCAGTTTGAACTGAATACGTGTGTTGGTCCAGCCGAGGGCGGTGTGCTGCGCAGCATCGGCGACATGGGCGCCGTGATGACGTCCATTACCCTCGGCTCGGTGGCCCGAAACGTGAGTAGCCCACCAACCGCCCAAAGTTCAAAGCTGGCAAACACTTCGAAGGCTTAATTGATGGTCCATGTAGTGTGATTTTTTTATAATGCACTTTTGAAGTTATACTTCTTTGGGCGCGTTTGGGAAAAATGATGAGAGTAGATTTTACGATGCGCGACATCTAAAAGCGATACCAGCTCGTGTTATCATTGCAAGCGGCATCAACTTTTGACATTCACCTATAATTCCAAGTTATTTTATAAAACCGTTATAAATTGTTTCCAATGTTGCACTGTTGACTACTGGCACACGGGATAAAAATTTTCGTTTTTATTCTTTTGTTCAGCTGAAAACGAATAAATATATAAATAATTAATCAATATCATAAAATAATATAAATACCTACGTGCGTACATAAATAAGCACACACGTGTTTTTAAATCAACAAAGAGACTCAAAAATCTGTGCAAAATACAATATCTCTCGTACTCCTCTGCGATTAAATCACTACGTTGTATAAAACAAAGTGTTCCTGCTGCCTCTGTCCCTATGTATGATTAGATCTTTAAAACTACGCAACGGATCTTGATGCGGGTTTTTTTACTAGATATTCAAAAGGAAGCTTTATATGTATAATACATTGCACCCGTGCAAAGCCGGGGCGGGTCGCTAGTAACTAATAAATTTTGTCCCTGGTGGGTGGGGGCGCAACAGGTGGTGGGCGGCGGCAACGGTGGTGGGGTGCAACGCAGCCCGTCGGCGCTCGCCCTGGCGCGAAAACACCCCCTCGTGATGGACACCAAGCTCAAGATCATCGAGATACTGCAGGTCAATGTCATCGCATTGTCACGATCACAGATATGCAATAATGAAACTTGTAACAGGGACATACGTGTTCATTTTCCCTTGGCTTATCACGTGCTCAGCGGTGAAAAGATAATCGTGTGGAAACCTGTAATTTTCGAAAAAAGTAAAGTAAAGTATCAACCTGTAAATGTCCCACTGCTGGGCAAAAGCCTCCTCTGTACAGAGGGTATCAGGGCGTAAGCCACCACGCGGCCGCACTGCGAATTGGCGGACTTCACATATCTTCAAAAAAAAAATATTATTATTTCGAATATATGCAGGTTTCCTAACGATGTTTTCCTTCACCGTTGAGCACGTGATAATTCAGCACTGAAAATTAACAATTTCATTGGTGCCGGCACCGGGGATATCGAACTCAGGTTGCTTGAGTATAATTGAATTAAAGGCGAGGGCCCGGACACTGAGCTATCACGGCTATCACGGCATTATAACAAAAATTATTGCGAGTATATGTCAAGTCCGCCTATCCGCAGTGGGTTCGCGTCATGGACGATGCCCTAACAGTGATCGAATGTCCTAATATCGAATCTGTATAGAGGAGGCGTTTGCCCAGCAGTGTGACATTTATAGGCTGATACTTTACTTTTTTTACTTTTATGTGACAATGTCCGGATCTCCACCGCAGTTCATCCTGGACGTGCGGCTCGACTACCGCATCAGCTGCCTGCTCTCCATCTTCAAGAAGGAGTTCGAGCAGGCCGGCGAGCGACAAGCCGACAGCCTCGGCCGCGCCGACGTCGAGGCCATCGGCCTCCAAGCCGAGGGCATATTCAGCTGCCGGTGGGTGCATGTGATTAACTATTTCGGGGGAGGGTCTTTGTTACTCATTACGACTCTAATGATCCCATGGGACACTCGCAAAGGGCTTGGGTGACTAATTTTTAACGAATTGCCACGTCTCGTGGTGAAAAATTAATAAATAATATATGTTTAATAGATATTGAAAAGTAGATATTCAATAACTTTTTATTTATAATAAAGGAAATAATTGTGGATTATTTATAATAAGAGATAATGAAGTCTCCAAACGCTTTTTTATATTTAAAGTAAAAAGCAAATCAGCTTTATGTTAGGGTGATTTATAAATATTTTTAAATAGTAATTTAAATGTTAATTATCGTGACTAACGCATGTTGATACGTTCTGTAGTTACGTGTTATAACAAAGATGTTCTACGTGAATGAAGTTTTTCTTTCTTTGTTATTATTAAGATAAGAAACGTAAAGTGATTACATCCAATTATTATTAAGTTTTGAGATGGCAAGAGAGATATTTATAATTCAATCTCAATTACAATTCTGTGATGTACATACATATGTAATAAATTTTTCTGCACTGTTGGAATTTGACTTCATAGTTCACACTTTTATTACCTTGTATTATTTATTATCTGTAGAATTAGACTATACTCTATAGTATTGCGTGAAAACTTATATAACATTTTGATTTCTCTTAACACTATTGAATAGCAACTGATATACTCGAAATCTGTTTAGATATACTCGAGAAATGCGTTATGTAGTAAATCTTAGATTTTTCATTCTCCATCATTAGTTTAAATGTCATTTAGACATCTACAATCATTCTTAAGCACATATATTTTCTAATGGGTTATAAAAAACTTGCAAATTGTCTATATTAAATATTGAAGTATATTGAATTTATAAATGGCTAATGTTTTATGTTTAGCTGATAAACGATCTTACTCTTGATGTAGCTAATACATAATATTTATATATACCATATTGGGATTTACTAAACACATTCATTTTTATTTTTTAACCTGTTCAATAGCATTTTAAAATGAACAAATATAGAGAGTATAAGACTTTATAAATATTTGGGTGATATGATTGTTAGCCGAATATGGTAAATTTATGTGTAAATTTATCTCTTTAATATACATTTGGCATACATATAAAGAATATATCGTTTTCTATGGTGATGGTCCATTAACGAAATGGGATGCTTGACAATCTCTTAATATTTTATTGTTCTTTTCTGAATTGTATCTTATATTTCAGAGCGATACAGACTGTGCCTGACAACTGTCTTCCAAAAAATGTAGATTTGTTAGTAAGATGAACAATACAATGCATGATTCGAGTGCTAGCTAGTGCGTGTAACAGCATGGGGCCTCGCACTAACAACCTACTGGATGCATAATTGCGTTCTATTAATACCAGTTTTATACGCTTCTAACCAACCAACCTAAGTTTAATTCAGCCTAGCTAATAGAATGGCGTGTTGACTTTGTGGACAACCAATAAACAATGGGAGAAGTTGCTAGAATTGTCTAGTTTTTATTAGAAAAATACCACCCTTATCAGCTATAGTCATGGGTGGATACTTTTAAACCACCTTAAAAGATGAATGTATCAGAGAAGATATATGCCAACGGAGAGTATTGCTTTCTCATTCGCGCGCTAGCCAAAATCGCTTCCTGTCTCGCTCGAACTACATGGTGTATAGTCGCGAAGAAATTTGCTAGGTGGTTTAGTGAACGTAAATTCTATACATAATTGATAGCATTGTTAAGCTAGTTTTCCATTTGACTGTACAAGTACAGAACTCGCGGAACCAAATTTGCGCAAAAAGCGGTGCTTATCCTATTCAGAAATATAAACCGAACATTTTAATACAGATATATTTATATTAACCTCCCATTGTTTTATAAGTAATACGTTCATGAGAATACATTTTTGTTACTGAAATGTGTGTCCATTGTATATTTGTGTGAGTTCGGACATTTAGAATTGAATTCATTGTTACAGATGTTTGCCTTTTTGTTTGTTTGTCTATGTGTGCGTGAAAATGTTCGCACGTTTCTGTGTGTACCTAAGTGTGTAGAGTGTAATCCCCAGCACATTCAATTATAATTTGTTTCACGTTTGCGTTGTCTTAATGTCGCCCAGAGTTGATTTTTCTGCTTTTTAAGATTTGCTGTTTTGTTATCTTTCGCCCGCTTTTCCATAGGTCTGTTTATTTTGTGTCATTTTGCAAATGGATCCACCGCGTGCTCAGAAAGCTACCGTATGGGAGTGTGTGTCTGATATTTATAAAATGATCACCAAATAGATTTTTGTCTTTTGTAAGTAAATGTTATGCTGTGTTAATATTTATTTTGGTCCGTTAAGGATTAAGATCTGTTAAAATTGTTTTATTCCAATTTTTAATAATTGTTAAAAGTTTTTAATATTAATTTAATCTTTCTATTCAAAGCATCTACAAATTTTATTTGATTTTATTTGAGATACAAAACCAATACAGTGTTTTTTTACATCCATTGTTTCAACTTACAGTAGGTTTTATGGGATTTTACATATTCTTGTAAAAGCAATAACAGTGTTCTACACCTCCGTTTTCAATTTCAGTTGTAATTATAAATGTCATTTTTGAAGTTATCTTCACACAATGTAATTATGATCGTTTCAAACGACAGACAAGAAAAAGTTAACAGCAATAATAATTTGGATTATCAAGAAAAATACGATAGTTAATTAAATATTTGAATACATCGTAAAAATAAATTTATAATATAGCAATAAAATAGCAATAACGGAACGATTCGAGTGAGATTAAGTAGGTGTTTTAATAATGCGTGTGGGGTGTGTGTAGAATACGTTTGTGTGCCAATCGTATACGTAAATGTATGTATAAATACGTTTCATTTTTATTATGTCGCACATCATAAATCGATTCATACAATTACCGATCGCATTAAATAATACAAGCTTGCACATGAAACACAAAATGGACAGACCGCTACCACTCGTAGCCGCTCCACGCCGCCGAGCGAATCGTGACCCTACGTTACAAGCAATACGGTCGTGTTTATAGACGGCCTGGATCTGGACGAGTGCGGCGGCCGCATGGTACACGCCGCCAAGCGAATCGCGACCCTATGTTAACGTAATAAGGTCGTGTTTAGGGACGGGTTGGACCTGGATGAGTGCGGCGGTCGAATGGTGCTCAGGGTGCTGCTGCAGCTGTGCTCGCAAGGGGCGTCCGCCGCGCTCGTGTCGGGCGCCCTGGCGCTGCTCTTCCGCCACTTCAGCCAGCGCCAGGAAGTGCTGGCGGCGTTCAAGCAGGTCGGTGATGTCACTCCTTGCCACACTTCCGTTTCCAGTTGGAAATGTGGGGGTTGCGGGGTTATTTTGAAAATGGAACGGACATTTACGCGACTCTGTTTGCGAGTGATAGGTCAGTGTCTGCGCTTCAATTTAGTATTAAAGAGCAAGCTGACTTCAAACTTTAATTGGAACTTATTACATGATCATCGGTGAAGGATACGTGAAGTCTGCTAATCCGCCATGGGGCGGACTATACCCTAATTTAATATCCTCTGTACATAGGAGTCCGTGACCCATCAGTGGGACGCACATATGTTCGCTACTATGACGACATCTTTTTTTTTTTTATATAACAAGCTAGGAGTTGGTTCACCTGATGTTAAGTGAATACCGCCGCCCATGGGCATCTGCTACACCCGAGGGTTGCAGTTGCGTTGACAACCTTTTGAAAATTGGGCTCCGGCCACCTCACTCACCAGACGAAACGCGAAAGTATTATACTTCCACTTTACGGCGGTCTTCTGTGAGGTCGTGGTACTTACCCGGACGAGCCTGCCCATTCGTGCAACAGCCGAGGCTGCTGCGTCGCCCTACCACATAGACTACCAATTAAAGAAATCGTAACTAAAGTAAAGGAACTATAATACCCTCTGTATTTTTTATTATACGGACTGAGACGGTATTAGTTCAAAAAGAAGCCGGCACATAAGGATATGTAACGCTGGCTACGCCCCCAGGTCCAGCTGCTGGTGTCCGACGCAGACGTGGAGTCGTACAAGCAGATCAAGGCAGACCTGGACGTGCTGCGGCAGAGCGTGGAGAAGTCGGAGCTTTGGGTGTTCAACAAGGGACGCGCCGGCGCCCTGGACGACCACAGTGGTACGAAACGTCTGTCTCCCTAGACGCAGATAGATAAAAAACCGGCCAAGTGCGAGTCGGAATCGCGCACGAAGGGTTCCGTTATCTAAAAAAAACGGCAAAAAAATCATGTCTGTTGTATGGGAGAGGCACTTAAATTATTTTTTTATTCTGTTCCGCCTATACACAATGTTTATTTTTTGTGTAAAAATTTAAATAAATAAATATATAATAAACAAATAAGCTCAAATTGGTGTAATTAGATTGCAATTCTATAGACTGCTTTTTCCGTACCACACTTTATATCTATAATCTGTCACACTCAGTTACATATATGTCGTATAATGTAAAGCTGAATTTTTAAACGTATACACAACCTAAACCTATATTATTAAACATCATTGGAGACACCAACTAAAAATACTCGCCCCGCAGACATCAAAGGCACCGCGGGGCCCGGCGGAGCCGTTCTAGACCGGAACGCCTCCCTCGACAACGTTCTGGACACGTCGCGTACAACGAAGTACGACCACATGAACGAGTACAAGAAGATCAAAGAGGCGAGTTCTTCCCGTCTCGACGTTTAATTTATGAAGCTTCTTTATTCAATTATATCAATAGCAATTATTTATATAGTAAACGTTTCATTGGCTTTAGGAACAGCGATTAGTCTTATGACTGTTATAGGCGTTTTTTAAAAAAAAAACATCTCCCTTACTTTAGGATAAGATTATCCTGTGTTGTAAAGACGTTTTACAAACGTAAATTTCAAGCGGACAAACACCCAGATGCGAAACAACTATCTGTGGGTCTTGGCAACTACGCCACGGAGTCAGGGAGGTTATTTACAACATTAACCAAACGGAAAGAAAACTTTTCATCATCATCATTTCAGCCTGTTTGAGTCCACTGCTGAACATAGGCCTTCCCCACAGACTGCCACGAAGCACGATCCTGATCCTGAGCCACCTGCATCCATCTACTTCCCGCACATATACTGCGATGTCGTACGAGGTTGCCACTCGAGAACCCTTTCCCCCAACTATGAGCTACATGGCTGGCCCATCGCCACTTCAACTTACTAATCCTCTGAGCTATGTCGGTTAGCTTTGTTCTACTGTGGACGTATTCGTTCCGAACTCTATCCCGCAGAGGACGCTATCTAAAAAAACTTTCGAAACCTAAAAATCACAAAATGGACACTTACGCTAAGTTAAAATATATTCCGAACAAAACAACGTGAACCACTAAAGAGGCAGCTTTTAGACATTTTTTAAAATCCTTACTTAATATTATAAAGGCGAAAGTTTGTTTGTATGGATGGATGTTTGTTACGTTCACGCAAATAATACTGAATGGATTTTAATGAAACTACAATAATATAGCTTATGCATCAGACATATGCTATAATTTATATACATATTTTATGTTTATCGTGTCTTTCTATCTGAATGTTACGCCTTCAGCCTATTCTGCGCAGACGTAGTCGCGGGCAGCAGCTAGTGTTAAATATGGCAACAGCTTAGGGTTAGGTTTAGGGTTACATCGAGAATGGCTGCACTTGTTCAATACAATTTTCTAAGTTTCATTGAAATGAAAGTAAGTGTTTGATACCTACCCTCGGCAGATCCTGCACCGCATGATAAAGTACTGCACCCAGGGCAACAGCGGCCCCTCGGAGCCGGGCAAGCCGCGCCGCCACGAGCAGCGGCTGCTGCGCAACATCGGCGTGCACAACGTAGTGCTGGACCTGCTGCAGGTGAGCGCTGGGCGGTTGTGCTCATTTGTAGGGTTCCGTACCTCGAAAGGTAAAAGAGGGTACGTACCCTTATAAGATCACTCTCTTTTCCGTCTGTCTCACCGTGCGCCACTGCCGATTTTCTCAGAAACGGGTGGACTTAGCAAGCTGCAATTTATACCAGATACTGAGGTCCATATCGTCAGTTGAAATATAAATTATTGTAACCACCAAAAGGCGACTTTACAGGAGAGGCAAAAACTAAATTACGATTCACAAAAATAGTTGAAACTTTTTGCATACTTATCCTATCGCAATGCTGTTTGGAGCATTTTTTTCAAAATTCTGACATCTCATCTCTAAAAGAAACCATAAGAAGCCTACTATTATAATTTCGAAAATGGCACGGTGGTTACGTTAATTTTATTTTTTAAATATCGCGTTACGTTAAGATTTTTTGTAATAAATAATAACAGCTATAACGTAACTCACAGAGTTTTCAAGACGTCGACATAAGTTGTGATGTATTGACTGTAGAAGTTATGTACTTAATCTCTTAAAATATGGGCAAATCCTATATTCTTATTAATTTAAGTTAAAAATTCTTTTTCATGAATACCAACAATTTTCAAATTTTTCATTATAAATTTTACATCCATCCCATTTTTCCATCGTATTCTCAACAGAATCCATTTTTAGTTTTGGGTTCATAACAGAGTCAAATTATAAACTGCACACTTTCTTGAGTAGTAAAGCAGCATACTCTGGCCATGGGTATTAAGGACTTTCTGGAGATCAAAATTAGCTATCACAGTGGAGTTGATATAGTAGTCTACCTGATATATACCATGCTATAAACGAAGTGAAATATATTCTAATGTATTTCACTTCGTTTATAGCATGGTTTTTAGATGATTTTTGTAATCATGGGTCTCCTGTTCATTCATAACTGCATAGAAAAATTACGGAAAAAACGTTCACTCAAATAGTCAGGTGAATTGTCTTCGCAATATTATACGTAAAGACGGCACAGTTTAGTCAAACTTAAAATTAGCTCAGTGGCTATGCCGAAGACGTGGGTTCGATTCCCACAGCGGCGACAATCTTTTCGCATGTTTTCGTAGCAAAATGTTGATATCTTTCATAGTAGCACTATTGATTAAATTTTTACAAGCAATGGCGACATCTCTCGTTCGAATTATCGTTGTAAAATATTCGTAGTTGTTTGTATGCTGGAAAGGATATAACAATAGATGGCACCAAGCATTGCTTCAAATGCTAAGAAAACAATGTGGAAGAATGCGTCGTTAAGATTTTCGTCGGTGTGGTAATCAGCCGTTTAGCTCAGTGGCTAGAGCGTCAGGCCGCGAATGCCGAAGACGTGGGTTCGATTCCTTTTCTAATATTTAATGTTAAATCTTAAGTGCAAAGATTAGCACTATAAACAATTTAAATTTCTTAAAAAGCAATGGCGACATAGTCTCGTTCGAATTATCGTTGTAAAACGATATTCGAAGTTGTTTGTATGCTGGAAAGGATATAACAATAGATGGCACCAAGCATTGCTTCAAATGCTAAGAAAACAATGTGGAAGAATGCGTTAAGATTTTCGTCGGTGTGGTAATCAGCCGTTTAGCTCAGTGGCTAGAGCGTCAGGCCGCGAATGCCGAAGACGTGGGTTCGATTCCCACAGCGGCGACAATCTTTTCGCACTTTTCTACATATTTTAATGTTAAAATATTGAGATAAATATGATAGTACTGGCAAATCTTCTATTTATTTCGTAGCAAAGTTGTTGATATTTTCATAGTATTTATTGATTACATTTTTACAAGATTGACTCTTACATTACCAACTTTGTTTCACATTGGGCCAAATGCGTCGTTATATTAACCCATACTTGATCATTCTCATAAAATGTATTGTACATCCACAAAAATTAATGAAAATTATTAAAAATAGTCGGATTTTTTTTTAAGTAATCGCCATTATTATCATCATATCGAGATTTTAAAGATACCAGTCGATGGAGCGAAAAATTTGCAGACGAACTATATATTTAACTCAATTTCGTCATTTTGGCGGTTACATTAATTGATATTACAACTGACGATATACCCTATTAGGTGTATAAAAATCAATACACGAATGGTCAGGTCCGTCCGGGTAAGTACCACGACCGCACAGAAGACCGGCGTAAAGTAGAAGTTCCACATACGTGGCAACGCATTTGCAACCCTACGGGTGTTGCAAATTTACACGGGCGGCGGTTATCACTTAACATCAGGTGAACCGCCAGCTCGTTTGCCACTTTCTCACATAAAAAACACTCGCGGCACAGGAATTATTTCCAAGGAGTAGACTTGTTTTTTTGTTAAAATCAAATAAGTTACTTAACTTAATTAAAAAAAGGTTTTAGTTGATTACTCAAGTAGATATCTCCATGAAATATGTTACAGGTGCCGCATGACGAAGACGACGCCGCCATGGACGAGCTGCTCGCCCTGGCGCACGAGTTCCTGCAGCGCTTCTGCCACGGCAACCAGCAGAACCAGGCGATACTGCACAAGCACCTAGACCTGTTCTTGAACGCGGGCGTTAGTACTTTTAATAGGCTAGATTTATTCGTTGAATCGAACAGGTAACAGATGTTACATTGTAACTATGTTTCTTTTTTTTTTTAAATAATATTATAGTTCATTTTTACGGGTAAAATATCTTGATTGTCCAATTTTTAGCTCTATAAATGAAAGTAACCATAAAATTAACGGCCACGCAGCAGCCTAGGCTGTTGTACGAATGGGCAGGCTTGTCCGGATAAGTATCACGACCTCACAGAAGACTGGCGTAAAGTGGAAGTATATTACTTTCGCGTTTCGTCTGATGAGGTAGCCGGAGCCCAACTATCAAAAGGTTGTCAACGCATCTACAACCCTCGGGTGTAGCGGACGTCCATGGGTGGCGGTGTTCGCTCAACATCAGGTGAAACGTCCGCCCGCTTGGCAGCTTTCACATAAAAAAAGAATGAAGATCACTGCGGATCGGCAGATTTCACGTGTTATGTAAAATCGCGCGCAGATCCGCGAGGCGCAGACGGTGTGCGCCATCTTCGAGGAGAACCCGTCGCTGTGCGCGCACGAGGGCAACGAGAAGGTGGCCGCGCATTTCGTGCACTGCATAGAGACGCGCGGCCGCCGCCCCGCCTACCTGCGCTTCCTGCGCACCATCGTCAGGGCGGCCGGGCAGCACATACGGCGCAGCCAGGACCTCGTCATGCAGGAGGTGGGCGCCGACACGCTACTGACCGATTCGCTGTGCGGGAGGCAGGGGGTGGGCGATCATGCGTATCGACACATCGGTGACCGTTTTGCTGTGGGGGAGGCAGGGGGTGGGCGATCATGCGTATCGACACATCGGTGACCGTTTTGCTGTGGGGGAGGCAGGGGGTGGGCGATCATGCGTATCGACACATCGGTGACCGTTTTGCTGTGGGGGAGGCAGGGGGTGGGCGATCATGCGTATCGACACATCGGTGACCGTTTTGCTGTGGGGGAGGCAGGGGGTGGGCGATCATGCATATCGACACATCGGTGACCGTTTTGCTGTGGGGGAGGCAGGGGGTGGGCGATCATGCGTATCGACACATCGGTGACCGTTTTGCTGTGGCGGGAGGCAGGGGGTGGGCGATCATGCGTATCGACACATCGGTGACCGTTTTGCTGTGGCGGGAGGCAGGGGGTGGGCGATCATGCGTATCGACACATCGGTGATCGTTTTGCTGTGGCGGGAGGCAGGGGGTGGGCGATCATGCGTATCGACACATCGGTGACACACAAGCGACCGTTTTACTGTGGGGAAAGGCAGGAGGTAGACACTCATATGTGTTTTACAAGCGCCCCGAGAAAAAAAACGCTTATCGGCAAGATTTGAAACGTCGACATTTTCATTCATTTCAGTATGGGGCACGTCACTAACTAAAAAAACTACATATTTTACATTTAATCCGCAACATAATATGAAATGTCAAACAAAATAGGCATTAAAATAAGTACATTGTAATTTTTTTTTAATATTTTTGTGTAACACTTTCGGTTTAAAATCTTATGCCTCAGTTGCTTACAATGGTAGCTCCACATTTTTGAAAATTATTTTTCTTTAACCATTAAATCGCAAGAACAAATTCTAAACAATAGTGTAGAGTATCAATCGTATATGACATCGTAATCCATAATGCATTCAAAGATTAACTCACGCATTTTTGCCTTTCCTGTTAAATTTGCGTTTTATCACATAATTCTGTTTACCTCTGAGATACAAAAATATACTAGAAATTACTTTCAAGTATATTTCTGTATCTCAGAGGTTTACAGTTACCTGTGAGGAACCTTTTTGTGTGGGAATCTAAAGTTTATCAAAAATTAATAATAAGTAAAATAATAAAAGTAACAGCCTATACATGTCCCACTGCTGGGCAAAGGCCTCCTCTATACAGAGGGTATCAGGGCATAGTTCACCACGCGGCCCCATTGCGGATTGGCGGACTTCACATATCTTCGAAAAATATTTTTTTTTAATTATTTCGAAAATATGCAGGTTTCCTCACGATGTTTTCCTTCACCGCGGAGCACGTGATAATTCAGCACTTAAAGTTAAAAACTTCATTGGTGCCGGCACCGCGGATCGAACTTAGGTTGCTCGAGTATATTGAATTAAAGGCGAGCGCCCGGACACTGAGCTGTCAAGGCTCAAGTAAAATAATAAGCAAAAGGAATTCGCATACTACATTAATATGACTTAATTGCAGATGGTAAATGCGGGTGAAGACGTCCTCGTGTTCTACAACGACAAGGTGTCGTTTAACTACTTCATACAGATGATGCGTCAGTACAAGCAGACAAACGAGATGCCTGAAGCCTTGAGGTAATACGAACCTCGCAACTAATTACAATGATAATTCTGTATAGTTTATCATTCAGATTACCGCGACTCAGACGTAATTTTAATGGCGATATTAACGTGTAGTTGTAAATCATCGTTTAATATTGTACATAGACTCAGGAAAACTTATTGGCTGTGATCTAGAGAATAGTAACTATCGAATAACATAATTTCTTAAGAGCTTCATTTAAATAAAACAATTCTACAAAGATTCATAAGCTCTCGTCTTCCTGCAATGTGTAATATTGTAGTAATGATATTTATTTATTCCAAAAAGCCCTTGAGCTCTGGTGAAAATCCTTTTTTGTGGGTTACAGCGATTATTTCTTACGTCGATATACACAAGGCTGCTGACAATTACTATATATAGACATGGCAACAATCAAAAAATTATATAATCAAAAACTTTACCCACCAATACAATTTGAGCTCCATTCCCGCAATCGTCTTTTCGCCTCCAGGTACCACATCCAACTGGTCAAGCTGCTGACGTGCTGCACGCTGGGCAAGAACGTCTACACGGAGATCAAGTGCCACTCGCTCCTTCCCCTGGATGATATAGTGGCTATGATCACCCATCCCGACTGCATTCCCGAGGTGGCCTTCGAGTTTTTCAATAGATGTATTAATAATCGCTGTTACCAATGTTTACTGTGGTAGGGCCACGCAACAGTTTCTGCTGTTGCAAAAGTATCACGGCCTCACAGAATATCGGTGCGATTTGGAAGTTAATTTCAAGTGAGGTAACCGGTACCCGGTTGTCAACGCATCAGCAAAGCCATCGGATCTTGAAGAGGTCCATGGGTAACGGAATTCGTTTAACATTAATTGAAGTGCCAGCTCGCATAATAACAAAAAAAAAATAACCAACAGCCGATACATCACACCGCTAGGCGCGGGCAGATTCTGTTCAGTACAGGTTGCGTAGTTAGAACGCGCACACAAAGTTTGGTATAATCGTTAAATTACTTTGAGCTTTGATTATGTATCAATTTTTTTCAATCCATCAACTGTTGAGATCTCTCTTTCTCTCATAAAAAAATTACCTGAGTCGATGTTAATTCTCTCGTCGTGACCGTGTTTATGAGTAAAGTGATACTTTGGAATAAATAACTTCCAGGTGAAAGAGGCGTACGTGGGCTTCCTGAACCACTGCTACATCGACACGGAAGTGGAGATGAAGGAGATCTACTCGAGCAACTACATGTGGGACCTGTTCGAGCGCTCCTTCCTGCAAGACATGCAGGCCATTCTGCAGAGCGACGCCTCCGTCTACAACGCTCCTGGTTTCTGCTGCTTTTTTTCTTTTTTATATGCAATAAAAACAAAGTCAGACCAAGATGTTTAGATTTTCGCCCGATAGGATCACTTATCGATCACTTAGCTTAGTGTCTGGGCGCTTTACTAGGAAGGAGCAGGTTCAACTCCTGACAGCGACGTAATAAATTTTTGACATTTTATCTACACATCTTGATCTGTAGAACTGTAGATCAGAGATTACTAGCCAAGATAAATTGTCTATTTATATTGGCTAGTAATTTTTTTTGTAATGTAAGACTACGGGTTGAGGCGGCATTCGTTTCCACTTGTGCAATCATCTTAAATACAAATCACCGCGATTCGTCATTGTGATCGTAGATGAAACAGTGAACGTATCAATGAAATAGATTCACACGTGGCGGTGACCACTTGATGCCTTTATAAAGCTAAACATCATGATCCTCGCAGCATCTCCTGGTGTTGCATAAATGGGCAAGCTCGTCCGGGGAAGTACCACGACCTCACAGAAGATCGGTGTTAACTTGAAGAATTACACTTTTGCGTTTAGTCGTGTGAGTGAGTGAGGTAACCGGGGACCAGTGTCACTTTTCAAAGGTCAACTATGGCTATAATTATGGTGACTCCGCGAGGCAGTGGCCAAGGTATTGGCTTCGGCGTCAAGGGTCGTGGGTTCGATTCCCACACGAGACAACTAATTGTGCGACCCACAGATAGTTGTTTCGCATCTGGGTGTTTGTCCGCGTGAAGTTAATGTTTGTAAAACGTCCTTACAACACAGGATAAAGTTATCCTAAAGTAAGGGAAATATTTTTTACTACACAATAAAAAAAAGGTTGTCATCGGGTGTTGAAGATGTCCATCGGCAGCTGCGTCAACATCGACCGAACCGCTGTTTTCCCATACCCTCGGCACCTAAATCGCCGCTGCCCGTCACTAGATTGTTCATTACGGACACATGGAATCTGGCAGGCTGTTCGGGCGCTGGGGCCGCGGCGGGCACGCAACGCGCCTGGCTCAACTACGTGACGGACGTGCTGGTGCACACCATCTGCACCTTCTTCAACTCGCCCTTCAGCGACCAGAGCACCACCGTCCAGGTCCTTCACCGACACCCTCCCCCGAACACCCCAACCCCCCTCTTTCCTTATACAGGGAGACTTTTTTAAAGGTGCCCAAATTTACACAGGTGGTTCAGACTCGGCGGTATAATCGTTTATTGGAATCACGAACGACATCGAACTTTTTTTTTAATTTAATTACCACTCTATTCCGTAAAAAACACATACTTGTTGACAACGCGGTAGTTATTCATAAATACCTAAATTTTACTGTTCACGCACACAAAAGAACTTGTATGCGTGTTAGTTATGAATGATCGCGCGTAAAATAAATGAGTTGCGTATAAATCACGCAAATTTTGAGATAAGTTCAAATGAATGTAATTAATTATTTACGAGTGATTTAAAATATTTAACATTGTTATAAAACATTATTTATGCCTAGAATTTAATTAAAAAAAATGGATACACTTAGAAAAGCCTCCCTGTATAAAGGAAATTTTAGTCTGCCGTTGTGCGCGCATCCCAAGGAAAGTAATAACTTATAAGCTAAAATTAAAAAGTCTTGCTAGGGTGCGCGTGTTTTATCTGCTTAATAAATTAAATTTCGTATCTGATCATCATCATCACAATTAAAATCTTCATTTCAGCCTGTTAGAGTCCACTGATGAACATATCCCATTGACCATTTTATAACTATTACAGAAAACTGCACCTGCAGTCCGTTGCTTCTGCCCAATCTTGTCATCCGCGCAAAACGAGCTTAATAACGGACTAAATATAACTACAACTATCTCCAAAATAATTCCCACTCAAGGTGAAGGTTGCAGAATGATTCAACTCGTTATTCTGCCTTACTCCTTATAATTATTAAAATTGATTAATTTGATGATTATTTATTTATGTATTGTACATTTAGCACATTGAATGTACCGTACTAAAATTCAGCACTAAAATAAAAACGAAAAACTCATCCTAAAAGAGTACTAATATTTTTATATCTGTAATTAAAATACAATAGTTTGTCACTATGTAAGTTGTTTATAAATCTATGTCTAAATATGTATTAATAACGATAAATATTATTTTAATGTTCCTCCGGATCGAATTAAAGTAAGTATGATTTATATATAGAAATATTAAATTATACATACAGTAATAAATATTATAAAAGAAGTTATAGTATAAATTGGCACTTATATATTTCAAAGACTAGTCGCTAATTAATTCTTTCCCATAATATACTTACGATTAACTACTAGCACTAGCAGAAATCTGAATTTGGTCAAAGCGGGGCAAACCCTCGACTGTTGGACGCCCGGTTGACAACCCCTCACTTATTGCAGACGCGGCAGTCGATCTTCGTGCGGCTGCTGCAGGCCACGTTCCGCATCTACCAGTGCCCCTGGCTCACGCCGCCGCAGAAGCTCAACGTCGAGAAGTGCATACGCACGCTCAGCGAAGTCGGTAAGCCTCACCCCCCCCCCCCCCCCCCCCCCCCACGCATCCCCCAAAACTCCCCTCTCACACCTACTTTTTCTCTTCTTTCCCCTACTGCCTCCCCTCCACTCATTCCTACTTTCACCCCCACTTTTCCTCCTCTCACTCAGTCCTCTTCACTCCTCCCCACGCCCTCTTTTCATGTCCTTTCACCACTCTGCACTTCCCTCCATTCTCTCCCCTTTTCGCCACTCTCCTTATAAAAACTAAATAACTACCCGCTTTAGACACTGTTTAAGTGTATCGATCGAAACTTCAACGCAATAAAACTTATTTGCTGTACTGACAAAAAGGGTAGTAATAATCAAATTAGGTATAATGCCCTAAATGGTACGTGGGAAGGAAAAAGGCAAGAAATTTATCGTATTGAAGTGATTAAAATTAGGATTTAATTTAATTGAAATTTTATTTGAAGTGATGTTTTTTTAGTGTTTCAAATGTTCTGTGCCGAAGTGGTAGAACTCTTCAAAATTCCCATTTTATGTGTAATTGTTGTTTACTTACTTCGTTACGTTTATGAAATTTTTTTGCCTTATATTAGACGATAAACCTGTTTTAATATAAAATGCAGCTAAAAGCCGAAGCATCGCCATACCACTGGAGCTAGAAGCCATGATACAGACGGTGTTTGAAAAAGCGGCCGCACTCTCCCGCCAGACCAGCAAATGGCTTCTTGCCTCCAAGACGTCGAAACTGGAGAAGATGGCCTCGCAGGTAATAATTCTTCAACATTTTTATTTAACGCCCGATGTATTTTGTTTTCAAACTTTACACTATATCGTTTGCAGTTCACCATCGTTGAAATTATTTTCGATTTCTAAACAATCTCCAAGGTCTCTAACGTGATATTATTTATTTTTTATATTTTAATCTTTTCCATAACTTGAGTTTGCTTGTGTATGTATGTATGTTTATACTAATTTTTTATTATTACCGCGTGCTAATATCTGGCTTAATATTAAAATAATAAGTTCTATTTCAATAAAATTATATTCTCGACGTCATCGAACAACATTGTTTTCAAGAACAAATTAATTTCTTGTTTAAAACTCTTCCATAAATTTAGTATTTGTCTAATAACGCTAATTTTTAATTATTGCTACGACCATCAAAATTCCATTAACATTAAAAGAAAAAAAAATAAAATACAATTAGATCCTTAACTTACATCGGTTTTTGGTCCTTAAATTATCAAGGAGTGTATCCCCATCTGGAGCTAAGTAGTTTTCACATGCCGAATTTATTTTTATGGCAACTTGGGATTACACTTACATATATTGTAAACGTTGTTTCAGTTCGATTTAGATGAAATTCGATTGCTACTAAACAGCTTGAAAACAAATACGAACTTTTTGGTTTAATTGGTTAAATCAACAAAATGTTTATATTATGTTAAGGACCTGGACAAGAAAAAATTATATACATACACGTGCACATTTACACTATTTAGTTTTATGAAAAATATGATATTTTTTTTAATGCATAACGATTAATTTATATTGTTTTATAATTTTCTTGCGTCAATTGTCTCTGCTCACCCTAACTGACATGGCTTTGTGCAGTTAGGGTCTAGATGTTTTAACGAATTCTTGTTATTTTATATCCTAACTGAAAGGAGGAAGCGTTGGAACAGCCCGAGAGCACAGATCCGTCGAGGAGCGAAGTGAGTCTTGAATCACACACCCGAAAATGTCATCGTGACGTTTCTACCTGTCAGTTTGACGCTGTCACAGTTTTGTTTGACGTGCGCTCCTTTTGCCTTATGTTATTACTTTGCCCCGGTTGTCTGGCGTTTGCGTAAAGTCAACTTAATTTTTTTTTACCTTAGAATACAGATGGTGAAAACTGTTATTGTGATTTTTGTTAACAATTTTAAGTTATACCTACTCAATTCGAAGTTAAAACTTGACGGAAAGTAAGATTTATAATTATTATTGTGCAACACCAAAGCTGCCACGTGGCCCTGCCGTAATTTAAATCGTTTCGCTTAACATCAATGAAATCTATGTATGTGTTGACATTTGATTGTTTTGGTTTGATCTAGGGTTGACTGTGTAAGTTAAGGACTTACAGACAACATATTAAATACCCAATATTATCTATAAGTCCCTTCGACTTAGATAGTTAGAATATGTATATAAAAATCAAATCGACTCGGTGGCGGAACTGCTAAGCTATCGGCCTCGGCGGACGGGGTCGTGGGTTCGATTCCCACAACTATTTACGTGACTCACAGATAATTGTTCCTTATCTGGGAGTTGACTCCCTAGGCGGGTTGGCATGAGTAAGTTAAAAATAGTAATGTTCAAAAAACATACTTCGCTTATAAACAAAATAGTAAAACCTACTTCCTCGCCTAAAATAGGTCAACTACACATACATGCCGAACGAACATGAAGAAACTCCTTAATTTTCGATCCTTTTCCTATTTGTATTAGTTAAAATCTTTACCTATTTTATTACATAGAGCCGTGATAGCCCAGTGTCCGGGCGCTCGCCTTTAATTCAATATACTCGAGCAACCTGAGTTCGATCCCCGGTGCCGGCACCAATGAAGTTTTTAACTTTAAGTGCTGACTTATCACGTGCTCCGCGGTGAAGGAAAACATCGTGAGCAAACCTGCATATTTTCGAAATAATAACAAAAAAAAATATATTTCGAAGATATGTGAAGTCCGCCAATCCGCAGTGGGGCCGCGTGGTGGACTATGCCCTGATACCCTCTGTATAGTTTGCCTTTGTCCTTTTTTCTGTATAGTCGGCCTTTGCCCAGCAGTGGGACATGTATAGGCTGTTACTTTTTACTTTTTTTACATAGTCCAGACTTACGCTTGTATCAGTTCTTAATGTTAAGGTTTTGTTTGCATGTTGCTTTTATATATTTTTGTCACTCTATGTATATTTAGACAAATAAACGATTAATTATTATTGTTATTAATTGATTGAGTATTGTGTGATTATTACGCATTAAAGCTTTAGAACAACGCGCGTTTAGATTTCGTCGAAGAAGAAAGATGCGAGTACTTTTTCTTTCAATTTCTATTCATAAAAATTCAATCACGTCGCAACGCGTAAGGACAAAAAAATGCTTTCGCATTTTCAGAACTTCATATTTGTTGAGATCAAATATGTATATAAAATACGTAATGTTAAAGTGAGAAGGTGACAAAGATAAAAAGAGAAAATTAAACCTACGAAGCCTAAACTAGCCGATTATCTAATTCCAAAGGTCGATGTGCAATATCCATCGCCGAGTACTGTAGTTGTATTTGACTTGTCACGAGTTTAGGCTGTCCTGTTAGATGATGGTCGCAGTGATAGAAGACGGGACCTCGTTGACTGAGACACATCAGTTACTGACGAAAGCGTAGTATAAGTTCCACATATACCAAGGCCAAAGATTCGCTGCCAATGGTGCGTTACTATACCTCCCCGTACGTGCGACAGAGAGCGCAACAGTTGGCATCCTGCTTCCTCGGTTTATTACCCCATGGGCGGCGAGTCTTTTTGTATAGGAGTAATACGGCTGGTGGGATTTATTGGCTGACCTGATGAACGATGGTATTATCGTAGCGACGGTAACGATTGAAGGGTTTTAATCACCCGCAGTCGAACCTGCAAAACGAGCGCTCTGTGATGGAGGGTCTGCAGGAGATCGTCTCGCTGCTCGAGGAGCAACTGCGGCCGCTGCTGCAGGCCGAGCAGTCGCTGCTGGTGGACATCCTGTACAAGCCGCACCGCCTCTTCACCAGCCCAGGGGAGCTGGCGCACCCGGACACCAGCGGCATTTTCATCTCCAGGCGAGTGACGGAGGCCTTTGTGCGAAGGTGCCAAGAGCTGACGGTCCACCTGATGTTAAGTGAACACCGCCGCCCATTGACTTTGCAACGCCCGCAGGGTTGCAGATGCGTTGCCGCCTTTCAAAAAAGTGAGCCCCCTGACTCACCAGATTTGACGAAATCACAGAAGTATTTTTTTTTTAATGTGAAAAGTTGTCAAACGAGCAGATGGTTCTGACCTGATGTTAAGTGAATACCGCCGCCCATGGACATCTGCCTCACCCGAGGGTTACAGATGCGTTGACAACCTTTTGAATATTGGGCTCCGGCTACCTCACTCACCAGACGAAACGCGAAAGTATTTGTCGTACTTCCACTTTACGCTGGTCTTCTGTGAGGTCGTGATACTTACCCGGACGGGCCTGCCCATTCGTGCAACAGCCGAGACTGCTGCGTGGCCCTACCACAGTTGGGACTGTTTAAAAAACATTTATAATAACAAAAAACAAAGTCGACTACGATTCTATACTATTATTAATTTTCTTTTTGATTTTGACGATTTCCCTGATGTAACTTCGTAGTCCAAGGCTCAATACCCCAATAAAGATATTATGGGACCACATGGGAGCTAAACCGTGACCAATGCAAAAATAATTTTCAAGATCGGTTTATAAATGGAGTGCTGAGGACCGAATTAAGGACCTCCTTTTTTGTAGTCGGTCGAAAACACATTTGAGGCAGTAACACCATAAGCGGCTCAACAAAAGCCGCCCCTTAGATAAAGATATTCGCAAAGAGTAGTAGCCATGCGTGGTCTGTCTATAATTTTAATAACACTAATATATTTAATACACTAATCTCTAATATATAAAATTCTCGTGTCACGGGGTTCTAACTTGAACTCCTCCGAAACGGCTCTACCGATTTTTACCAAATTTTATATGCGTATTCAGTAGGTCTGAGAATCGGCTACTATCTATTTTTCGTCCCCCTAAATGTTAAGGGGGTAGTCCACCCCTAAATTTTTTTTTATTTTTTTTATAAAACTTTTTGTTTCTATTTTTTTATGACACAGCATACAAAAATACATACAACCCAAAATTTTCACCCCTCTACGCAGACGTAGACGCGGGCAGCAGCTAGTCTAATATATAAAATTCTCGTGTCACGGGGTTCGAACTTGAACTCCTCCGAAACGGCTTGACCGATTTTTAACAAATTTTATATACGTATTCAGTAGGTCTGAGAATCGGCTACTATCTATTTTTCATCCCCCTTAATGTTAAGGGTGGTCCACCCCTAAAACTTTTTTTTTACTTTTTGTATAAATTTTTTTGTTTCTATATTTTTATGATACAGCATACAAAAATACATACAACCCTAAATTTTCACCCCTCTACGCAGACGTAGTCGCGGGCAGCAGCTAGTAGTACTATAAAATGTAAACTCAAGTAGCAATTATTTGAGAGCCAAAGGCACGTAAAACTAATGTTCCAATGACCATATTCCTCACAGATTAATACGACACACTGAGAAGCTTCTAGAAGAGAAGGAGGAGAAGCTATGCGTGAAAGTTCTGCGCACGCTCAGGGAAATGATGGCTGTGGACCCGGAATACGGCGAAAAGGTATATACTCTACGTTACGTATGTTTTAAAGGGTTTACGTCTACAAACCCTCGGGCGTTGTACTTGTCTATAAAAGTAAAATAACAGCCTATACTCGTATATGTCCCACTGCTGAGCAAAAGCTTTCTTTAAACTTAAGTTTGCTTTTATAATGAGCCGTGATAGCTCAGTGTCCGGGCGCTCGCCTTTAGTTCCATATACTCGAGCAACCTGAGTTCGATCCCGGTGCCGGCACCAATGAAGTTTTTAACTTTAAGTGCTGACTTATCACGTGCTCCGCGGTGAAGGAAAATATCGTGAGCAAACCTGCATATTTTCGAAATAATAACAAAAAAATTTTTTTTCGAAGATATGTGAAGTCCGCCAATCCGCAGTGGGGCCGCGTGGTGGACTATGCCCTGATACCCAATCTATAGAGGAGGCTTTTGCCCAGCAGTGAGACATGTATAGGCTGTTACTTTACTTCTTTTTTTTTTTTACTTTTATAAGGTCATACTTCACCACGCGCCCCCTCTGCGGATTAGCATGTATCTTCGAAATTCTTTTTTTTGTTCTTTAATTTAAGAGATAGGCTCTTGTCGGTGCAGCATCCCAGTAGTTCAGCTGTGTAACACCCTCCACCCTTCCCTGTTCATAGCCCTATCCTTTGCCTCTCTATAGGAACCAACATTTATTTTCTTCTTTATTTGAGATATACATATAGCTTATCGTCGCTTTCCTCCCTCTACCCCGCTTCCTTCCTATTCTTTGTTATTCTTTCGAAAATATGCAGGTTTCGTCATGATATTTTCCTTCACCCGGAGCACCTAATAAATGAGTGGGAGGCAGTAATCACTTACATACGTTTGACCTGCCCTTTCGTGAAACATCGAAGACTGTTGCTCGACCTTACAGTACCTCACAGTTGAAAGCGTTGACTCCAAACATAAGTGTTCCTGAAGGCCAAACTCTCGGTTCCAGGGCAACCAGCTTCGGAACAAGCTGCTCTCGCAGTACTTCGTCAACCGAAAGTCGGAGCCCAAGATAACGCCGCCGCCGCCCTCGCTTGCAGTCACCCACGGACCAGGCGGTGAGGAACCACATTTCCCTCGGAATGTACAATGTTTTAAAAACCTTTAACATATCGAGGATCTAATTGATTCATCTTATTAAAAATCAATCAAATTGTTTTACTCTAGTTGACGCGTGCGAAATTTTCGCGCTGTGGCCTGACAATCTTTAGATATCTTGAAGAATAAAGTTAGCAATCCACTACGCTACCTTTCGTTTAAACTTTGCAAATAGATGGCATTATAATACATTCTTTATAAGAAATTTTTTATGAAACAATTAACTTTATTCTACTTTCTACTTTTCGATAATGGCGGCAAACATAAGGATTAAAGTATGTTTATTGTATGTAGTTTTTTTAATCATTACATGTGACGAATAATTATGGAATTTATGGCATACAGAAGAAAAAACACTATAGAAGTAATCTAAAGAGATCAATGATCAAAATCTAAAGAGATGCGTACAATCTCTTTAAAGTATGCTTCTCTTAGACGTCCTGATATTAATTCTGATATAATTTTGTTTACGTCGGTTCTATCTTCACAAACCATTATTGAGGAGTAAATTAATATCAAATATAAATATTCCTTAACGTTCATTTAATATAGATGTAAAGAACTAATTTAATGTAGGCCACAAACTGGCTTCGAATATCTCAATCAATGTACATTTCTATTTGATTTTGAAGAGTCCCTGATGTGTCTCGAAATCTAAGATCCAATACATGGGAGCTAAACCGAACCCAATGCAAAAATAATCTTTAATATCGGCTCATAAATGACATTCAATCACAAACGTAAAGAAATACAACTTGATTGAATCGAACCTAATTTTCGAAGTCGGCTGGTGAAATAAAAGCATCAATCCTTTTGAAATTCGTCTTCATACGATCTGCAGTTTTGAAGCAATGATTTTTAGTATTTTATCTACACACAGCTAAACTGGTTAAGCTTATAAAAATATATGAGGAAGACAGCTGTGTAACCTAATTTTTAGGGCGAAATTAGGTGACGTGTTGATTCCTAAATACGTTCACCCAGAAAAAAGTTTAAATTTTTAAAATAATCAATTACGTCCTCTTCGTAGACAGGTATCACATATCATTTTAAATATCTTAAAAAAGATAAAACTGATTAGTTTTAGATAACCACAAGTTTCAGTTTAAATGCATAACTAACTATTCACATAATAGAAATAGTCTGACACACGGTACATAGAGTCTGAACACTTATTTAAGTTATTTAAGTAGTTGTTGAAGTGAAACCTCTTTATTACCGTTAAAATATCAATAAAACGAGTTCTCGTCTGCACCATATTGTTAAGTTGAAAATATACTAAATTTTCAAGAAAGCAAAGAAGTTTCATTTCCATATGTGAGTATTATTAATAACGCAGCGATTATACAATTTATAATATAAAATCAAATTCTACCGACTTCAATGCTTGTTAAGGCTTCACCGATCAATTAACTTCGAAGTCACGATATTATCTTAGTAATATGAAAAATAGTAGTATATGAAATAGCGGCTGATTAACATTCAGTATATTTAAGGCATCTAAAAATACGAATGAAATAGATAGTTTTAAGAACAATTGCAATAATAGTTTTAAATAAAAAGGAAGTGTTAAATATCTTAATGTTTCCTTTTTCTTAAATCTCATTTGAAATATTTAAAAAAATATAAATATTTAGGACACATTTTCACACAACGTTCTCTAGTACCCAACTAAGCAAAGCTTGTACTATGGTTACTAGATAACTGATAAACATACTTAAACGTACTTTTCTTTTGTAAATAAATACATATTATAGATATATAAACATCCAGTCACTAGAAAAACACTATGTTCATCACACAATATTTTTCCAGTAGTGGGGATCGAACCCACAATCTTTTTTATCTTCATAATGTTTAAAGTTAAATTAACTTTAATCGTAATCTGGCTAACACTACACTACTGTGACGTGAAAATGATCGGTAACTAGGTTTTGGATGATGATACATAAAATGTGATAAATTTTTCGCTTACCCGGACAAAAAGCAAAATCAAAATTACCTCCACTTTAAACCTAGGGTTGCCAACAGTACCATAATACATAGAATTGTACTGTACTGTGCGTACAATAGATATACTGTTGACAAAAATATAATATAAACTATATTTTCTGCAGCTTCAATCATCCGAATAAATGGTGGCAATCTTATCTTTGAGTTTTAGGTTTATACTATATGTTACGAGTCAATATAGTGTTATGATGCATCGTTGAATGTTGATCAGCCGCTAGTAATACTAGTCCTAGCCTAGCTTAGAATTGTTTGTCCGTTTGACCGCGCATGCGACGCAGCCATGGCGCACCAGCCGAAACGAGGTGGGTCTATTATGCTCAAAGCTTCGAAACAAACTTGCACCGTATTTTCCATTCGCCCCTTTAAAATCTTAATTTAATTCTAATTTACGTATATATTATAATGTAGTTTTGAATAGACCCTAACTCACAACTACCCAGTGTTTGCCCGTAAGGTCTTTGCGCAATTGAATCCTGTTAACCCACACTTTATTCTTAGGTGGCTTACGGACGACAAGGTGACATGTTGCATGATACCTTGAGATAGTTGTATCGATTTAAGCATGCAACAACAATTTCCAAGATTCGAAGACGTCAGTCAGCAAACTATGTTCAGTTTTTCCATGTTACATTTAAAATATAATCAAAAAAGAAAGTATCTTCCATAAATAACCAGTTGTTAAGAGCCGTGATAATTCAATATACCCGAGCGGCCTAAGTTGAAATCCCTGTGCCGGAACCAAAGTTGAAATTGGTAGTCTACTCATAGCAGTTGCTAATAATAATAATTCATAAATATTTGCGCCATTTGCTGTTGAAACTTTGGTCTGTGGGGTCCCCGTACATCGAAATTTTTGAAAGTTTTACGTTGTAGTCTTAATGCCGCGGCTGGTGATAAGAGAGCTGGTTCTTTTCTCGCTCAAAGATTAAGCATAACTAATCAGTAAGCCAATGCAGCTAGCGTTCTTAGCACCATTGACGTCAGGCAACCGTCCAGTCTTAAAAACCTAATACCATTAACAACATGATTCACATGTTGTGCCGAAGAAGTTGAGAAGAAGAAATGAGAAGAAAAAAGATATAAATAGAAATCGTATCAAATAAAGATATTTTTGATGATGTTTTTGCATATCTCCCTTTACATATCTCCTTTTACCTTTTTTGTCCATTTCAGTATGATACACATAAAATTAATAATTTTATACAGTTCTTTGTTTTTAAGCGTTAAGATACTATTTTTATTGTCTTACCAAATGTTATAGATTAATATCGATTTATTAATTAAAACCAAATGTACTGCACGTTTCATAGTAATTTTTTTTTTTTCAAATTCTTTAAATACTTTATTTATATTGACAGACTAACGCAAAAATAAATCTTTCCAAGTGCTGACAAATTTCTAATCAATACGATTAGCTTAATTTGTTATCAATATAAACAGCTGCGTCATATGTTCAGTACTCCCAGGGTTGACTGGAAGAGAATGCTTATTAGCATTAACCTTTGTTGCCCTACGTTGGGGTGAAAACAATAAAATTTTTAAATAAATAAATAACCTGTCTTTAACTCCCGCGTGCAGCGAAGGTGCTGCTCCGCACTGGGCAGACGCTGTCCCAGGTGCAGGCGCACCTGGACCGCGAGGGGGCGTCCGACTTGGTCGTGGAGCTGGTCATCAACAGCACCAACCGGCCCGCCATATTCCTCGAGGCCATACAGCTGGGTGAATCTCATAAACGTCATAAATGTTGCTTTTACCAGTTTTATTGTGAGGAACATGATTGTTTACCGACTAAGGAACAAAAGTTGAATTCATCGTGTGAATATCTTGGGACCGATTTTTTTTTCTTTCTAAAAATTCTATTTATTTATACTCTGCTTTTGTATTTAACGATATATCACTTACTATATTTTATTAATTAATACTTGTACTCTATGTAGTAAAGAATAGAATTCTCTTGGAAGTTTTAATAATTTTACCACTGTACCTAGTGTACATGAATGTTTCTCGACAAATATTTACACCAATTTTTTCTAGTCCCAAATTGCGAAAGTTTACTATGGATACAAGGTTTTTTTTTTTTTTGGGCTGGATGAGCCACTGTTGGCCTTAGGGGCCTTTACAGATCCGACGGACTTGAGGTGGCCTGGCGCACGAGGCGCCTAGCCTGAACCTCGGCGTACTATTATTACGCGTTATGGTGACTAAGCTCGAGGGCTCCCGGGGGAGCCTCGGCTCGGGCCGTCACGCTATTATTGTTACTGGTTTGGGAGGCCGCCAAGCTCTTAGGGCGCTTTGGCGTGATCAAGAGTGATCAGGCTCAAGGGTCCCCGAGAGGGGACCTCGGCTTGGGCTGTCACTCAGCACGCGTTTAGCATTCCGATTCGAGGGTGCCCGAGAGGGCCGGACCTCGGCTCGATCGGTACCTATTATCTGACACTAGGGGATACAAGGTAACTGATACACATACTTAAACGTACTTTTCTTTCATACATAAATGAATGTTACAGATGTATTAATAGAAAAACACTAGTAAAAGAAAACGCAATGGTCACCACCCACAATTTTTACATAAGTGGGGATCGATCCAACACCCTCAGGCGTAAGAGGCAGCTACGCTGTCCACTGCGTCAGTCGAATCGTCTCAAGAGTTATTGCATTGTCTTTCATCCGGATAGTTAGAAATCGAGGGACAATGCAGCCAGTTCTTGGCAACACACTTGCAATATATATGGTGTTGCGAATCGCTTCTCGTATGAACTTGCTGAGTGGCCATACCCTTGTAATAAGAAGCATTCATCAATTGTCTTCCCAGGTATCGCTCTACTGGAAGGCGGAAACCCCATAATACAACACAGCATATTCACAAAGCTTCAAAACGGCGAGATATCGCAGGCGTTTTTGAAGGTAGGTCACGTCTGGTATGACTGTGGATTATTATTCTCCCTTGTCACAGACAAAATGAATTTATTCAATTTCTTCGCCAAATTCATTCGAATGTGAATATGGGACGTGTTATGACCCCTATTCCTTAACGTGCTGGGTAATTAATTTGACAAACGAACTTTATGGTGAATTCGTAGAGAAATACTAATATACGTTCTTCTCTTTCGCACAATATCACGAGCGTGAGATATATAGTGTTGAATGTAAAAAATACCCTGCAATTGCATTTTATCTTAATCTTCATGGCGTTTTTAAGGAGCCTATATTTAACAATGGATAGTCAATCATTTTAAAACGATCTTACATGGCGACCTTCCCAGGATCCATGTAAGGTCGGGCGTATTAAGAAGATATGTCGATGTTTCAACGTTTTATTCGAAACTGCTCCGCAACAGCTTCAGCTGTTGCACGAATGGGTAGGGCGTGTCCGGGGAAGTATCACGGCCTCACAGACGACCGGCCCTAAGTGGCAGTATAAACCTTACGCTTTTCGTCCACTAGACTAAACGCGGGAGTATAACACTTCTTCAGACCTGTCTTCTGTGAGGTCGTGGCATTCCCCGGAATGGAGACGCCCATTCGTGCAACAGCGAACTGTTGCGTGGTTACACCACAGGGTATGCGGTCCTACAGGTTTATTACCCAAGCGTGGCAAGTGTATAACCCTTCCACTTCACGCGCGTCTTCTGTTAGGTCGTGGCACTCCCCCGGACGGAGCTGCCTGTTCATGCAACAGCGAGTTGTGGCCTACCACAGCTGTTGCGGTTCCACAAGTTGTTACCCAAGCGTGTGTTGCGCATTGCGGTCCCACCGGCTATTTATTACCCAAGCGTGTGTTATGCAGGTGTTCTACGACAAGATGCGCGAGGCGCAGCAGGAGATCCGCTCGATGGCCGCCAGCAGCACGGCCGCCGCGGGCGCGGAGAAGCGGGCGGCCGACAAGCAGAGGCCCATCGCCGCCGACGGTGAGCTAGTAACGAACGGTGATGGCGGCGCGAAGCGATCGAAAGCGACGCGGAGCGAGCCAATAGCGAAGCAATATAAATTAGAAGTGCAAGTAAATAAAAAAAACGTGTGTGTGCACTTATGTACGCACGTAAGTTATACTTCTTTAGCGTGACACAAGAAAAATAACAGTTTTGTCCCGCGTTGCCAGTGCTCTTTGTTTGCGAAGAAAAAGACGTTGAAAGCAATTGATAACGGTTTGATTGAATAAATTGGAATTATAGATGAATGTCAAAAATTCAAGTTGCCGACCGCCTGTAAAAATTTGCTGGAATACGATGGGTGCGTGTAGCTCGTGCTTCGCGGCAGTCTATGGGGGAGGCCTAACTTCAAACTCAAACTCAAAATATCTTCATTCAAACGGAGGCGCGTTCTTTTGAAACGTCAAATTTTACATAAAAACTGATACAAAGTTCGTAATTAAGTTTAGCAGTGGACAGACTAAAATGATCACGATGTTTTATTTCTCTATATTACATACGTCACTGAAAAAGTGTCTCCTGAAGGGGTTTTATTTCAAGAGAAAGAGAAACTAACGCTACCGGCGATACATTTGTAACTGGGCAGCGGTGAACACTTGTGTGTAATCTGTCCCGTCTAATGTTGAAGGGAAACCAGCACCGGGCCCCATAGTGGTGGGCGAGGACATGGACGAGGAGGTGGCGAACGCCTGCGGCTCGGCAGTGCACGCCTACTCGGACATACACACCATGTCGCACGGTTTGTATTTCATAAATATCTTTACGACACGTTTTTACACAACGTTATCTAGTCCCGAACTAAGCAACGCCCGTACAATGGGTACTAGATAAGTGATAAACATACTTAAACATACTTTTTTTTTTTTGTAAACAAATACATATAAACACACAGACACTACAAAAACACTATGTTCATCGCTCAATACTTCAGTAGTGGGGATCGAACCCACACCCTCTGCCGCAGGAGGCAGCCACACTACCCACTACGCCATTCGGGTCGTCAAAATTTTAAACTAGCGCCCCGCCCTTGCTTCGATTTCTTACTACGTATACTGCTTGAATCACTAATTTATTGCTGAAAACCGCAAACAAAAAAACAAAACAAAACCGCGTACAAACATCAGGGGCGACTTTGTTTTATACTATGTAAAGATGAAGAGTTGCCAAGCGAGCAGGCGGTTTGCCTGATGTTAAATAGTAACCGCAGACTATGGACACACCTTGCTACACTCGTAGGGTTGCGGGTGCGTTGCCACTTTTTAATAGAGTGTGCCCCAGCTACCTCACTCACCAGACGAAATGTGGAAGTGTAACACTTTCACGCCGGTCTTCTGTGAGGTCGTGGTACTACGTCGTACCCCGGAATGACATGCCCCTTTGTGTATCAACGAAGTCTGTTTCGTTGCCATACCACAGTGGATTGTGCTGATTGTATCCCGTGCGGTATAGGAGCCCTTGTACCGGAAACAGCGCCATCTATTGACCGCTAAGCTAATCCAGCAAACTTCACGCGTCTTTCGGCCCAATTTGAAGGCAGAATAACAGCTGAGCGCTTCGCAGGAACCACGGTGCTGGAGGAGATAATGTCGGAGAAGAAGCGCGAAGCGGGCAGCCCGGACGTGCTGCCGGCGAAGGTGGCCGTCATGCGCCCCATACTGCGCTTCCTGCAGCTACTCTGCGAGAACCACAACCCCGACCTGCAGGTACCTTACCTATTATGTATGTAAAGGCCGGCAACCGGCATTTGTGAGCTCTCTAGTGTTGCAAGTGTTCATCACGTGGTGGGCGATGGTAATCACTTACCATCAGGTGAGCCTCCTGCTCGTTTACCCCTTTTCTCCATAAAAAAATCATTTTTCTTTTAACATTGTGACAAGTAGATAGTTTAAGGTAACGGAACTCCTTTACCTTAAACTTACCATTCCCTTGACTTATAATTTTGTTAAATGATAGTATTAAAACTAACTATGTATTTGAGATTTTTCTCGGTGTGAAGATTTCCCGTTTAGCTCAGTCGATAAAGCGACGGCATCGGACTTTTCGCCGATGCGATATATTTTTTTTAATTTATCAAGCTCACCTGATAATAAAACATTCTTAGATCATTTAGAATAATCTAAATGCTTAAAACTAATTGAACATCCAAATTATAGGCAAACACAACATTCATGGATTCACGTATTTTTTTATGTAAATAAATATATGTTAAATAGAAAAAAATACAACTAAAACAAAAATATTAAAATAAAAATGGAATACAGCTAATATGGTAGTAGACATAGGTGTAAAAACACCTTTATCCAGCGTAGCAACACAAAAATTCCAAAAAAAAAATTAATTTATAACAGATAAAAAAAAATTTTCTCGTGGAAATAAGTTGTCAATCAAGGCTTGAAATAATGTGGCGACATTGGAGTAAAGAGTCGCAGCTAAAATCAATTTTGTCAGATAACTTATTTACTCTTGTAATGCATTCAAGCGCGGGTTAATTGACTATCTCCCAAAACATTTTCCTTAAGAGGGTTAGGAGCGATAGGAATTTAGTGCGTTTTCAACTGATAAATTATTTTACAATATTCGATTGTCGTTCCAGAACCTTCTGCGCAACCAAAACAACAAGTCCAACTACAACCTGGTCTCGGAGACGCTGATGTTCCTGGACTGCATCTGCGGCTCCACCACGGGCGGCCTGGGCCTGCTCGGGCTCTACATCAACGAGGGCAACGTGGCCCTCATCAACCAGACCTTGGAAACCCTTACCGAGTACTGCCAAGGTCACAGAACACCTTCCATCTTCTTTCAAGCAAAGCATTTTATTGCCTCGCCCTTGCACAGCACTATATTTGGTATATTTAAATTATGCACCACCACCCCGCAGGCCCCTGCCACGAGAACCAGAACTGCATAGCGACGCACGAGAGCAACGGGCTGGACATAATAACGGCGCTGATACTGAACGATATCAACCCACTTGGCAAGACACGCATGGACCTGGTGCTGGAGCTGAAGAACAACGCCTCCAAGCTCCTCCTGGCCATTATGGAGTCGCGCAACGACTCGGAGAACAACGCCGAGAGGATTCTGTACAACATGAACCCTGAACAGCTGGTGAGAGGTCCTCCGTTAATCGCATGATGTTGTTTTTACAGCCCCCCCCCCCCCCCCCTCTCCCCCTCCTACCCTCGGTGTTACTGATGGGTGGGGTTTAAGACTAAAACAACCTCCACTACACAAAATCACGCGTAATTTTTTTAGGACGGAAAAAATAATTACAATATCTTTAAATACCTGTATTTAAATATCAATATATAATATATTCAATGTGTAAGTTTTATCTAATTTAATGAAATCTAAAAAAATCGATAGAAAGTTAAATAAAATCGGGGGAAATCATTGCCTGGCAGCGGCGAGTCGAGCTCACATGCCGCGAATAAATACACGAGATATTACACTACAATGCGATATTTTGATACGGGTTTGGGGGGAGGGGTCCCGGCTAACCCTAAAAGAAACGCGGAGCTTAATACTTCTACTTCGTCATTTTATCGTCATTTTTTAAATTAAATTATTAAAAATTTTCAGGTCACACAAAAAAATTAGTTAACATTTTTTTGTTACCAATAGGATTATATAAAACTTTTTTTGTCCAATAACTTGTTACTCGTAGAACCAAAATAAAAAAGTTATAAAAGAAAATATACACTCAATGTACACTCTGATTTGAAATCAATAATCTAAAAGTTTTGTGTGACAAATGCAACCCCAAGTGTAACCTTTCAATGGACTAATAGAATTTGCTTGTTTTAGAAGGCTCCGCTCTTCCATAGCATTACTTATTATTTAATATTAAATGATTAAAGTTGTCGTTGCTCTGATTCGTCCGCAGGTTGATGTTGCGTGCTCAGCCTTCAACCAGGAGCACGCCATGGACCGCCGACTCCGACTCGGAGGACGACGCCCCCGTGCAGGGCGTGTCCCCGAAGGAAGTCAGTATCTATTTGTCTATCTATTTAGAAATATAGGAACGGCATATGTCATTATAACTTTCAAGATAAAAATGTAAAGTAGGAAATAACTATAACATGTTTGAATACCTGGTCGAAACTTCATATTTGTACATGATCAATTTTTCAAGTTGCACAGTTCGCTACGTATCCTCGTGGTGGATTAGCGAACTTAATTTCGTTGTTTGTTCGTCTGCAGGTGGGCCACAACATCTACATCCTGTGCCACCAGCTGGCCGGCCACAACAAGGAGCTGGCGGCGCTCGTCCGCGCCACGCCCACCGGCGCCAACGCGCCCGCGCTCCAGTACTACCGCACGCACACCGCGCAGATCGAGGTGCGACCTTCTGCTCTCTTCTGGTCCCTTCTCTTCTCTTCTCTCTTCATGCGAGCAGGTGGCAAGCGATATGGGACGGTTAGCCTCTCGAGTGATATCCGTAGAGTGCAGGTGCGTTGCGAGCTTTTAATAAGGTGCGTCCCGGTTACCTCGCTCACCAGACGAAACGCCAGAAGTATAAAAATTCAACTACACTACTACTGTTCTGCCTTTGCTGGTAGAAGCTAAGTGCCAGTGTTGATGATACCAAGTTATGATTATACTTTTGATTACATGGAATCATGCTTCATGCATTGATATTATGGGAATACCATAATAGTAGACAGTGTGAAGGGGATTTATCTTATTACGGCTTATACTGGTATTTGGCTACTTAGTGATGTATGGTGTAACTCTGTATGCCCCTCGAGAATGGGGAAGTTATGATACCACGGAGTTACGAGTTAGTTTGTGGCGATGGTTTCATCACCAACGAATGCATCACCACAAACTATGAAGTCAATGAGCCGTGCGGGAATGTGGGAGTCCTAACGCAACGTTACAGCAGTAAGGTGCGTGTTGCAGATCGTGCGCACGGACCGCAGCATGGAGCAGATCGTGTTCCCGATCCCGGAGATCTGCGAGTACCTGCCGGCCGAGAGCAAGCACCGCGTGCTGCAGAGCGCCGAGCGGGACGACCAGGGCAGCAAGGTCGCCGATTTCTTCTCGCGCCTCGACAACCTATTCCACGAGATGAAGTGGCAGAAAAAGCTACGTGGTCAGTGCGGGCCTGCATATGTCCCATTCGATAAGAACTATTTGGATACTCGTATTCTTGTTAGTCCGACAACAAATCATATTGAAGCATCACAGACCAAATAAATGAAATAAGGGTATGCAATAATGCAAAAATTTATTGAAATTTTTTTCGCAGGGCAACCTTTCCTGTTCTGGGTGTCATCCTACATGTCGCTGTGGAGTAACATATTGTTCAATTTCGCCGTTCTTATAAATGTTATTGTTGCTTTCTTTTACCCGTTTCAAGACGAAAATCCAAGTGAGTACATTTCATTCTCACACATCATTCTCATTTAAATAACTTTTATAGATTGAATAATGATGCCAACATTTAAACCACGAAACAAAGTATTATTCCATTTTTTCAAAATTTGCTTTTCCAGTGTTCACAGTATAAACGTTTGTAAAAACATAAACATCTATGAACGTAGACATCAAATGTAAGGCTCCAAGGACTTTAGTCCAGGGACTGTTAAGCGTGGTACTTATCCTCGTCAATCGAGCGATCTGACGCCTACCTAGACAATTATCCGTCTCGAAGGACCAAGTCCTCGTCACCGCGCGACACCAAGCCTGTATAACCATCTTAATAATGCCCTTCTTGAAATGTCGCACGTGGCACCAATCGGGAGGACGATTATCCGGCTCGAAGGACCAAGTCGGTCCTTCGAGCCGGACTCAACCGCTGTGCTGGCAGAGCTGGGGCAGCACCTGTCGCTGGTGGTGTGGTGCGTGTCGCTGGCGGCGGGCGCGCTGGTGACGTGGCTGCCGCGCTCGTCCGGCGCGCGCGCCCTGCTCGCCAGCGCCATCGTGCGCCTCATCTTCTCCGCCGGGCCCGAGCCCACGCTCTGGGCTCTCGGGATGCTCACCGTGAGTTACACAACACGCCACCCTTCCACACCGCACCCCACCCGCCAATCCCGCACATATAAAAATTATATTTGCACATATTTTGATACAGCCAGTGTCACTCTCACAGTAAATACGAATCTAACGACACCCCTCAAGCTAAAATGCATCAAGCCGTTCAGGCTGCAGAGCGTGCCAAACAATTATACATACATACTCTCGAAAAACATAACCCTCCTTCTGGCGCAGTTGGGTAAAAATCTAATTAAACGCGATAAAATCCCTAAGATAGTTTCATTTGACAATGTGTATTCGCGTAAAAACAAGTAAACAAATGAAATCTTTATAATATAATCGATTCTCATTGCCTACTATCATTTCGACTCTCTCCATCAGATAGTAGTGAAGGGCATCCACCTGGTCAGCATCATGGGCAACCAAGGCACGTTGTCCAAGTCGACGCGGAACGTGATAACCGACCCCGAGCTCCTCTACCACAGCGTCTACCTCGGCTTCTGTTTCCTCGGCATCTGCTGCCATCCGTTCTTCTTCTCTGTGCTGGTGAGTGCCAGCTTCCACATGTATGGATCATTCCTTTGCAGCGAAATAAAAGTCACTGGATTCACGGAAAGCGCAGTTTCGAATTCTGGCAGCGACGAAACACCTTGTGACAGTTTAACTTGCACATTATTGACTCAAATAGTTTGACAAAGAACTGATTCATTGATAACCGGTGGCCACCCCGTTTGCTGATCATCCCGCCTAGGTGGTGTGGTTTTTTACGACCGGCCGTACCTGACGTCAACCCTCCACGGAAAATAAACACCCAGATCTGGAAAAATTATCTGTGGGTCTCACAAATACTTGTCACGTGTGGGAATCGAACCCACGACCCGCAACTCCGAAGCCTATAGCTTGACAACGTCGCCACTGAGTTATTCATAGATAATTTTTAACGCCCAACGATGTTTCATAATATGAATGACGCGTGTCCATGCTATGCGTCGTTTAAAAATTGTTCCGCTTTGCATTATATGACATATTTTAAGTGAATGCGACAGATGATATAGCACGCATGATACGGAAAGAGATAACAGTCTATTGAATTTCATCAATTGCTAGTGTCATATCCGCCACGTATGTTGTATATAACATCATTGCCGACGCCATTGTCCGTTGCAGCTGCTCGACATCGTGTACCGCGAGGAGACCCTGTTGAACGTAATGCGATCAGTGACACGCAACGGGCGGTCCATCCTGCTGACGGCCGTGCTGGCGCTGGTGCTGGTCTACATGTTCTCCATCGTAGGCTACATGTTCTTCCGCGACCACTTCCTCGTCAACGTCGACCGCCTCGACGGTAAGCGCGACCCTCCCCGCACTATCGATTACTTGGGCAACCTATAGATGTTTTTTTAAACATTGCCTTTTAACATGCCTTTACTTTAGGATAAAATTATCCTGTGTTGTACGGAAGTTTTACAAACATAAGTTTCACGTGGACAAACATGAATGCAAAACATCTATATGTGTGTCACACAAATAGTTCTCCCGTGTGGGCATCGAACCCTCCACCCCCCATGCCGAAGTCAATACCTTGACAACTGCGCCACGGAGTCATCGACATATCAAAATACCGTTCAATTATTATAAGTACCTTTGTCTACGTAACGTATTTATAGTTAGACATCCTAGAATTACATTAGAATTACATTCATCTAAATACAAGTTACTATTGCATACTAACTCATCGCGTATTAAACGGTGAAGGAAAACATCTTGAGGAAACCTGCATATTTATGAAATGATATTTTTTTTAAATGTGTCGAAGATATAGCTCGATGGCGCCCTCGTTAAACTATTGCCATCGGCGTCGAGGGCCGTGGGTTCGATTCCCACACGGGACAAGTATTTGTGTGATCCACAAATAACTGTCCCGGATCGGAGGCGGGCGGCCGGTCGTAAAAAACGATGTCAAAACCGCTTGCAACATGATTCACATATTTTGCCGACATCATGGTGGGATAAAGGCAGGAGGATGATGATTTCGAGTATGCCCTGATACCCTCTGTACAGAGGAGGCCCCTGCCCCGCAGTGAGACATACATTGTCACAGGATCAAGATATGGCTCCACGATTTTACAACACCATCTATTGGAAACTCTCGGAAACGTCAAGTAGTACGCTTGAGTAGGGTCGATACAGGAAGTGAGAGAGCGCACTTGACGGCTATAAGTTGTGGAAGCCAAAATCGGACACGGGGTGTGTTCTGGACGTGCTCGAACACGGCACTTTACAGAGGGGCCGGCAGTGCGAACGGTCATCTTCCTGTATCGAACTTGCTGCGTTTCCATTCAATCACATCGGCGTGGTTGATAGTTATTTTCGTTATAGTTGATTTTAATCGAACAAGTAAAGTTAGAGTCGTGATAACTCAGTATCGCCTTTAATTCAATATACCCGAAAAACCTGAGTTCCCCGGTGCCGGCACCGACGAAATTTTTAATAAAAAATATTGAAAAGATATGTAAAGTTCGCCAATCCGCAGTGGGGCCGCGTGGTGGACTATGCCCTGATACCCTCTGTATAGAGAAGGCCTTTCGGCCCAGCCGTGGGACGTGTACAGACTATTACTTTACTTTTTACTTTTTTTAAGTAAATAACAGTGCTACGTGATAACTTTCGTTTTGCGCGTACAACGTGTCCGACGAGGGGTCTGGCAACGAGTGGCCCATATAGTCCGTCACGTGCGCAGACGACGACGACCCGCGCTTCTCCGGCCGCTGCGGCGACTCGCCGGCGGGCAAGTACGGGCGCGCGGCGCGCTTCGTGTCGGTGGGCGGGGCGCTGCGCGAGCGCAGCTGCGACTCGCTCATCATGTGCATCGTCACCACGCTCAACCAGGGGCTGCGGAACGGCGGCGGCATCGGCGACATCCTGCGCGCCCCCGCCAGCTTCGTGAGTAGCCGCCACCCTCCGTCTCCGTCTCCGCCCTTTGCCCCCTCTTTGATACTTCGAAACCCCCCTTAGGACCACTCCTCACCCTTCACTTCATACATTTCAACATATAATCTTTAAATGTTATTTTTCAAAATATCTAGCTTTTACTTTTTGGATTTGTATCTAATTTTTTTTCTCATTTTTAACATTTTTCTTTTATAAACCTCAATACCGTTAAAATAAGATATTATAATTGTATACTTCTGATGCAAAGTGTATAATAACTAGTGGTGAAAACTTTATTGGCCCACATATCTGTATATAATTGTACTATTTATTCTATGTAAATGCTGTTTGTTTTCCTATTCAATAAAATAAAATAAAATTCATCCAACACCTATCGTCCCTCACCTCTCACCCCTCGCCTCTCACCATTCGCCCCCCACACCGTTTGACACTGCACATTTACTCGATATTAACTCCTAAAGCCCGATCACCAAGCAGGATAAATTTCGTGCGTCCACCTGTTTTTGCCTCTCTCTCTATTGCTGTCAATCATTATGCAATAACTAAATAAGGTAGACAAAATTCCACCTGCCCCGCGAGCGGACCTTACCGCGCTTTCACTATGTTACATCCACAGTGTTTAATATTTGAAGCTTCGGAACATTACGATATTAACCGTGGCACGTTTTGTTCCGCCAGGAGCCTTTATTCGTGGCGCGCGTGGTGTACGATCTACTGTTCTTCTTCGTGGTGATCATCATCGTGCTGAACCTAATCTTCGGTGTGATCATCGACACGTTCGCAGACCTACGTAGCGAGAAGCAGCAGAAAGAGCTTATTTTGAAGAACACATGTTTTATATGTGGTGAGAGTCAATGCACTTTTATCATGCCCGGCCCTTTTGGTACGAAAGAGCTTTGTAACTCTACATACTCTTACCGTACTAACTAAAAACCCCTCGGTAGCCCTCACAGGCCATGGAAACTGGGAGAGCCAGTGCTAACAAGCAGAAAGCTTCCATGAGTGCGGTGGACCTGATCTGTGTCTCCGCTAACAAAGTTTCGGGCACTGAGTGCAGGGAGAACGATGCATCACTCTACCGACCCTGCCCTCTCCCCTAGCCTTTACCACCACTGCACCAGTACTGCAGCCCCGTTGAGTCGCGGAGGATAAGAAGAGTGGCCGAACGCAATACCAACACTTACTTATCTTCCCCTAGATTTCGACTCAGAGGACAGGGAGAGTAGTTCTGCTTCTATTTAATTCACCACCTTTACACGCAATCAAAGTGGGCTCAATAAGACCTGTCGGACCGGCTTTACACCAACGTCCGGCACAGTGTGGGTTCCTCTCACCTTCACCGTAATTGACCAAGCAACGGGTACTAACCCACTCCAACGCAATAAAGTGGGAACCAAATTAATCACAATATAACTCGTTTGCCAAAAAATAATATTCTAATAAAGAGCATACGGCCTAGTGTCGACCTGCGGATTGCGGTATTATATATATATATATATATATATATATATATATATATATATATATATATATATATATATCATGTAAATGTCATACTATTTAAAAAAAAAATTATGTGAATAAGTGGCTGTGGTGAAAAACGAACTGGCGGTTCGCCTGATGTTAGTGATTACCGCCCATGGACATTTGCAACACCCAAAAAACTTAAGTGACAAAAAATAAAGTGTGCCCCGGCTACCTCACTCACCAGACGAAACGCAGAGGGTCGTGGTTCTTACCGGGACGGACCTGCTTATTCTTGCAACAGTGAACACTGTTGAAACCACATGAGAAATAATAACAATAATAAAGTGAACTCTCCTCCATCCAGGGTTGAACAGGTCAGCCTTTGACAACAAAACGGTCTCCTTCGAGGAGCACATAAAGAGCGAGCACAACATGTGGCACTACCTCTACTTCATGGTGCTGGTGAGGGTCAAGGACCCCACCGAGTTCACCGGACCCGAGAGCTACGTGCATTCTATGATAAAGGTGAAATTCTGTAAAGCACTTTACTTATTCATCATTTCGCTAATCTTTTGTCGCGAGAAGAGACCATCAACAACCTTTTCTCATTGGAAGAAGACAAAGTGATGAGCAATTCTTGCTCACTCAAACTGTTTTGGGTACACCCATAGTGCATTGGCAGATTACTCCGGGATGTTCTATGTCACGCACGGTGAGTCTTGGCAGTGAACATGAACACAGAAGAATAGACATAAGACATTACCCAGTGTGTTACCTTCTTTACCCCATCGCAATCGCACATGAACCCAGTGTCTCTCTTAAATCGCATTTTTCGAGTGACAGTCGTTTCATGGGGGAACAGTGAACTATTAACTATATAGTCTAGTCCGTACAAGAAGTTTCTTTTATTCACAACTACGTCTGCGTAGTAATTTCAGAACCTAAAATAGGTTTGGAAATAAATATATTCACGATTCTAACCCAGCGCGCAGTGGAAGAGAGACGGGGATTATTTCAGTACGATTGAGGGGCTTGTCTTCATTTGAGTGTCTATGGCGACGGTATCTACAGTGTCTATCGCTCGCTATAGACACTCAAATGGAGACACGGAGCAAGCCAAACCAGTGAACCGCCTAGCCTCCTCGCTTCCTATCCTATCTTCACATTAAGAGAGAGTTGTATAGACAAACGCGACTGTACCGGCAGTCGATTATCGCCGGCTCGATCGCCAACATTTATAATTTTTTTTCATTTATTTTATAATTTTTAACAAAAAAAAAACCGACTTCAACTAGGAAAAAAGGAATTTGAGGATTGCCTTCGATTTCTATGGGATGCATTCTTTAATCTTTATCATGGTACCACCCTTGGGAGATCTTTTCAACAAAAAAAGAACTTTCTACATATTTTAAAAAAAGAACCATCAAAATTGGTTCACAAATGACGAAGTTATTCGCGAATACACATAAAAAGAATAAAAATATAAACGGTAGAAAACCTCCTTCTTTTTTGAAGTCGGCTAAAAAGGGTGTCGACCAACTAACGAGCGCGACTGTACCGGATATCCGTAACCTCCGCTCCGCCCCGGCTCGCTTGCCATCTTTTCCCATTAAAAAGAGTGTCGCACTGACGAGCGCGACTGTACCGACTGTACAGTCGATTACCGCCGGCTCACTTTGCAGCTTTTCGCATTAAAAGAGTGTCACGTAAGTAACGAGCGCGACCGTACCGGCAGTCGAACAACCTGGACTGGTTCCCGCGGCTGCGCGCGCTGTCGCTGGTGGGCGGCGGCGAGGGCGAGGGCGGCGAGCTGGAGCTGCGCGCGCTGCAGGCGCAGCTCGAGCGCGCGCAGGCCGCCGTGCGCACGCTCACCGAGCTGCTCACCGAGCTCAGGGACCAGGTGCTGCCACGCCCCGCCACGCGCCGCCACCCGCTGCCACGCGCTGCCACCGGCCGCAACGCGCGCCAGCTTTAGCACTGCTAGAAAATAGCCGCTGCGGGAATCGAAGCCACGGCCTCCGGATTCGCGCGCACCAGCTTTAACCACTAACGCCCGGTTCCTATATTCAACGAAGGGCCGTTAATTGCATAGCTTCGTAACTTTATAACGACTTGTAGATAAAAGGCGTGTTCGCCCGGTACCTATATTAACAAAACAAGGCGTTTTCCTTATGAAGCGTTGCATTATCTACGGAAAGTGAGTTACTAGCGTTCCTTTAATCTACAAGTCGTTATGAAAGTTACGAAGCTATGTAACTAACGGCCGTTCGTTGAATATAGGAATCGAGCATTAGTTGAACGGCTGATAAACATAACGGCTACTTTCTCTGGGTATTTTATATACATAAACAATGTTCGAGTTAAGCAATGCTTGACGCATGTTGACGCAATTTTAATGTTTCATCATTAAAATTTAGAAAAAATGGATGAAACTTTAGTTTAGCACCACTCATTGCTGGACCCATTGCCTAAAAGATAGAAAAATACGAACGCAGCTCAATATGCCGTCAGAAGTTCAGTCTCAAAGCTTGTTGATAATAACTCCACTTGAGTAAAACCGAATTAATACTAGTTAAACTGTAATTGATGTCTCTGAGCGTGGTTGTCGGTCGCCGACGGGTATCAAGGCAAATACAGGTCTAAAGGCAAATATTCTAATATCAATATTTCCTATAATAGTCTTAAGTGCAGAGATTGGCACTATAAAAAAAAACTTTAAAAAAATCAATATTTCCTTTAGATGACGGAGCAGAGAAAGCAGAAACAACGCATCGGCCTCCTCAACTCGACGTCCGCATACCTTCAGAACCTCCAGATGAACTTGCCGCCGTGATCTGCTCCCGTCTCCAAATCAACGTCTTACCACCCTCTAACTGCCCTCCAGTAAACTGAGCTCTGTAATCTTTTAATATTACCGCATATAAGGTAAAACTTTAGCGTTCAGATAACATTATGTTGGAAATAATTATATGGTAAATTTGTAACTAAACTCCTCACAAAACCAACTAGATATCGTCATTATAATTATTTACTATCGCGACAGGGCAGTAGGTGAACTTAAGGGTGTGTCGGCGTTGACAATTATTATTTTGCATATCGCACAAAAACCGACTTTATTTTAATATTGCCACGGTACATTTTAAATTTTCACACAACAATGACACACGACGCTCATACGGCTTTCTAATATATTCTTAGAAAAATGACTAATCCAATCCTTGCTCATAAACGACTATAAAATTTAACATTAAGTAATTATTCGGTTTAGAAATTAAACCAGCGGAATTTAGACCACAGATGGAGACTTACTCGATTGTATGATTTTTATCCATGAGACAAATATAATAAAAACAAAGCTCGAACTAAGTTATTAAATTCTTAATAAACGAATTCATTAATATAGCATGCCTGAAAGAATAAATCGTATCCTGAAGGATTTTAAAGAGTGTATTGACGAGGCAATTTGGCAGATGTCTAAATTGTGAAGGAAAGAGTCGGGAAGACGCCCTTTACAATGATAGGAAATATTTGAAACTATACGAATAGTAATATTAGTTGGTTAATAGTGGAAATACGCCAGATGCTAAGTTTATTTGAAAAGTTGGGGTGTTAACAGACCTTGCTAGAGTTGCGACTATAATGTCTAAGAGGGCTCATGGGCCAACCAAAGTATACGGTTCTTGTCGCATTTTCGATGTCTGGGTTCACCTTCTAGTGATGATTGTAACTTCATCGTTGTACGTGAACTAGTGTTCATAGTGTAGGAAACGTTATATAGAATGTGGTCGTTGTTTCTTCTTCTAGAATTTTTACTCTATACCCTACTTAATATTTACTTCGGAACTTATTTTCTTAATGTTATATAGAACTCGTGTTTTTCTATTTTTACTGCTAGATTTCTTTTCAACGAATTTTATCCGGCAATCATTTATATTAGACTATCTCTATATTGTCGTTCGTATATGAAACATTTTGAATGTGACTCGCGAATTATTCTCAATCGAATCTTTCTAGATACCATTTCGAGAAAGTCACTTTGTGCAATACAAGATTGCTCAAATCCGTTACCCATTTGCTATGTATAGATAGAGAGCGTATTTTATTTGAAATAAAAAAAGAATCTTTTAAAGATCTGAAGTTTATGTTTTGTTGCGCGATTGTATGTTGTATTTCATAGGTTGAGGCCACACTGAGGTCCAAGCTTGTCGAAGTCACATAGTGTGGGGCGACCCTTAAAGGCTTCAGTGGAGTGTGGTTATTACTTAGGTTTGACGGGTGATAGAACTGCTTGCATATGTTAGTAAGATAGTTATATTAATCTTCTTTGACCGGTTAGCTTTTTCATACGTTACGTATTAAAGACTATTTCGTAAGAGCTCTTTGACAGTGTTTAGTGACTGCGACCAAATAAGAAATGTTTGAATTTAACCAATATAAAAAGCCAATGACTATAAGTCTTTTTTTGAATTTATTATTCTAATAAAATGTTCCGATATATATATATATGAGTCATTTTCCTAATCTAACATTAGATAGTAAATAGATTATCTATTATCTTTATTCTCTATAACGAAGTACAGAAATGAAAATAGTTGACAAAATTGCATAAACCCTGTCCTGGTTAATAGTTCTCTCGAATAACACCTTTTTTTTTAATAATTTTAACGAGTGTCGTCACCGCATATTTTAGATTACTTTTATTGTCTCATAAGAAATAAAGTGCCATGATCGTCGCAACAAAGGTGAAATAAAAACAAATATACACGTATCTAAATAATCAAAGATTTTTTTTTCGGTTAATAGATATATACTTTGTACTTAAGTTATTTTATTTCAAATATTTACATTTATTATTTTATCGTACGAAGTACTACTGTTTTATATTAAACAAATATTTTTTTTGTAAAGAGAAATTTCGGATATACTTTGAAATGAAATTTTGTGACAAATAAAGAATATTTTTTTTTTCTTATTTTATAACACGTCTTGTTTGAATCTTATTATTTTATATTGCGTTACATTCCTCCACTTTATGCAACTCTTTTAATTCTTGTTGGGGTAAAAGAAGTGGCTAGTAGCTAATTATTACAAAATAGATTATTTTAGATTAAATTAATTATCAAGATATTAAACTCCAGCCACTCTACTTTTTAAATCACATCTAACGATTCTTTATTTTCTTCACGATTTTTCTTAATATGTCTTAATGCGTCTATGTGTATGCTATAAGTAATATTCCAACATGTAACATTTCTTTCTGCTTTTTATGGCAATAATTCATATTTATGAACTAAACATTCACATTCCTAATTTATCTTCAATATGTGAAGGTTTTGAAACATTTATTTTTATATTTGGATCGCTTGGAGAGAAGAAATTCTCACCAAAGTAATAATTAATTATAATTTTTATCGCTGCGATCAAAGTATAAATTGTTACTGTAGTTGATTAATTCTTGGACACGCGAACCTATTCTCATGTGGAATCTTTTTCATCGTTACTGTTATTTCACTGTTAGCAATACCATAGTAGAGGATATTACGTATACCTAGTACTTCGTATTGTGATGGAATTCGTTGTGATGGTTGCAATAAAGTGTTTTGTTTTAAAAAAAAATAAAGAAATGGCACAAGGCTTTGTTGTCTGCGTTTTATTTTAACCTTACTTCGGTGAACGGAAAACAGTTAGTCTTCGCTGTTGCACGAATGGGCAGGTCCGTCCGTGGTAATGGAGAGTGAGGTACCCAGGGCCCAATTTATTAGGTGGCAGCACCTACGGGTGTTCCTAATGTCAATGACCGGCGGTTATCACTTAACATCAGGTGTACCGCCAGCGCGATTGTCAACTTCCCACCTAAAAATAATTAACTTACCAAAGTTAATTAAAGCTTGTTTTATTTGGACTTGCCTTTTATGTACGTTATGATGGTTCGAAAACTGCCCCGTTCAGAGAAGGAACAAGACTGTTAATTATACGCTGTTTTTATTATAATCAAAAGCCATTTTCGTGCATTCTCATTTCCCTTCAGGGCTCGTTCATATGATCAGTATGCCCTTTATCTTAACTCTGGTTACTTCTCTAAAATTATATCCACTGTTTCAATCGATATTTTCGGATGTCTCGCTTGAAAAATACCATCGGAAGTAAAGTCTGCAGAAATGCTTACTAGTTCTACTTTCGACGATGGCAAAACTGAAACAGAAACGGTTTAGTTCGCTTCAGTTACATGACAATGAAACTCGAAACGTTTCATCGCAACTATTGGCAACAAAGGTTGTCAAATCTAGTTTAAAAAGCCGATAACGATAGTTTTATCTATCGACGATAACACCATCGGCAGACGGTCGCAGCGTTCTAACGCGCCCGGCAAACATGTGGGTCGTGAGTTTTGTTTTCATCGCTGCCGGTGAGTAAAATCTTATCTCACTATTGTTTGCCTTAAAGACCATCAATCAGCCCTCAAATCGGGCATTTAATGCTTAATTTAAGTCTAAACTACACGCGCCTTTTAAACGCGTTTTTTTATAGTAAATTTCGGTCCGATTAAATTAAATATTGTTAATGAACAACCGTTGTACTAGTAAATTATTCAATTATTTAATTAATAATTATAATTTACAAGTACAACAGTTGTTCATTAATAAAGAAATATTTTTAGTAACAAAACTGATTTCATTCACTATTCAGTTCCCTGGTGTCTTGTCATCTTTTTGAGACTTAGGTTCAATGCCAATTAAATTTTTAGGAGAACACGACACAACCCGAACCTAATGCAAAAACAATTTTTATAATCACTATTTTGAAGTATAAAAAAAAACCGACTTCAAATCGGAAACTAAAAAACATTGTTAATAACCTATAACTTTTGAGGATTGCCCTCGATTTCTCTGAGATGCAATCATCAGATCTGGGTTTCCTTATCATGGTACCACCCTTGGGATATCTCCTTTCCAACAAAAAGAGAATCATCAAAATCGGTACATAGACGACGAAGTTATCAGCGAACACACAAAAAAAATAAAGATATATACGGTCGAATGAAACCTTCTTTTTTGAAGTCGATTGAAAAGTAGCATTCGCGGTGTTTTTATTCACACAGAAATACGTCCTGAAATTGGGGACTAATAGATTGTTCGCTTATCACATACATTTCTTTATTTATTTATTTGCTACACATTTTCAATAATAGAAATGGATCGCTCAAATCTAATAATTATTGACAATAAATAAGAGAGTAGATATAATATGACGACTTTATTGAACAACTCGCATTCGGCCAATGATATCGAAGGGGAATTCCTATAATAATAACACTAATGTAGTCAAAGATAAGTTAATACTATTTTCGAGGAACAACAATGGATCTATTGTCATTTCTGAGTCAGTGGTGCATTAACAGATAAGTGTCATAAAATAAGCTGCGAATCTATTAATACCCATTTCTACTGTATATTTCTTCCTTCACGATTTCGTTTATGAAAAATTATTGAGAGATTTTCAAGAAAGAAAGTGTGGTGTATGCATAAATGTAGCTTTGTTTTTCTTGAACGGTGGATGTGACTAATGGGATCGCTCTCAAACCAAAAAGACACTTAAGGACTGATAGGAAAACTGTTTATTTCAACTTAAACATTTTGAAATTATTTTAGACGAAACCTAATCATTATGAAATTTATATAAAATACAAGAGTTATGTCAAACAGCTAGACATGTTACTTCTACAAACGATTTTAACGGAATCAAATCAATTATGACAAAATTCAGTCTGAACAAATAAAATTAACATTCCAAATTTAAAGTAATTCAAACATAATACATTAATCAAATAGTATAGAGAGTATATCAAAGGAGTATGTATAATCTGAGATTACCAATCAACAGTTTTAAAGATGGTTGTAGTCGATAAGATTTTCTAGTGTACTTGATTAATATTTTATAACATTCATTCCACACACAATCCCCGGAAGAGTAACCAAGCATCAATATTAAAAAAATAGGGGTGTATATTTAATAAAACGGGTTCCGTAATGTTTTGGTGTTTATTTCGGCAAGCCGTTGCTGAGGAGTTCCACGTCAGCGAGGCGGACCTTACTGGAGAGTTCTCCGCCAGCAGAATCATTGGAGGCAACCCGACTGTAATAGAAAAATACCCTTACACTGTGCAGGTAAATTGGTTTCATGTTTTATTCTCAGGACAGTCACAGTGACTTTTCACATTAAAAAAAAATGGCAAACAGGGTATGTAATATACTTTGGTAAGGCAACAGTGTTTGGTGTTGCACGAATAGGCAGGTCAGTGCGGGTAACTACCAGGACCGCACAGAAGACCGGCGTGAAGTAGAAGTTTAACAGTTTTTCACGCGTTTCGAGTAAGTGAGGCAGCCGGAGCCCATATTTTTTTTGTGTGACAAGTTGCCAAGCGAGCAGACGGTTCACCTGATGTTAAGTGAATACCGCCGCCCATGGACATCTGCTGCACCCGAGGGTTCCAGATGCGTTGACAACCTTTTGAAAATTGGGCTCTGGCCACCTCACTCACCAGACGAAACGCGAAAGTATTATACTTCCACCCGGACGAGCCTATCCATTCGTGCAACAGCCGAGGCTGCTGCGTGTCCCTACCACCGTGGAAAATATATTATTTAAAGGTGGCAACGCATCTGCAACGCTATGGGTGTTGCAAATGTCCATGGACGGTGATTATCACTTAACACCAGGTGAGCCGCCAGCTCGTCTGCCACTTTCTCACATAAAAAATTCTCTTAGTGATTAATGATAAAATGTAAAGGATTTTCAGTTTGTATTCTTTATCTCAAAAAAATTATAACTTCACTATAGCTCGTGGGTTTCCGTGTTTCTTTCTTCTCTCTCTTCTTACGTTTCTATGGGACGACAGGGTACGCAAGGATTCTTTGCATGTATACCGTATAATTTATCGTTAGATATACATATTATTCAATAAAGAAAATTAAACTTTAGCAGCTCTACATCAATAACAAATACCTTAAATGAATTTTTTGGCACTGCACCGCCGAGTAACTTTCAAATAAGGAACTCGAATCAATAATATTATATACAAATACGAGGAGACTATATATATTTAAACATCATCGACTCAAGCACCGCATTATTGACAGGTAAGGATAAACACGGCATGGGCATTTTAGGCATACTTCTACGATTTCTGCGGATGTAACGAATCTTGTGTGTGTTAAAGAACAGCAAAATAACAGTCTGTTCACTGCTGTAAAACGTTTAAAACACAACTCTTTAATATATTAAAGTAAACTGCCATTTTATTTTTCTCGGATATATGTTCAAAGCTTTAACCATCGTCAACATTGCACACATGTAAAAAACATCTTTTAGATGTGTGCAATAAACAACTTATTTTTTTAAGACCCTCAGATCTGAAACAGTTGCCCGTGGATCACACAAATAGTTGTCTCGTGTGGGAATAGAACCCACGACTCCCGACGCCGAAGCCAATGCCTTGGCAACTGCGCCACAGAGACATCAAAACTTAACAGCGAAAATATTTATTAGAAAGCGGCCTGTGGAATTATTTTAATATCAGAGTGACGGTAGGCATTGAGCTGAAATTGTTCTGTGTTCCAGGTCCTATATGAAGGTCGGCTTAGGTGCGGTGGATCGCTCATAACACAACGTCACGTTCTGTCAGCCGCGCACTGCTTCGTTAACGAGTAAGGCGGTCATTGCATTGCAAAATGAGCTACTTTCAATGATATTACATACCAAAATTGAGGCACTCAAATTACAATCACTGGTGTAATTCTATAGACTGCTATCTCTTTCTGCATCATACGTTCTATAATTTATATCATCTGTCACATTCACTTATATGACATATATAAGTGAATGTGACAAAGCGTGTGTGTGTAAAGCGAAAAAAAATTTTAAGGCCACGCAAAAAATCATTGGCTATTTTATAGAACACTAAAAGACACCTATAGCATCCTCGTGACCACGCGATCTCGGTTCCCAGTACCTGTTTACAGTGACTGATTCCAATATCCTTACTAATACTATAAAGGCAAAAGTTTGTATGTATGGATGGATGTTTGTTACTCTTTCACGCTAAATACTATTGAATGGATTTTAATGAAACTTTACAAAAATATAGTTTATACATAAGACATAGACTATAATTTATATACATATTTTATGTCTTGTGGGTCTGTCCTATGTCTTTCTGTCTGAAAGTTTCGTCTTCAGTCTTTCTACGCAGACGTAGAATCGCGGGCAGCAGCTAGTTATTCATATTTCCCTCTTTATAATTGTAAAACCGCATAAAGCACTAGAGTTGTGATTAGTTGATAAGATAATCTCTACCTAAGTAAATGAAGACTTGAAGCTTTTATAATATTAAGTATGTCATAAAAGTTTATGTTCACAAAACCAAATAGCAATGTTGTTTGGAACAGCGCACCAACGCGCAAACCGACCTCTATTCGCGACCGACGTTATTTATTTCTTATTATTCGATTTATTTATCGATTTTACTGTAGGATAACGTAGTCATAATTATGTTGTGGCAGCGTTTTACAAAAACAATATAACACACCCAGAAATGGAGGTCTGGATCATCTCTCACCGCAGAGGCGTGTATACGGACTAACCGGTTACATGACTCAATCTCCGTATTCAGAACGAAGTCACGAACACAGAGAAACCAGCCAAGCGGAGTGTTCACGGGAATTGCATAATGTGATTCCTCCCACATCATTCAAACGTCGAATGATGCTCAAGATGATCCCATCCTTTTATTTCATCCTTCCCCGCGTTGGGACAAAGGTTTACCTCCTCTTTAGTAATGCGAACAGCTAAAGAACATGTTGCGAAGTATGTCCGTCCGATTCATATTTAACCTGTGACAAGACTTTAACTTTATCTGGCACAAAGGAAAAAGTGGGTAGGGAAACTTGAGTGCATTGACGGGGCCTTTAAGTTTTAGTCTTCAATATTGGATTTAATTTTGTTTAAGGTGTATATAATTCGTGTCAAAGTTTTATCCTATCGATATATTTTTGCACTTATATTAGCAAAAACAAGGTTAAATCTTTTACGCTGTCGTAAAAATACCATTTTCTGCGATTTGTAGGCCTATCTGAAAGTACTCGTTTTTTTAGAAAATCTTTAAAATTCAGTAATTTTACATAACTGCGCTTGCACATAACGGTGTTGCAACTGTTCATGGGCGGCGGTTATCACTTAACATCAGATGAACCGCCAGCTCGTTTGTCACTTTCTCACATAAAAAAGAACAATAATATTGATTATGATTTTCCACTTTACAGGAACGACGTGGTCGTGAACCCTAATGTTTTCAGCGTGCGCGTGGGCTCCACTTATTTGAGCTCAGGTAAGAAACAAACCTTTGAGAATAATTACTGGGTTGACGTATTTGTATTTCTTTTTGTATTGTTGTTCTGGATTAGAAGAAAGTGCTTATTCCTATAATATTCTATTTAAAGATCGAAATTCGGGCCCTTATTTCAAAAACATTGTACGCATAATGACGAACGTTTCCGCCTTTAAACATCCTCCTGGTATAATAGTGGGGAGGCCAAGCGGGGATTTCGGGATTTACTCAAGCGCGGCAGATTAACATACAGGGGAATACCTTGTACCCGGTTAAGTACCACCACAAAAAATGAGCCCCATATATAAGGTCGCCCGTCAAGGATAAAGGATCAGATTAGTAAAAAAAAATGATCATCGGAAATTCTCGAGCGCGTCAGATTAAGGTGAGTTAATTACATGCTAAAAATACACTTTTTAACTTTCCACTAATCTGACAATTTGAGAGTGATGTAAAGATAGGGGATACAAAGTTGTAAAAAAAAAAACGTCATCTCGACATTCTCGAGCGTGGCTTAATTTTTTTGAGATAAGTTCAAATGAATGTATTTATTTAATAACGAGTGATTAATAAAACTATTTATAAAATTTTATATAAGATTATTTGTCTAGAATTTTTATAAAAAAATGCATATTATAATAATGGCCGTGAGTTTGCATCACATCGAAATTGTTTTTTTGGGTTCACTTAACACCCCCTTAGAAAATATCTGACGCGCTCGAACAATTTTTTTTTTAATTTTCATCCCTTACGTACCACCACCCTCATCATGCAAACGATCAGATCAGTATCAGATCACGATCAGACGAGTAGGACATTGATGCTATCAATATCTAACACGCTCGAGTATACAACAGTATTTGTTACATATTTGAACATCTATAGGCGCTCTCCCCACCGATGAAAAGGTTTACATTATATAACATTTTTTTCTTCTTATCAACTAAACTGCAACCCAATAGGTCTCTATGACGCTCGAGCAAATCCCCATTTAGCATTGTGGATTCCCCTACTATAATGTTTTAAACGAAAAGAAATTCGGCCTATAAAAGGAGCCCGGAACACAATGGAGGTCCGACAGGTTCGAAACTAACTGTTTTAGTATTTCTTTAATAATTTCTCACGAGTTTAAATATTTTTATTAAAGCTTTAAATTTGTAAATGAAGTGATCGTTAGAACATGGACGTTTAACTCAATTCCCGGAACCCCTAGCTCATAACATTGTTTTAGTATCAAGCATTGGGTCCGTCAGATTAATAATTTAGCCCACCGAGCAAAGCGCCTCCCACGGCCCTTGAACAAATACGCCATTGTCGCAGGGGGCACCGTGTACTCTGTGTCTATGGTCGTGGTGCACGAGGGGTACAACCGGCCACCGCGCGACAACGACGTGGCGGTCCTGGTGCTGGGCAGGCGCGTCGCGACCTCTGCGGCCGTGGCTACGGTGGCGTTGCCCCACCCCAGCGCTGTGGTGCCCAGCGACGCGCTGCTGGTGCACGTCGGCTGGGGAAGCACGCACGTGAGCGACCTCTAGACAAGTGGAACTCATGCTATGCGATGCGCTTTTATTTCCAATCGGTTCATCCTTTACGCCACTTGCCTTGCTTGTTTTATTTTTATGTTTGTGTGTTGCGTTTTCATTTCTGTTGGACGCGGGGGATGGGACTACTTTCATTACTATAATTTCCAATCGATTTATCAACCGACTTCAAAAGAGAAGAGGTTTTCAATTCAACTGCTTTTATAAACGTTTGTTACCTAACCATAACTTTCGACTGAGTAAATCGATTTTGATGATTCTTTTTTTATTGATAATTCATTGGTAATATAGATCTTGGGCTCCGGAGATACGTACGGAACTCCTGAAAATCAATTATAAAACGAATACAGAGCGAGATATTTGAAGTCGATTTTGTTTTTCGTTAATAAATAAAAAATGGACTTGTTCTTTACACTAGTTGCATTATATTCTTGTATTATTTTTAATGCGGATGTCTTAACCGTTCGTTTTGGCAGGAGATGGTGCCGCAGGCGTCGGATGTACTGAACGAGGTGGTAGTGAGGAAGGTGAACCGGAGCGTTTGCGCACAGCGCTACCGTCTATTGGAGGTGGCTACGGGCGAGCCGTACCCAGTCACGGGCAACATGATCTGCGCCGGCCTTCTGGACGTCGGAGGTGGTACATTTGAGGATATTTCGAACAATGTTAACTTTATGAAATGGAAGTGTTACATCTGCGTTTCGTCCGGTGGTTGAGGTATCCGGGGCACACTTTATTATAAAGCAACGCATGTAATATGCAAACACGGTAACCATACGGGTGTTGTAAATGTCAATGGGCGGTGGTTATCATTTAACATCAGGTTAAGTGCCAGGTCATTTTCTACTTTCATTTTAAAAATATGTGATTATTCCTTATATGTATACATTAATGATAATGAACTGATGCCCTTTAAAATTCCTCTTTTAGACCGCCCTTAAACTCTGCGTCCTAAAAGTCCCCGTCTGAGAGGTTGCTCAACACTTACCATCATGTAACGCTTGTTTAATTCTAGCCAAACATATAATTCCGCCCTTGAATAAGAGAAGAGCAGTTTCATGTTGACTTCGGGCTTCCAGTTCTTAACGCTACCGGTAAGGGTCGCCGAGGGGCCCGGGGAGTCAATCAGTTCGTCCGGAATAGCAGTATATATAGCAGCATATAACGGGCACGGCGTTTCCGTTTCCGTAGGCAAGGACGCGTGCCAAGGCGACAGCGGCGGGCCCCTGCTGTACGGCGACGTGGTGGTGGGCGTGACGTCATGGGGCTACGGCTGCGGACAGCCCTCCTTCCCGGGGGTGAGCGCGCGCGTCGCCTCCTTCACCAGATGGGTGGAGAGCACGGTGGGTGCGGGGCGCTTCGTGTGTGGCGGGGCTTGGCACGTCTGAAGCACCACGGTCTCGCAGAAGACCTTCGACTATGTATCATCTAATATGTTTCGTCTGTTCACAGGTGCAGAGGTACAACGCTGGATCGAAGGCGACAGCGAGTGCGATAACTCTTCTTGCGTCCATGACTTTGGTGAGCGGTGCTTTCTTCAATAGCGTAACTTTCGTTTTATTGCATTGAAACTTTCGCATTTTCATTAGTTAGATAAATTTGCGAACATGATTAAACCTGCCAGCGTACGGCTCACAGACATTCATGTGCCAGAGAACTACTTCACTTGTGCTGTGGTCTTTTTCGTCCGTGACTGGGAAAATAAAACGGCCCGCTGAGATATCACATATGAATATTTTATTTAGGAGTAATGATATAGATATAGTATATGTTACACGGTACAATAAATATAAGGTACTTGGTGAGTCGCTACACATGTCATAACTGCGCGGCCGCGCGCACCGACAGCAACACCATCTGCCGGCACCGAGCTGCAACAACGAACTGCGATTTAGTCTACGCTGCCAGAGCTTTATCTAACGTAATCCACAAATATAAGAAAGCAAAGTAACAGCCTGTACATGTCCCACTGCTGGGCAAAGGCCTCCTCTGTACAGACGGCGTGAGGGCATAGTTAACGACGCGGCCCCACTGCGGATTCACATATCTTCGAAATATTATTTCGAAATATGCAAGTTTCCTCACGATGTTTTCCTTCACCATTAAGGACGTGATAATTCAGCACTTAAATTTAATGATTACATTGGTGCCTGCACCGGGGACCGAAATCAGGTTGCTCGAGTATAGTGAATTAAAGTCGAGCACCCTGACACTGAGCTATCACGATTCCTCCATAAATATACTCACTAATATTTACTAGACAACAAATTCAAGCTTCTAGTTTAATTTCTATTGAAAATAAATAAGATTTCATTTTCCTCCGCATTTTAAAGTTAGACTAAGTTCAGATACCAATCCTTAGAGGATCTAGTTCCTGCCGATTATTGGTGTATTACTGGTCTTTAAGAGGACCAGTAATGTACCAATGGGTAAGGTAAGAGTGGGAACGCAATTGCAAACTTATTGTTCTTGTTCGGGTTCTCCATGTATGTACTGTCCACGCAGCAGCCTCGGCTGTTGCACGAATGGGCAGGCTCGTCCGGGTAAGTACCACGACCTCACAGAAGACCAGCGTAAAGTGGAAGTATAATAGTTTCGCATTTTTTCTGGTGAGTGAGGTAGCCGGAGCCCAATTTTCAAAAGGTTGTCAACGCATCTGCAAACCCTCTGATGTCGCATGTCCATGGGCGGTGATATTCACCTAACATCAGGTGAACCACCTTGGTTGCTTGGCAAATTTTCACATATAAAAAAAATTTTTCACGTGCACAAACGCCAGGTTCCGAAACAACTATCCGTGGCTAAAAAACACTTGCACCGCCTGGGAATCGAACCCACAGCCGCCGGTGACGAAGCCAATGCCACGGCGACTGCGCCGCGGAGTAGTCATGACAAATCTGTTCGCAGCTTCGGCTCGACTGACCCCTGTCCGTCAGCACGTCGTCCACGAGCACGTCGGCGAGCAGCCCGCCGGCGGCCACGGCCTCGACGCAGCGCGGCCCCCCTCCCGCCCCCGGCCCCCCTTCGCCCCCCTCCGCCGCCGCCACCTCCCCCTCGCGCCACGGCCGCCCCTCCACCTCGGCGCCCCGCCACCGGCCCAGCTCCTCGCTCGCCGAGACGCACTCCGCCGTGTCCTGTTGCGGTGGCGATACGTAATTTTTACAACATGTATAAGGCTTACAATGTGACATTTCTCTAGAAAAACTGTCGCGCATCAATCGGGAAACGAAGGTCCGAATCCCGCAGCGCCGCATAACTGTTTTAGACTGTTTTTCTACAAAAATTTCATGCCGAGTGTAATCTTGACTGCTGCTAAAATAAAAATAAAATAGCTTAAATTTCTATTTAATACCTGTTGCTTAGTTGTTGGTGTAATCTATATTGTGAATATTTTTAAGACGCGTGAATCACGTGCGCAAGCTGTGTAATATAAATTTTACTCCTTAAGAAGATTTGGGAAGCTGGACAATCAAAACCCACCAGAATACATTTAGATTGTATGATAATCAAAATGTTTAAATAAATTTAATAAGTATTAAATAAGTTTAAGTATTGTGACAATAAAACATATTTAGAATAAACAACATTTGAATACCATTATTTTCTTTATTTCTATTAAATAATATTTACACTTGCTAATATTCTTGCTAAATGGCCACCAAAAATACTTCTACTGATCCATTGCAAAACAAAACCATACCCTCATTAACAAATCTAAGCAGCAATATTCTAAAAACAGTAGTTAAATTATGGTAAAATTTTCAAGACGTATGCCCAGTTTTCGAAAGGTCAATCAAAGGGACAAACAACGCGGGGGGCCGAAACCGGATATTTTTTTTCTTGAATGAAGTTTATTTTCACCCAAAAAAATTGATATTTTATTTGGAAAAAAAATTAAAACGTTTAATAACTATCGATCGGCCAAATACACAGATTAGCTGATCAGAGTTTAACAAGTGTTCAACTGTGGTAGGGCGACGCAACAGTTTCGGCTTTTGCACGAGCGGGCAGGTCCGCCCGGGTAAGTACCGAATCCACGGAAGCCCGGCGTGAAGTGGAAATATTATACTTCTGCGCTTCGCCTGGCGAGTGAGGATATGGGGCCCACTTTAAGAAAAGGTGGCAACGCATCTGCAACCTTACGGGTGTTACAAATGTCCATGAGCGGCGGTTATCACTTTAGATGACTCCGTGGCGCAGTTGCCAAGTTATTGGCATCGGCGTCGAGGGTCGTGGGTTCGATTCCCACACGGGACAACTATTTGTGCGCCCCACAGATAGTTGTTTCGCATCTGGGTATTTGTCCTCGTGTAATTTATGTTTGTAAAACGTCCTTACAACACAGGATAATGTTATCCTAAAGTGAGGGCAATGTTTTTTTTTAAATAAAAAAAGAAAAAAAAACATGAGGTGTATCGCTTGCGACCGCGCCCACATTAAAAACAATCTCCGCAACCCACCGGCAGCCCCCCTTCGGGCGCGCTGTCCAGCGAGTAGCGCCCCTCCACGAAGCCCCCGAAGCCGGCGTCCCTCTCCAGGTCCAGGGTGCGGCTGATGACGGTGCACGTCATCTCGCGCACCGGATCCACTATCAGGAAGCTGCGCTCCCCATCCTCGGCCTCCTCTGGGTTGGGTTTCGCCTCCGCCTGTCGGGAAGGGCTTTGTTTAACGTAAAACAAAGTTAAGTACCACACAGCATCTTCTGCTGTTGCACGATTGGGCAGGCTCGTCCCGGGGAAGTACCGCGACCTCACAGAAGACCGGCGTCAAGTGGACTACCTCTTTTTAACCGGAGTAGGTTCTCAATTCGACTGTATTTTTTTTAATGTTCGTTACCCCATAACACTGACTTTTGACGGAGTGAACCAATTTTGATGATTATTTTTTTTTATTTGAAAGCTGGTGCGTCCCACGTGGTCCCATATTAATTTCATTGGTATTGGATCTTGGGTTCCAGAGATACTTAGGAAACTCGTGAAAATCAACTATAAAATAAAAAAAATGGAATCGTTCAAAGGTCAACCCCTCGGGCGTACCAGATGTCCATAGACGGCGGTAACCACTTGGCATCAGGAGAGCCCGCCTGCTCGCTCTGCAACTCTTCACACGACAAAAATTGTAACACAAGCCGACGGGATCGAAGGCGTTACCTGCACGGGCGCGGGGTCCAGCACGGTGGCGATCCGGCCGCTGAGCGCGTCGGCCAGCACGTAGCAGCGCGCGCGCGTTGCGTCCGTCAGCACGTACGTGTCCGCCTCCGCGCCCTCCGCCCCCCCGCCGCCCTCCGCTCCGTCCGCCCCCTCCGCGCCCTCCGTCCCCTCCGCCCCCTCCGACCACCACGACGCCTCCTCCGCGCCACCAGACGCCTCCTTCTCTGCAACGGCCACGTTCCAAATTCAAATATCTCCATTCGATATAGAAGCGCTACAGTTAATGATTGTCGAAACACTACTATCGGTTCGGAAAATAAGCCAATGACATGAGAAGAACCGGCGAAAGAAGCTCAGCCTTTTTTTTTAGCAATTATTTGACTGTAAAATATATTTACTAAATATTTTAGCCGCTTGAAAGAACCTGGAGTGATCAATTTGTTTCCACAGTATGTTATAATTTTCAACATTTCTTTACAATATTTTTTATAAATTAACAATTAATACATATTGAACGTTTTCTGTTTTTTTTTTTTTGTCAAAACAGAATACAAATTTAAATTGTTTATAGTGCTAATCTTTGCACTTAAGATTGAACATTAAAATATGTAGAAAAAAAAAGATTAGCACTATAAACAATTAAAATTTCTAAAAAAGCAATGGCGACATCTCTCGTTCGAATTATCGTTGTAAAAACGATATTCGAAATTGTTTGTATGCTGGAAAGGATATAACAATAGATGGCGCCAAGCATTGCTTCAAATGCTAAGAAAACAATGTGGAAGAATGCGTTAAGATTTTCCTCGGTGTGGCAATCAGCCGTTTAGCTCAGTGGCTAGAGCGTCAGGCCGCGAATGCCGAAGACGTGGGTTCGATTCCCACAACGGCGACAATCTTTTCGCACTTTTTTCTACATATTTTAATGTTCAATCTTAAGTGCAAAGATTAGCACTATAAACAATTTAAATTTCTAAAAAAGCAATGGCGACATCTCTCGTTCGAATTATCGTTGTAAAAACGATATTCGAAATTGTTTGTATGCTGGAAAGGATATAACAATAGATGGCGCCAAGCATTGCTTCAAATGCTAAGAAAACAATGTGGAAGAATGCGTTAAGATTTTCCTCGGTGTGGCAATCAGCCGTTTAGCTCAGTGGCTAGAGCGTCAGGCCGCGAATGCCGAAGACGTGGATTCGATTCCCACAGTGGCGACAATCTTTTCGCACTTTTTCTACATATTTTAATGTTCAATCTTAAGTGCAAAGATTAGCACTAGAAACAATTTAAATTTCTAAAAAAGCAATGGCGACATCTCTCGTTCGAATTATCGTTGTAAAAACGATATTCGAAATTGTTTGTATGCTGGAAAGGATATAACAATAGATGGCGCCAAGCATTGCTTCAAATGCTAAGAAAACAATGTGGAAGAATGCGTTAAGATTTTCCTCGGTGTGGCAATCAGCCGTTTAGCTCAGTGGCTAGAGCGTCAGGCCGCGAATGCCGAAGACGTGGGTTCGATTCCCACAACGGCGACAATCTTTTCGTACTTTTTCTACATATTTTAAAAACAGAATACATTTTCACATAAAAGAATAAAACGAATGTGCTTTATACCACACGACTGAAATAAAACTTCTTTAGCTCCATCAACGCTCTCGTCACGCATTCTCCAGCTTACTCCCTAAGTCAAGCGTGCGTAAAGAACTTTTACTTCAATTTTATTTATCAATAAATAGCCTCGAAAGTCTTTATAAACTATCTATTGTACAAGCGGCGTGCGAGATAGCAGTCGGTACAGCAATCGCAAAAGCTCACATGCAATTGACAGGGATGTTGAATAATATCGTTCCATACATAACTCAGCATTACTCTCAATACGTACCCTGATAACGTTGTTAAGAGCCGCTAGCCAGCGTGGACACCAGGCACGTTTCCTAGAGATACTGCGTGTATCTTAACTTACTGTGTACAGGCCCGATAGTAAACGGCACAGCGTAACCACCATGACTAGCGGTTTCCTATTAATACAATGGCTCACTACGTACGCCATATTGAGATGTTGCGTGGCAACGATCGATACGAAGAGACACAATGCTTGACTTATAGTAGCCGTCGACTCGTGTATGCGGCGCGGCAACGTCGCCCAGCGGCCCTCCGCTCTAACTTACAATATCCGTTCACTCGTGCATGCGGAGCGGCAACGTCGCCAGCCCTAGCCTAGGACGTACCGTGCGCGCGCGGAGGCTGGCGCGGCAGCAGCCGGCAGAGGGAGTAGCCGCGGCACGGGGTCGCGCGCGACACGCGATATCGCCGTCTCGCTCCCTCCCACTCCTCGGCCAGCTCTACAACAGGTGCGTGGCGCGCTTTAGGGTCCGAACACGCTTACCGCGGCCCTCACGCGCCGAGCCATTGGCGCGTGGCGATACGACATCGGTATTGCGCTGTCCGTAGACGACATTTCAATTTTTATTCTACATTTACAAGGTTAAACATACGCTTTGTGTTCGTTTGCAGACACTAACTTTGCATAGTTCGACCGGTTTCGTCCAATGCAATGTTTCTCAAATATATTTTAGGCATTTTTGTAAATAAAAGAAAAAACAATCGCCTTGCGCCTACATTAAATGATTTGTTGATGGCACGACATTGAATAGAAAACGTGTTCGGTCCTAAAAACGACTGGGGTCAAGATGCAAGTGATTTGGCAAGCGACGGAGGCAAAACTATCAATCTAATTACCAAATATGATTTAAAAAAAAATACAAAAACGTACTCGATACCACTCAATTTTAACTAGCATATTCCAACGAAAAATAAGGTCTTACCTTCGTATGTATTTTCGGCACCATCGTTGATAGTATCAGACATCAAATCATGATCCTCCGTGCTGTGTTCTATGTAAACATCCTGTAAAAAATTTAAATGATATAGTACTGAATCTTTTATAACATGCTGAAAATATGCTTATAAATTATTTGGCTCAGATCATTTATCAATAGCTATGTTTTGATCTTATACTAGTAGCGGCTGTAGCCAATTTTGTGAAATCCAACGTCTGGATTTCATGCAACTGAGGCAAGAGGTTGCTGTTTGAGATCGGAAAAGTCTGAACATTACTGTCTGTTCAGTCTACGTGAGTGCATTAAAATTATTTATGATGATTATACAGCATAATGCGGATCTTCGAGATATTCACAAATTTTTTACTAAAGCTTTGTTGGGTTGAATATGGCACGATAAAATAACATAATTGTACAATCATGTTATTTTGTCGTGCCATTTTCATCACCACATCGCGTGCAAAGGGTTATCTTTTTCAAGTTCGACTTACCGAGTCACTGTTAAAAAAGAATACATTGCCATTTCCAAAGTTATGGGAATAATATTTCCACGCAAATTAAACGATTCCACACGAAGTAGGATCCGTGAGATTTGCGCATGTACAGTCGCGTGGAAACATCGGGGTATCGCTCAAAAGTCATCATTCTCCTGCCCTTATCCCACGTAGGTCGCCACAACATGTGAATCAAAGTAGCTTTGGCTTATATTTGACGTAGCCCTCTTTGAGAAACAGACAGATAACAGGTCCCGTGTGGTAATCGAACCCACGACCCCCGACGCCGAAGCAATGGCTTAGCACCGGCACCACCGAGACGATCGCTCAAAACTAAAGAATACATACGTACTGTACACCAACGCGCAGTGGAAGCAGGACAGGAGGCGATTCAGACCGCGACAAGAAAGAGAAGGCAATATCTCAGCTGCGTACCTTGGCGGGCGAGTGCTTGTAGTGCAGGCTGATCTTGCTGAGCTCGTGATCGAGATGAGCCAAGCGCGAGGCGTGCCCCGCCCCCGCCCCCGCACCGCCAGCCCCGCCCTCTCCGCCCAGCACCTCACCGCCGTCACCCTTCAAATAATTAATTTATCAATATCCTATTGCTCTTAGATTGATGGAGACACATTTCAGTTATGACTCGTTTAAAATTTAAAATGTGCAGAGATTTGAGTTTGAATATTATTATACCCAAGCATCCATCCAGGTGATATTTTTGCACTACGCCCGTTACCCGGTCGTGATAACTCAGTGTCCGGGCGTTCAATTTAATTTGGGAAACTCGACCCGAGTTCAAATCCTGGCTCTGGCGTCAGCGTTGACGGAAAGCATCGTGAGAAAACCCTCCATAATTCGAAGCATAATCACAATTAAAAAAAAACTAAATATTGAGTCCACCAATCCGTGGTGAGATTAGATTTTTGAGGCCTTTGCCCTTTGAAGAAATTGCAGAATCCCAATTACTAAAATCATCTACCACATCTCGAAAGTTCAAGTTACCTTATGAGGTGGCATTGCGTGTATAGTCCGTTGTGTCGGTGACAGCATCGGGCTGTACTCTATGGGAGACTGTGGTGACACCGGACCCTGAAAATAGTTTAAACCAAATATTTACAACATTGACAATGACAAACATTATAACAATCACAACTTCATAGAGCAGTTGAACAAAGAGAATATGGAAAATCATCAATTAAAGGTGTCTTATTGAACAGTACTTCGCAGTGTCAATATGGCATTATCAAACATTCTTTAGAGATCAATATTTTTAAGGGAAAGTTATTTTATGATACATTAATTATCCTATACTTTAACAAATTTTTCGTCAATAGAGGCAAACATAAGCTTTAAAGTGATATCAAAAGCATTTAATTTGATAAATTATGCAACTCGTGTTGTACCGACAAAAAAACACCTTTAAGAAATAACATATAGAGATTATTGCCATTACTTATACTTTATAAAGTACACACTTATAAGAAGTACTCACGCTATTTGATATTGATGAAAGCTTTTGCTGAAGCGATAGCATGTATTCGTATGATTGGGCCTTGTTCGGAGTGCTTGGTTGCGACGAGCCCGTCGAATTAACGTTTGTCATACCTGTAAGAGGTCAAATGTAAGTTTTCGTGCCTCGTGTTAACTCATGCACAGTGATTGATTCGTATGATCTAGATTTCATATGGGCAATGGAAATGATGAACGTAACAGGTGTACAGAATTATAAATGTAAAAAATTGATTTGTAAACTATTTAACTATAAAAAGGGGTTGGTAGTTTGTATTTTGTTTAAAATATATTAATGTAATGTTTTTTACGCATAAACAATAACTAGAATAGATTTTTTATAAATTGGTCTCGGTCGGTGGGCTAACAACAACAAAAACGCCAAAACAATTTTATCTTAAACGCACGCTTTTAAAAAAATAATTATTTAAGAGCTGACTCTTGGTTCGCACACTTTGTTGAATGCTATTTTCGCACGAGACATAACCGTGAAGACGCAAACTTTCGTAAGAAACGGGACTCACAAAAAATCTACACGGCTAAGGCTGATTGGATGCGGACACTTGGCCAAGAAACTATAAATATAAACTCTCTATAAATTCTAAACGTACCACCAGAGCGCAGTCCATGAGTTACGCACATGTCACCGGAATGAATTACTAGCGAGACAAAAAGTTATTTTGAGAGGTCAATACTCCACCCCCGGCGTGGGCGAACTTCATTAACTCAAAGTTAGTTGCGTTTTACACGTGGTAGGGCCACACATGTCTTGAATGTTGCAAGAATGAGCAGGCCAGAGAGACCCCACAGAAGAGACCGGCGTGAATTGAAATTGTCACACTTCTGCGTTTCGTCTGGTGAGTGCGGTACACTTTATTGAGAGGCGGCAACGCATCTGCAACCGCTCGCACATAAAAAGCCGTAGATGGAGCGTGGCTCACCCGAGGAGTCGACTTCGAGGGCGCGCCTCGCCAGGGCGTGGTGCGCGCTGCGCTGCGCCATCTGGCCCGGCCCCACCAGCGCCAGCCCCGCGCCGCCCAGACCAAACTTCTGCCCGCCCACCAGGCCCTGCCCGCCCACGCCCACTCCCACGCCCACGCCCAGGTTCTGCGCCGCCAGACCTACCCACGCGCACGGTTATTATGTATGCACGTCAATATGAACAATAGCGAAGAACTGGGCAGCCCCTTATGTAAAAAAAAGAAAAATTATGTGTGTACGCACATAAGAATTCATACTTCTTTAGCGCACAAACACATTTAAATGCAATTGATAACGGTTTATTGAAATAACTTGGAATTATTGATAACGTTGTTATTGGTTGTCAAGCAAGACCAAGCACAATTTGGCCAAGCATCATGTCGCTTTGTGAGGGCACCGAGCGCGCGCGCATCGTAAACATTTTCCTCGCATGATTTTTTCCAAACGCACCAAAAGAAGTATTACTTCAAGAGCAATTACGGAAGGTACTGCCCATTGTTCCTAAAACTTCCATGATTCTGCCGTTAAGGCTGAGTGTTAAGTACATTTTTTTTAATTAAAACTCTACACCGGCGACGCCTAAATATACTTGAATATATTATAATCATAACTCCTAATATTTAGGCGCCACACACACGAATTTCGGAAGGAAGATTTATATAAATATTTAATCATATTTTTTATACAGAAATATTAATATATACTTTGTATAAATATAGTATAAATAATAAATATAATAAATTTAATATAATCACCTAAGTTCTGTCCAAGGGTCTGCCCCATGAGGTTCTGATTGAGCGCGATGTTCTGGGTGGCGAGGCCGATGTTCTGGTGCTGCAGCAGGGGCGCGGCGAGGCCGGCCTGCAGCGGCCCCAGGCCCAGGCCGAAGCCCGGGCCCATCGGCTGCCCGCCCAGCTGGCACATGGAGTTTTGCAACGCCTGCTGTTGAGCTAAGGAAATCGATCAATCGGGTTAGAAAGCTATCGCTGATTTCATTGCCGCAAAATCATTGGTACCAATTTATAAAATTAATTTCGTCCTAAATTGTTATTAATAAAGACAAAGACATTTTTATTATTACAATACGTATTCGCTTGAAGGTTAAATTAAATATAACGGTATGTCCTAATTGTAAGCTTTTAAGTTTTATATTTCCTTTTTCAATAAATACTAGGTGAAAAGAAACACAAAATATACATTTTCATAAATGAAATGTTAAGTTGGAAAAAATTGTTCCATATTATTATGTTAAAAACAAGGCCAATGGCAGGATTTTTAATCTACATTGCGGTTGGTGTCTCAAAATAGCTCCATGCATTTTAAACGTCTATTGCTAATGCAGACAATGCAGATTTGTTACCAAACTTCTCGAGTGTGACGTTGTACTCGATTAATTGGGGAAAACTTATTTCTTATATAACTAAATAAGTTGTGTGGTATACATTATGTTAAAGTTGTGATATAGTTGGAAGCGGTATCGATGCAGTTAACGTAACTGCAATGTTGCAGCTAGCCTGCAGTGTGATTGCAGAATGTGATCGAGTGCCTCTACGGTCGCGACAATGAATGGCGTTGGATGCGTTTTACCTATGAAGTCGTTGGCGGAGGCCAGCATGGGCGTGTAGTAGCGCTGCGGGCCCGGCGTCGGCAGGCGCGCCATGCACGCTGCACACGCACACGCACGCAAATCATTCACATGCACGCACGCACGCACGTATCGGAGCGGATACGCACGCACGTACGCACGTACGCACGCACGCACGTACGAACGTACACAGATGTGCGCACGCACGTATGCATACGTATGACAAGCGGTATACAGCTAGCGGAATAGACATTTTAAAAAGTTTGCTTGTCATATCGGTTATGAGTAGACATCATTAAAAGCAGACTACTTAGCCTTATCCTATTGGATTTAAAAAAAAAGTTCACAATGAAGTCCGCTATTATTACACATTTAAGCTTTGCATTATAATTTGGATTGCGGTATTAAAATGTCCATTCTGTATTAATTTACAATTATATTTTTAATTAATAGTAAAAAGGCCTATGTTTTGAGGTTATAGTATATGTTACATATATTTGTACGTTTACATTTAATAAGTATTTATAGTAAATGTGTTAAATATTAATTATAATTAACTGTAAATTTGCACTGCATTCAATACAAGTAATAATCATGCAAGACGGTAAAAATTATTTAAATACCCGGTGAAACCATACAAATTGTATTTAAATCATTTTTAACATTGTATTTAATATAAATTGTGCAATGCATTGTGTTATACACATGTTTCAATAAATAAATAAGAACTATTAAGTTAGAAATTAGCGTGTTACTCGATTTGATAATACGATGGTGATTACGCAAAGAAACAGGATAATGAGACAAGAATATAACAGCGTAAGAATGCAATCGATTGAAATACCTGGCTGGGCGTTGGCCAACAGATTGTTGTGTAGTGCAAGGTCGGGCTGTGGGTACTGCGGCTGGTTAAGGAGGCCAAGTAGGTTGGGGCCCGTGAGGTTCTGCTGTTGACTGAAAACGGAAACATACTTGGAAATCGAAATTTAACGCCGTTTGACGATTTATAGTCAGAGTCGAAGATAATATATACATTGTAGTGTAGGACAACCCCCACTAGATGGAGTGACTACCTGTGCAAGTGAAAAGTCGATGGATGCAGGTGGTCCAGGTTCCTGCTTCGTGGTGGGGGAGGCCTACGTTCAGCACTGGACTCAATCAGACCGAAATGATGATGACGATATATGCATTTATCTCAATGAAAAATCAAAACAAATGGCACACTCACTTCATGATGTTCTGTTTCAACAGCATCCTTTGTATGTTCTCGGCGTTGGGCAGCGTGTCGGCGAAGGCGGGCGCGAGAGTGGGCTGAGCGAAGGGCAGCCGCGAGAGGCCCATCGGGTCCGCTAGGGTCGCGCCCATCGTGCCCATCGCGCCTAATCCCACGCCCAGGCCCAGCTCGGCACTCATCCCCATCGGGGTGCCCACCTGGCTCAGCCCCAGCAGCGGGGTGTCGGTCGCAATCTGCAGGGGCGTGCTGAGATTCGACAGGTTCGCCTGCAGTAGGTTGGGGTTGATCATGGCGCTCTGGAACGGCAGCGCTTGGGGGATCGTCGACTGTATGTTGGTGGCGACGGGTGCGGCGACGGTAGCGGTGATGGGGGCGGCGACGGGCGCGGTGATGGGGGCGGCGACGGGCGCGGTGATGGGGGCAGCGACGGGGGCGGTTATGGGGGCGGCGACGGGGGCCACGGTGCTCTGCGGCACGGAGGCCGCGACGGGCACCTCGGGCTTGGGCTTGGGCTCGGGCGCCGAATACTGGTGAGTAGGAACATAGCTCTCTTGCGGAATGGCTGGAGGCGCGGGCTCCGGCAGCCCGTTGAGCGTCGCCTCCCGGCGGGGCTCCCTGGCCACCTCGGAGTAGAGCTTGGGCTCGGGCCTCTCCGGCTCCGGCGCCGCCTTCTCCTCGGCCGCCTCCTCGCCGCGGTCCACCACGGGACTGACTAGAAACCTCGATATCTTACGAGCGGGCTTTTGCGACTTTCTGTCGCCGTTCTGAGACTCTGCGCTCCCCGAGCGGTCCGGCGCCATCGACCCGCCGTCCGACTGATTGGAACCTGCCACAGGAATCGAACAGATAAATAAACAACAAAAATTATGCGTAGTTTATAACATGTTTAAAATGCGGTCAAATCAAACAGTTTCAATTAAGTCAATAATAAAAGAGAAATACTATTTAAGATTACTCCTCACATTTTAGAATCGAGGGGCAAAAGAGTTTAATATTTTCGTCTAGGTGACAATATGTAGATCAAAGTTGTAACAAATGTATTCACCTATGGAAGAAGCGGTGCTGATCTTCCTAGACGAGATGTCAGCGGGAACTTGGGCGGGGACGGCGGGTGCGGGGGCGGGGGCGGGGCGGGGGCGGGGGCCGGCGTGGGAGTGGGAGTGGGCGTGGGCGCCGGCTCGACGGGCGTGGGCGTGGGCGCGGACGGCAGCTCGTCGTCGGCCAGCTCGGCGAGCGCGATGCTGTCCTGGCTGGCGGTGGGTGTCGTGCACTCGGAGTTGTCCTGGTTCGAATCGGTCAGATTCTCCTCGCGCTCCGTCGTCTCCGAGTCGTAGTCAGTCTGTGTAAAAATAAGTATAGTTAGTTAAAGTTCAAATAGTTAAAGTCTGCTCCACACAAATTCCTATTTTGATCAATGCATACTGACACCCGGTTTATGAAACACAAATCATTGTAGAAGTTACCTAAGCTGTGAAATGGCTTTTCAAATGTCATTTCAGTTGCCAAAAGGATGTTTAAACTCTTTGAATTGATAATTCAGAGAGTTTAACCATACTTTTGGCAACTTAAATAAAATTTGAGAATCCATTTTAAGTCTTTCAATTAAGAATAACGATCACACCAGGCGTGATGGAGGGGGTCATCAAGCGTACTGGATTTTTTTTATCTATGAGAGGGGGAGGGGGGTTAAACCCAGGATGGATAACGAAGGTTTGAATGGCGAGTGCGCGGCGAGCAAGTGACCTTGTCGATGTTGAGGCGCAGCGCGGCGTGGTGGGCGGGGCTCAGCACGGGCGTGGAGGCGGGGTCGCTGAGCAGCTGCTGCACGATGTCGCGGATCAGCTCCGTGAACGTCAGGCTCTGCCACTCGGGCAACAGGTTGTTGGACACCTGGAAGCGAACAATTCGCAACGCCTTAAGAAATTGCTCATTGCAAAACTCCGGTACCATACTCCGTTTTAGTTTGCATCGGGATCGATTACAGAAGCACACAGCTGTACAACGTCGTAAGGTCAAATATCGTCTGAATGTATATTATGTGTGTATAACAAAAAACAGTTAAACAAAACATCTTCCGATTTTAACAACACGGACAGCTTCAAAATTACGTTCCTAAAAACTCAAATAAAGAAGAAAATAAATGTTGATTCCGATAAAGAGGTGTTACACAGCTGAACTACTGGGATGCCGCGCCGACAAGAGCTTTGCTCTTAAATTAAAGAAGGAAACGCACCAGATTACTAGCGATCTCCTCCGGGTTCACGTCGGTGACGTCAAACTTAAAGGTGACCGTTTTGGACTTGGACTCGAGCTGGCACTCGACCACCGTGGCCGCCTCGTTCACCTCCAGAACCGTCAGCTTGGGCAGCTTGTCCTTCTCGCGGGAACGTTTCTTGGAACCGCGAGATTTCTTCTCGCTGGTAATGGGCGATGGGACTGCTGTACCGGTGCCGGCTGTGAAGAAAACGATAGCAGGTATTACAAGCAAACAGGCGATATTTAACAAATTCACCGAGTTTTACTACTCAAAGGTCATTAAAATAAACAAATAGCAGTGTTTTGTATTCATTAAAGAGATATATTGCTAAGAACACAAATAAAAACGTTTTTCCCCAAAGTTCGCATATTTATCTCTATTTCAAATTGATTTCCAAAGCACACATCTGACACTGGCACTTTTCCTCAGTACATAGACTCAGAAACAAAAACTATACCATGTAAATTATACCCTATCATCATCATCATTTCAGCCTGTTTGAGTCCACTGCTGAACATAGGCCCCCCCCATAGACTGCCACGAAGTACGATCCTGAGCCACCTGCATCCATCGACGACGACAACCTGACAACCTGTGCAAATTATACCCTATATCGACCGTAAAATCGTCGTTAATAAAGAGATGCTCAACTAACCTTCCTGCTGAGATTCTCCTTGCTTCTCATCCACAGAGGACAAGTCTGGCGGCTTGATCGCTTCTGTGTGAGTCGAGCCCGACGGGAATTCAGTCATCGGAGTTAGAAACTGCTCCTTCTGACCGCCGTTGCCGTGATGGCCGTTCTCCGATTGGTCTGAGGATATGCTCAACTGCTGCGGTATGGACTCTTGCGTTTGCGTTGCGGGCTGGACAGAAGGTTGCGTTGCGGGCTGAACAGAAGGTTGCGAAGCTGTCTGGACCACGGGCTGTGCTGCCGGTTGAACTGTAGATTGGACCGGAGGTTGGAGAGACTGCACTGCGGGTTGGGCAGTAGACTGGATGGAAGGCTGGATGGAAGCCTGAGACTGGTTCTGGACAGGGGGCTGGATCGAAGATTGGCTCGAGGGTTGCATTGGCGGCTGAACGGGCATCTGCGCGACAGACTCTTGCGCCGATGGTGCATTTTGTGATATGGACGTAGCGACTGACGAAGGTATCGTATCCATGGTTTGATAAGGAGCGCTTTGCAACGACTGCACTGGCTGACTTTGGTGCTGGTACATCTGCAGAGGATTGACAGAGTAATTCTGCACCGGGGTGCCTTCATGACTAGAGATCTGCCTCTCACTCTGCTGGACCGCACTGAAGTTCTGTGCCATCATATTGTGAGGAAGTGATTGGCCTTGGAGTGGGTGCATTTGTGAGTGTGCGTAGTGCTCCTCCATTTTCTGTAGTTGTTGCATTTGCATGTCAACGTACTGGTTTTGGTACTGCTGCATTTGATCGATTGACATTTGGGGTTGCAGTGCGGCCTTCTGTTGCTGATACTGCTCGGGCACTAAAGTTTGTTGCTGGTCGTGGGAATCGGCCGTGCTTATTTGACTCTGCTCGGAGCCTTGGCGTTGGTATACCGGGCGCTGCGATCTCAGCATCTCTTCCACTTTCTGCTGCTGCTGGCCCATCAGCTGTTGCTTCTGCGCTAACAGCGCCAAATTCTGCTGATCGATTATATTTTGCTGTGTCTGTATTTGCCGCTCCTGCTGCGCTAGGTACTGCTGCTGCTGGAAGATCGTGTTCCTGAAATGTTGCGGGGACAGGGTTTGCCCGGGCAGGTGCAGCTGTTGTTGCGTCAGCATCTGCTGCTGGAACACCAACTGCTGCTGTGCCAGCATTTGCTTTTGCATGTTCAACTGCTGCTGTGCTTGCACCATTTGCTGCTGCGCCTGCGCCACCTGTTGCTGCTGCGCTAGAATGGCGGGGTCGACTGCGGCAGATAAAATATTGGGCTGCATGAACGGCTGCTGACTCTGTTGGTAACCTATATTCTGACTAGCTTGCTGTTGCATCTGAGATCCAAGTAGGTTGTTCATCTTCTGCTGCAGGGACTCTTGCTCTTGCTGAGGAGGCGGTATCGGGACATCGACGCTCTCCGTTGTCGGCTGCTGGCTAATGGCTGGAGTCTGCTGCGACTGCTGCGGCTGCTGGACCACTTGCTGCTGCTCTGATTCAGATTCCTTCCTCGCCTGCAGCGTGTCGGGCCTCTGGATGATCTGCGCGAGGATGTTCTGCAGATTCTGCAGGGACGGATCGAGAACTTGAGAGGTGACGAGATTCGGCTGCGGCCCGGCTATGATATTCTCCTGCGCTGTAAGCTGCTCCTCCAACTGTTTCTGCTGGATGACAGCCGCTTGGTGCCTCATTATGTTCTGTTGCTGCTGTATTATGTGCTGCTGCAACGCCTGGTTCTGATTACTGATCTCGTTCAGGCCGAACTGTGTGTTGAGGAGGTTCGTCTGTTGTTGTGACGAGACCGGTTCAAGCTGCGCCTGTTGCTCCATCAGCTGACCCTGCACGTTTTGCTCCAACATCTGTTGATTGAGGAGATTGTGTTCCATAATGACCTGTTGCTGTTTTATGTTCTGTTCGAGGGAGCTGAGCGAGGGCGATATCCTGGCTTGCATGAGATTATGTTGTAGGATCTTCATTGCAGTTTCCTCGTTGCTTATTTGTTGATACTGTTGTTGCAGTAATTGTTGATGCTGGAGGAACTGTGATTGTTGGTCTAGCCTGCAAAAGTAGAGATTAATTAATTAAAATTATGTAACTCACAGAGTTTTAAAAGTTAAACTCTAGAGACTTACTGAACGGCTGCTAAAGCTGGCTGAGATCCTACACCATTTAGAAGGCCGGCATTCATTTGGTCCACAGGGCCGGCTTGTTGTTGGTTTTGAAACATCTTCACCTGAAGCCAAAATATATAATAGTATTTACCATATTTCATTTTCAACCACATGCATGAACGGATAATACACATTTTTGCTTTACTTTCGTTATGTTGTAATCAAAATCCGACAAGTCTTACAAAAGGCAATATCGTAGTCGTTCTATTGTCATCATTGCTAAACATATCCTAAATTCTGGAGGTGTGTTAGGATTAAATGAGAATTCCAATCAATTGAACTCCGTCGGTTGTTATCCATAAGGCGTTACGAGGACGCCTAGATCACCTTTACTAAGATTAAACTGCATCAAGAGAGAGACACCTCGGTGCCCATATATGCTGGAGCAAACGTGACCACGGCGGCCTAGTGTTCATGATGGGTTAACGGCCAATCAGCACCATCAATATGATCACCCATTGCCTCAAGTTCGTTTTGAGTCATCTTCTACCGCAAGCATATTGCAAGCCTGTTCTAGAATCAACTGCTGCTCATAACCAACCTGCTCTAGAAGCAACTGCTGCTCATAACGAACCTGTTCTAGAAGCAACTGCTGCTGCCGGTTCTGCTCGTTGATCAGCTCCTGGTTGAACAGCATCTGCGCCTTCTTCTCGCTCCTCTCCCTGTCGAAAGAGCAGCGGTGTTAGCCATTAAGCAGAATCTCTTTCGAAACACCTCGCATAAATTACTTATCACAAAAGCCACTTTGGAAATGCTTAGGAAATGATATGCTTATTTAAAAAAAAAACTAATAATAATTAAAACTTCTTTTGTTTTCAACTTGTAATGAGCCACGGTAATCTGATGCAATCTGAGAATATGATAAACAGTGCAACCTCTCATAGTCAATGCAATCAAACAGAAAAGCGAAAGTACATACTAGCCACTAAAACATTTTCACACTGATCTCATAATGTAAATTATGGGTAAAAATTTGAAAACCCTCCCAGCATAAGTATTTTTCATCTATACCGTCACGCATTTACGAAATAAAAATGAATGCAACAAAATCCGTTTTCGTATTACGATCGTTCGAAATTATATAAGTATCTGCGATAAAAAAAAATAACGATGCACCGACCACAGCGGAGGGAAATCGCGATTTACGAAGCACCCAATTAATTTTTAACGATTTCAACTCACTGCACGGGCTAGTCACGCGGTCCGGATAACTGTCTTAGGGCATGTACCGTGTTAACCGTCGTGTTAGAGTAACCATGGCAACGTGCGAACTGAAAATAACTTTCAGCCGCTTTGTTAGTGCGACGTACCTATTACTGAGTATACCTGAAGCTATAGAATGCAAGAGATTCGTTTAATCAGTAATTAACTAGTAGAAAAATACGCTCACAAACAACCGTGTAGGCAAGCACTAAAATAGTTTTAACACAAATAAAACAACCGGACAAGCGCCGGACAACTTAAGAAATTAAAAGAAAAAAATTGAATGTTTTATGTTTAAAACCGAAACAAATTAATCCTATTATAAATTTCTCAACGCTGAAACAATGAACTCGCAACTTTAAGAACGCAAAGGAAAATGTAATTATATTGCACAGAAGGGGACGAAGTGGTAAATATACAGTATATTTCCTTACGGGGCTCCACAGTCAATAAGCAGACTTCACGATAAATATTTCCTACATATCAATCTCTCAGAAGTGTTATCTCACTCCGGCGCAGTTCGAAAAAATCGCGATATGAGACTACAAGAAATTAAAAACCGGCCAAGCGCAAGTCAGAGTCGCGCAGAAGGGTTCCGTACTATTATAAAAACCCGAAAAAATATCATATCTGATGTTATAGCGGCAACAGAAATACATCATCTGTGAAAATTTCAACTGTTTAACTATGACGTTTCATGAGATTAAGCCTGTAACGTGTGATTTCATCACTTTTAAATATTTTTTATTCTGTTTTTTGTTTGTTATTTGTTGTTATAGCGGCAACAGAAATACATCATCTGTGAAAATTTCAACTGTTTAACTATGACGTTTCATGAGATTAAGCCTTGTGGCAGACAGACAGACAGCGGAGTCTTAGTAAAAGGGTCCCGTTTTACCCTTTGAGTACGGAACCCCTAAATCAGGTCCACGGTCCATGGAGCGACTCTTGAAACTAAGAAATCACCATGACAATAGCGTCCTAATCCCATGCGTGAGTTCGACGACCTCGTCCATCCGATATACTGGACATAAACCTGACCTAGCGCAAGCGGGGGGCGGATTACGTCGACCGACCCCTTTGGCACGCATGCCAATTGGGGCGTGCACTATAACGGCGGAGCTAATATACGCGCACCGAACGATTAGCCGACCGCTGCTCATACAGAGTGAATTGTAAGAGAAAAACGAAACCTTAATACAAGTTCATCTCATATTTACAGTTTCTTAAATTCAAGTCATGTGACTAGAAGAGTGATGTGTATGAATGTGGTTGGAAGGTGTAAAGCTAGGGGAAGACCGGGAAAGATTTGGATGGATTGTTTGAAGAATACGCCGGTGAAAGGGGTGAGTATTGAGGTGACGTTTGATAGAAGACGGTGGAAGGGGAGGACATCTTGTACCAACCCCATCTCGAATGGAATAAGTGCGGTAGAACGAACGAGTTTCTAAAAATCAAAAGTCACAAACGACATGAGGTACGATATTGCGTGGTTTAGAGATTTAACGCAGACGCAAAAATCTTCACCTTAAAAACGCCCAGAAGGGGTAAAATTCTCTGTAGATCATAAAAGAACCGGCGGCCACGTCGTAGAACAAACTATCGGTTGGCGATGCGATTGCTAACTAGAGTATTACAAACTTACAGTTGCTAGAGAGATACATAAGCACCGACGAAGGCTCTATCTTCACAGAATTGACACAAATGGTTTGAATTTAAAAAAAAAACAGTCAACAATCAACTTGCGACGTTCGATAAATACACGATCTCATTCCACGTATAGTGGTCTAGGCAACATTAGCATATTACGTGCCAATGATTGAAATGCGCGTCATCGGAGCCGTCGATCTCCATCTGAATTCATTGGATTGGATAGCGGCCAGGCGAAAAATTCCAACGGGTCCGAGAAATAATACTAATGGGCAACACAACTTCAAATTCATACAGGATTTCAAATCATTAAAACTTTCGTGAGATTTACGGAATATTGAAAACACATACAAACGGTTCACCTCACATTTAGTGATTGCCATCACTCATCGACAACACGTGAGGGCCTGCAGACGGATTGACAACATTTCAAAAAGTTACCACACTCACCAGACGAAACGCGACAGTACAATACTTCCACTTCACGCTGGTCTTCTGTGAGACCTTTACTTCCCCGGACAAAGCTGCCCATTCCAGCAGAAGCGATTGCGTGGCCCTACCACAACAACACACACAGAGATGGTGGTAGGGCCACGCAGCAGCCTCGGCTGTTGCACGAAAGGGCACGCTCGTCCGGGTAAGTACTACGACCTCACAGAAGACCGGCGTAAGGTGGAAGCCTAATACTTTCGCGTTTCGTCTCGTGAGAGAGGTAGCCGGAGCCCAATTTCCAAAAAGGTTGTCCACGCATCTAACCCTCGGGTGTAGCAGATGTCCATGGGCGGCGGCATTCACTTAACATCAGGTGAACCATCTGCTCGTTTGGCAACATATCACATAAAAAAAGACAAGGTTAAAGGCAAGAAGCGTGGGCTATATCAGGACGTAACCATTAAAACGCCCGTAAGCCTTGTGTTATTGACTTGTCTCGATAAATGTTTAAATCAAACCTACTACGATTTATGTTAATCTGAAGAAATACTAGTATCGTTTGTACCACTGGTGAAATTTCTAAAATATTAGACCTCATTTGTGTAAAGCAGTACCATTAAAATTTTACGAGTGAAATCGAAAATGGAGTCCATTAGCAACAGCGTATTTAATATAGTAATGTGATGATCGTGAGGATTTGTAACATTTTACGAAAACGGTTATTCTGTATAATAAAAAATAAATAAATATATTGAATGAAGAATACCGGCTTCATCACAATGTTTATAAATTACGATACAATGGTAATAACGATTTACAACGATATAAGATTACAATAAAATGGAAAGTTCGGCATAACTTTTTTTCTGCAAAATTTTTTCTTGATTATTTCTTCATAACCTACTCAACATAGTAACTTATATGTATACTAACTAAAATAAAATACAAGACAGATTAGTGCATGTACTCTATCACATTTTTCAATCTGCACAATTCACATTGCTCCCAAAAAGGTTAGGCGACGTTTAGTTATGAAGCTTTTCTCCATTATACGGGATACACAAAAAAAATTATCAAACGATGTAAAAGCCGAGAGTATGCCGAAAATGACGATTCGATTAAACAAAATTCATATCATACGTCAACATAGAGAAATGTCTTTATCATCCCAGGCATCAAAACTTTGTTTCGAGTAGATACGAATTCTCAATAATGTCAAAAATAGAAACTCGATTAGGAAACCAGACGCATAAACTACATTCCCATCCGCCTAAATACATCAAAAAATATTCAAATATACAACGAGAAACTCTTGGCTCCGCCAAACGAAGCTAGTCACGCGACTCCGCTCGACTCAGTGACAGTCAGTGCAAGCTGTCATTTCGACGAAATGACAGAAGACAATAAATATTCACGCGAACTACAAACGATTTTTCCCGATTAGAAATGGCACGAGTCTGTGTTTTCTTCAATGCTATATTTTATCTGACGGATTTAGAGAATAGTATTTGGTAGACGAATATTTATTTTAAAAAATAGTTGATTTAACATCAAAAATCTGTCAAAGTACTAAGGTCCTATTTGCTATATAATAGTTACTAAACCAAATAAACAACAAAAACCGATGGTAGTTAACATTTAAGCGAGAAAAAAACAGTCCTTGACTTCACGATGTAAAGATTAAATCTAAGTGAGGTCGTATCCAATTTGCTTACGCCTCGGCAGGTTTCTTTTTAAAGACGAAGACAAAGTTTAATTTTTTTTAAATAAAACTAATTTACGGTATAAAATCCATAAAATAATTTCACTTAAAAATGTATAATATTCGCTTAAAAACAATAAATCAATAAGTTTAATTATATCAACACCGTAGAGCCATCGGTAAATATTTTTTTATTTGTAGGACTTCTTGTCATTCTTACCTTTCGAAATTGAACCTCAAGCCTATATTCTACTTAATACGATGTTGGCAGAGTCCAATTTGGTAGATGAGTCATTCCTACTTCATCGATATTCACACTTGGATCACAGAACTTGTACACAATACGAACAACTTACACATTACGATCGACCGAAAACTACACGGGACCATTTCTGAACGCTAGTATTTTAACGCAGAGTATAGTCTTGTTGGGTGCACGGGTAAATGTGGCGCCGAGACGTTTAATAGCGTGCAATGATGCATCGAAACGAGCAATACGATATCATGCGGATAGTCGGAAAGCAAAATAGCGGCTCATTTTCATTGCCCACGTCATTTATTATAATCGCGAATATAATCGCAAAAGAATATCAGTAACTTGTAAATTTATTTTAGATAGTGATGCATCAATTATCCAAAATCAACATTGAGACAGTGTTTGTATAGTATTGCGTTATTTGGTAAGTTTTCCAAATAAAAATTACATCTTTATAATATTACCAGCTAATTTCACCTAACTGTTATTATACTAACGTGTATTTATAGGATCGCTTTAATTTGTCGAGATAACACAAAATCTGTCACTTATGATAAAAACATTATAAAGAAACAAATATCATTCATTAGTTTTCGTCCTAGTTAAGGAACAAAATTTCTTTTTAGAGTCCTTGTTCAATTGAATCACGTTATACATGATGTATAATATTTTACCGTTAGTAAAACAAACATTTATTGTTGTTTTGGTACGTTTTTCTCATTTCCAATGAATTTGATGGAAATCATTGTATGGAAATCCACATAATTACGTGAGAAATATAGCAATGATATTTCAAACGATATAATGAGCATTTCAAATGCAGTCACGAGTGCAATATTGGTTATACTCCAGTACAGGGGCGCTAACACAAAACGTTTGCTTCGTCTTCATAATACAAACTGACTCGAAAGTTATTTAAAACGGGACCCTATTACTAAAACTCCGCTGTCTGTCTGTCTATCTGTCACCGGGCTGTACATGCACCTTGATAATTAGGCCGGTGAAATTTTCACAGATGATGTATTTCTATTGCCGCAATAACAACAAATACTAAAAAAACACAATAAAAATATTTAAGTAATATTTAAGGCATATAATAATTTCATATAATATTTAAGTAATATACGCAACATGATCTTAAAACACGATTTGAAACTAGAGGGATGGATTCCTTAATTATGTGGTAGAAAAATGACATATAACACATTCTACGACGTTAATATCTACGTTTTACATACATACAAAATAGTCATATGCATAAATCCTGTTCTGAATGATTCATCATTATAAATACAAAACCTCTAAAGCTGAATAATGATTAGTATTATGACGTAAGAGGTTGATGGTGTAAAACTGTTGTATTAATTTATAAGAAATCGTAGATATGTAATTAGATTATTTATTAAATCTTTCAAATATTTCAATTTAATCCCCTTCCAAATGCACTGTTAATCGTTTAAGTTCCAGCTTATTAACTTAATCTTCGCACTTAAATGCTCTGTAAAAACTAAGTTAACTAAGTTAGTTAATTAACGTTCAAGTGTCCAGCATTTTTTAGTATTAAATTAATATAATTGGAGGATACGTTCGACGAAAGTACAACAAAGCATGTTGTTTAATTATATATCATTTAAACAAGCTATATACTGAAAATGAAATTTTAAAATGTTCACTATACGCTGTTAGAAAACCATGAACTGAAGTCTCAAAACCACATCGTTAAATACAAATAATTTCAAGTTTGTTTAGCCAACATTATATGTAAAACTATTTGATGATGCAAGTCAAGGAAATGCTTTCAATACTAATCGCATAATTCCATCAAACAATTCGTAATCTTCAAAGAAATGGGTTCATTGCCGTCACACAAATTTCAAGTCGCACAAATGCGTAAATACCATGTTACATAATATACCGATGACTTTGTATAATAAACAACTTACCAAAGTAATTTCAAGAATACGATTGGTGATAGAATCCTAATCTTTTTGCGTTTACAAATTCGCTGAACATTGAAATTTTCCACATCACGCACATTAGATATTGAAAACTTTTGGATAAACGATAAAATATCATTCGAATGTATCGCTTAAGACATTATGCAAACATCACAAAACTCGTAAGATCTAACACAAAGCCTCCTTGTGCATAGCATATTGCAACTAATCCACTACTGTCATACTCATTATCAACGCATTGGAGTGTGCGGGGACGAGATATATCGACTGTATTACGAAGTACGTTTTAATTATGATAACGTAGTTGTGCGAAATTTTTTCCCGTAATCATAACCATGAATTTGATCAGCGAAAAGTATCTTATTTTGTAGAATAACGATAAAATCCGGTCTACTTCGCTATCTTTCGTTCAAACAAAATGTCAATAGATGTAATTATAATACAGTACCTGGAGGACCGGTTTTTTTTTTTGGTAAATCATGTATTTTGGCAATAAAAAAATTCAAAAATAAAGAAAATGATCTGGTATATAAAAAAGTAAAAAAAAGTGTGTAAATGACCGAGCTATTATAACATTTTTTTCGGCGAAATTTACTGTCATATTCGGACATTTTTCATTCCCTGAAAACAGGGATAAAAGGACATTTTCTAAAAATGAAACCTAGCTAGATCAATTTTTCGCCCCCGAATCTACGCACATACTAAATTTCATGAAAATCGCTGGAGCCGTTTTCGAGATTCCGATTATATATATATATATATATATATACTAGGATAAGTTTCTTTATTCAGTATTTATAATTGTTCCGGATCTAAGTTTACGAGTTTAATAATTTACACCGTATTCATTAATTCTTCATCGTAACATTTACATCGAAAATAAACCGATAATTTTTATAGCCGTTTCAAGAACAAACTCATTATATATTAAGTAACTTTGATTATCGATGTTCGATATTTTAATATCGTTGCATCACTAAGCTCTCAATCGTACGCTCGCGACGTACTACTCATATGTTATATAGGCGCCCGAATAATCTAAAGGTCGCATAGTGGACGTTAATTGGCAGCGTTTAAACATCCGGAGAGATAATCTATTATCTATAAACATGTATGTTCGCGATTGTCTAATGAACGTAGGCGTAGACAAATTAACAGATACTAGGATAATTGGATATCTGTTAAAAAGTGTTTATAATTATTTTTAGATTTTTCGACTTTAAAACGTTATCTGTGTGCAGAAAATAGACAAAGTCAAACTCTTATGCCTTTCATAATAAAATTACCCGTAAATAAAAGGGTCTTAAATAAAGAAATATCTGATGGACTCCCTCATTCGGTGTTACTTTATCGAAACGCGCCCATACATTATCTCCTAATTATAGGCATAAAGAAAGGATTCACAACCCGATATTTCGACTAGATTTATACTTTCTTCAAACGTGGAAGCTGCGAGATTCTCTCACGTACATAGGAATCCCACTACACTAAGAAGGGCCTATTGGAATGTCAAAAGTGAAACACTTCAGATTTCTGTCCTTATTTGAGACCCCATGACTTGTGGTTCATGGCTCATAACACCTTACTGCCCAAACACAGCGGTACAAATCACAAGGGCGTAGGAACACCCAACCCAATGCTGGATGTTCTGTTAGTTCTGCATGAACCATCTCAGAAATTGGCTGACTGGCCACGACTGAGCCACGAGTCAATTGTCTTAATTGTCCCTTGTGCCGGTGCGCGAATGGGGAAGCTGTTACGGGGAAGTACCACAAGGGCCAACAGGTGCATTGCACGTGTCCACTAGAGGCGGTATTCAAGAGGTAAACCTCTTACTAAAGAGACTTACTAATCATGAATTTTTAAATTACAGATATCAGTATTAGTAATATTTCCGTATTAGTTTTAATCGACTTATCTCTATTGTAAACTCTGCGGGTCTCGAGAGGGTTTCAGATTTACAGTGCTACGTTACTGCTTTTCCTATGAAATACAAGAACATTTTTACAAACAACAAACAAAAACGACTTCAAATATCTCACTCACTAAACATTTTCTCATTCGATTAAAATTTGTAGAAAAAAGTAAGAAAAGTATCTCGCCGCTGTGGGAACCGAACAAATCGAATGGAAAATCACGTCTTCGGGATTTTCCATTTGATTTTATCTCCCGAGTCCAAGGTGAAATAGCAATTAAATAATCATGGGACTAAATGGGTGCAAGCGCGAAAAATATTTTTTAAAACAGTTCCGCAAATGACCGAGTTGCGAGGTCGTCGTCACGTCAAAACATCCCCCTATTTTGAAGTCGGCCAGAGTGTCACATCGGCGCGTGCCCACTTGCCTGTTGAGCGAGATGAGCTGCGACTTGAGCAGCTTGAACACTATCCTAGCGTCCTCCTCCATGATGAGGCCCGCCTTGGCCATGTCGTTGGCCACCTCCTCGCAGTCGTCCCGCTCCACGTCGAACTCGAACTGGATCGCTTCGTTCTCCTTGTGCGTGTACGACCTGAGGGGAATGTTACACCTTTACAAGAGAGCGGAATTTAACATAATTACAAGAGACATTTTCACAATAAAAGCAGCATGTACATGTCCCACTGCTGGGCAAAGGTACAGAGGGTGTCAGGGCATAGTCCACCACTAACCGCTGAGCACGTGATAATTCAGCACTTAAAATTATCAATTTCATTAGTGCCGGCACGGGGATGTAAACTCCGGTTGCTCGAGTATGATTAATTAAAAGCGAACGCCTGGATATTGACACACAAATAAAATTTTATTTATCTTCTTGATTTCACATTTACTCTGAGACGTAAAAAATGCCCACCCGTCAACTTAGGACCGGACACATTACCGCAATCAACCTGCGTTAAGTACCTTGGTTTTCACCTGGATCGTAGAATGACATGGAAGGATCATATAAAAACGAAGCGCAATGAAATGAATCTAAGATTTAAAAACCTACTCTGGCTCCTCGTTTAGACAGTCTGCCTTATCCCTATCCAATAAGTTAAGGATATATTCCTCAATAATAAAACCAATCTGGACATATGGAATCCAGCTGTGGTCGACAGCCAGCAAATCCAACATTATGTGCATCCAGAGAGCTCAAAACAATATCTTGAGGGTGACTTCATCGGCGCCCTGGTATGCTCGCAATTCGGAAATCCATGAGTACCTAGAAATTCCAGAAGTCTTGGACGAAGTGAAACGATAGTCAGCCAACTACACAAGGACCGTTTGACAACTCATCCAAACTCATTATCCAGTATGCTCCTGCAGCTAAATCCGATTAGAAGACTCAAGAGGGCTGATGTGCTGCCTTACTAACGGGAGATGGAGCAATGGCTCCACCTCGCCAAACTCCAACCTCTTACAACTTACCTGATTATAGTTTAGATGACTGCTTGCAGGTTGAATAGGAGAAAAAAAATCTTCTTGATTTAGAGAAATTTCGCTTCCAAATTGGTATAAGCAGAGTTCATCTTGCTCTTAATTGAACCATAAGATTTAGTGTACCATAGACCCTAATACATTTCAATTTGTTTAAATTACTAAATTTAAATTTAAAATAGCAACCATGTCAATAAATTTCGTCGTCGTTGAGGACAAAAAAAAGTATTTTGTTGTTCATATCATAGATTTATTTAGTTTGCAAATAGATATGGGACATGGCCCGGCAGTTTGTGCAGAACTTCCGGCTACTAATTTCTGATTCCGGTTATGGCAAATAGTTATAATTGATGCCCCTAGCCTAGATCTACTGTAAAAATTTTCCATCACAATACAAAAAAGAAACTGCCACATAATTCTCAAAAAAGTTATCAATAAAATTGTCACGATAGTACTACACAACTCCGGATAAAAAGGTGCGCAAGACCATTGAAAAGAATGGGATAAGGATATTATAATAACACAAAAAGCTACTGCTGTGTTATAGAAGAAGAAGCTGAAGTTCATTGGTGAACACCAGAATTGAAGCAGTTGTTGTAACATATACATTATTATTGTAACATATAAAAAAACACATATTTAATGACCATTCAATTATAAAATATGTCGTATCAATCGAAGCCTATTTGCATTACTCTTTAACAACAATACCCTCTATGTAAGATAATTTAAAAGTGGTATAGAGACATTTTAAAACTAACAAATTGTACAGGGACAAACATCGAGATCCTGAGAAAAATAAACATATGTCATATACTTCTTATCATCCGGACGAGAATCGAACCCACGGTCCATGGCGCGGAAAAGTATCGCTTAGCCACAGCGCCAACCGAACCGTAACGGCATGGGTATTGTCTCTGGCACCTTGGGTAGACAATTTACCGACCGTTTCTTGGGATCGATGATCTTGAGCCGGAACTGGATCTTGGTGATGTCCGAGGAGGTGACCAGGTCCCTTCCGACGATCTCCAGCCGCAGCCCGATGTCCTCGCCGAAGAACTCGTGGTTCAACAGGTCCTTCACTTTCGGCCTGAACGAAGCATATCGTAGTCAAGTCACAAAGGATCATCGCCGGCTGCGGATAACTGTACGGTACATGTTGACGAGAAGCTCATATTGACGACCCGAATGGCGTAGTGGGTAGTGTATCTGCCACCTGAAAGGTTGTGGCTTCGATCCCCACTACTGGAAAAATATTGAGTTATGAACATAGTGTTTTTCTAGTGTCTGGGTAGACAGCCGGCATATAGACATATATGTATAATATGTATTTATTTACAAAAGTAAAATATCTTTAAGTATGTTTATCAGTTATCTAGTATTCATAGCACATTCGTTACTTCTGCGCTCGAAGAAACTTATCAGAGTTCAAATTCAAAGTGTATGGATTACGCGAATTGAATACGAGATTTTAGTTCACAATAATATTATAAAATGCGTGTTTAATGTAGATTGAACTAAAAACGATATTTGAAATTTCAGTTACACAATTCCAGATTGCATTTAAATAACGATTTTCTCAATTTTGGTCCGTCTACGATAAATATATCAGATTTTTACATCTACAGTACACACGAGTAACATACCTGAATCCAATTGTAGAAGCCGTGATATAACAAATGTAAATAAAATAAATAGGAACAATAAACTTTTGCCGCATTAGACAAAATTTCGGGCCAACATAATGGTCGAATATGACCAAGCGCGAAAACTTAAAAGATTAGATGATAAACTTATTATTAAAATCAAACACAAATCAAACATTTTACCGGTCCGCTTTGTTCGGCCTGATGCAGGACTCGATGATATCCCTCACTTCCGGTATGTTCACCCTCTCCAGACTCTGCGGCTTCACACCCTGGGGGATAACATTGCGGACATGTAATGAACAGTTGCACAAATGGACGCTTCCGCCAGGGGAAGTACCACGGCCTCACACAAGACTGGCGTGAATTTCGAAAGACACTTTGACGGCTAACACATAACTGTAGTCACAAGACAGATCCAGGCCGTTAGTTACATCGTCGTTATTAAGTGGTTTCAACCAGTCGTTATGGAAGCAACTAGTTTGCGTAACCAACGGCCGCGCGTCGAGTATAGGAACCGGGCGCAAGAGGCGGCGGTACCGACCGAGACGACCTTCTTGTAGATCTGCGCCGGGCCGCTGCACTCGCTGTAGGGGTACTCGCCGGTGGCCATCTCCAGCATGCACATGCCGAACGCGTACACGTCCACCGACTCGTCGTAGTGCTCCTCGTACATCTCCGGCGCCATGAACTCGGGCGTGCCTGCGGACGGCGACTCCATCAATCCGGATATACGCTCGCTTATTGATACCTGATCGTTAGCGGTGTATGAGAGCTCACCGATGACGGACTTGGCGAAGCTCCTGTTCTTGAGTGTGGCCAGGCCGAGGTCGCCGATCTTCACGCTGCCCGTGGTGCCGGTTATGAAGATGTTGTCGCACTTCAGATCTCTGCACAACAAGGCGCACTTTGGAACAACGATCCACTGCTCAAAGACAATATTAAAGCGTACAAGGGCACACGGGACAAGTGTTTGTGTGACCTACAGATGCTCCAGATCAGGCGTTTTTAAGATTTTTTTTTTTTTTATGTGAAAAGTTGCCAAACGAGCAGACGGTTCACCGGATGTTAAGTGAAGACCGCCGCCCATAGACATCTGCTACACCCGAGGGTTTGCAGATGCGTTGACAACCTTTTTGGAAACTGGGCTGCGGCTACCTCACTCACCAGACGAAATGCGAGAGTATTTGTCATACTTCCACTTTACGCCGGTCTTCTGTGAGGTCGTGGTACTTACCCAGACGAGCCTGCCCATTCGTGCAACAGCCAAGGCTGCTGCGTGGCTCTACCACCGTTAAGTTTTTAAGATGTTTGTACATGTAAGGGGATCTTACAACACAGGATAATGTTATCCTAAAGTAAGGGTAATTTTACATAATCAATATCTTAAAAATGTTTCAACACTGCATTAATTCTAGAATTACGGTTATAATTAAAAAGAAGCCTTATAATATAAGGATAAGCTGTGGCTTACCTATGAATGATAGGAGGTGTTCTAGAGTGAAGAAAATTTAGACCCTTGAGAATTTGCCGGCACCATGACTTGAGCACTTTGGGATTGATCTTTTTGAATCTTCGCAGATAACTGAAAAAAAATTTACAATAACTTCTATGCTAGAACAAAAGGCAAACCAAATCTATTGTGATAAATCATTTTATATTGTAAAAAACAGTTTTTTTATATGATAATTTGGGAACGGAACAGGCAGGCCATCTGATGCTAACGTGTAATAACCACCACCTAAATACATCTACAACTTTTGGGACAGCAGATGCATTACCAACTTTTTAAAGAACTTGCCTCCGAATACCTCACTCACCAGGCGAAACGCAAAATATACTTTTCACAAAATGCACTTCCACTTCACATCAGTCTTCTGCGAGGCCGTGGTACTTCCCCAGATGAGCCTGTCCATTAGAGCAACAGCATAAACTGCTGCGCGACCCTACCATAGCACTTTTTAAGTTTTAAATATTGAACAAATCTATATATATATATTTATATATATATATATATATATATATATATATATATCTAAGTCGAGATGAACCATTTTAAAGTAATTTATTATTTAGCTGCAGCACATAGCATGTCGACAGGCGCAATAAATGCAGCATAAATACACACTTACGCCTTCAGAGTGCCGGAGAGCATGAGCTCCGTGATGAGGACGATGTTCTTCTTCTTGGCGACGGTGCCCTCCCAGTAGTTGTAGAAGCGCACGATGTTCGGATGCTGCAGCTTCTTCAGCATGTCCGCCTCCTCGCGGAAACGGAGGCGCTCCGTCTTGTTCAACTTTTTCTCCTGTTATCGGTTTAATGGTTTTAATTCAGTTCAGATATGTAACAATGTACTGTTAAATACCAGAGTTCCAATTTATCGAATTTCCTCTGCAGAAATACTACAGTCTTGGATGGTAGCATGTCATAATTTTTTTCTGTTGTTCCCTATAGAGTTAAAAGTTATTGGAACTTACAGATTTCCTGTTAGATAGAATTTGCTACAAATGATTTATACTTTTAAATAGAAACAATTGGTTTCCACATCCAAATAATTATTTGATAATTCTCATACTGACCAACAACTCACACCAGGCCACTGCTACCCCTGTCTGAGTGTCCAGCCCATGGTACACGGTCTTGAATGAACCCCGACCCACCTCCTTATCATACTTGAAGAACCTGTATGTACATTTTATTAATATCTTATTAAACATACATTAGTATAAAAACAAAATGTTACATTAGTCTTAAACATTTAGTGACACCATTATACTATATTTTTTGGTAAAAATACTAATGGTTTATACAATAAAACATATTTTTACTATTATAAAATTGAAAATTCAGTAGCTATGGTATTGTAACGCATTTGATTTTACCACATAAATGATTCAATGATTGGGGAAGTACACAAGTATAGCCTCGTAGAGGTCATGCATTAGGTAGAAGTATTAATACTGGACGTAACGCAAAAGGTGTTAAGTCCAGTGAGGAAACAAACTGAAGGTCCATTAGATATGATTTGGACGACTGTTAATATATTGCAAACTAGACGCTAGTTTTGAAACAAACGCAAGGAACAGATAGTAGGGATAGCATCGGAACCACATTACCAGTAAGAATTATGACGAACGACGAACTAGGGAGTTGTATATAAAATAAATACACACACAGCACAGTACCGCGATGAATCACAGAATCGTAATAATATTAATGTATAAATAAGTATTTCTTTGAATTATCAATGAAAGGTATCTTATTACGAGGAACAGTCTACTTTACTATCTTTCATTGAAATAAATTGTTAAAAGAAAATATCCTCTATATTTTAAATCAGTGTTTTTTATGAAAACATTAACTTTTTCTACCTGCATTCTTTTCGTCAATACGTGCAAACAAGATTTAATAAGATGTTTGATTCATTAAATTTGATGAAGAATTATGTAAGATATGTTGTACCGACAAAAAACACCTTTGAGAAATAATATATAGAGAATATTTAAGGTTACTTACCTGCCACACGGCGACACGCCGATGGGCTCCTCCTCATCTTCCTTATCCTGCTTCTGTTTGTCCTTCTCAAGCTCCAGTTTGTCATAGATGGGGCCGTAGACCAAACCTGTAAATCACAGAACATTCAATCTTCTCTTGTAAATTTGCCTACTTTCTTTTCAAATGCATATTTATTCACAGCGAGAGCAGCACGATGCCATGTTGCAGCAACTGATATTGGTGTCATTAATGACATAAAAACAACAATTATCTTGACGTCTAAATATTGATGATTCACCATCGTATTACTACACTAGAAATTGGCGATAAAATAAATGGGAACAGGTGTGATTCAAAAGGAGAATACAGTCCAAATAATGCCGAAGATACAAACAGGAAGTACATATTGTATAGATAACGGTTTAGTCAGGGTCCAGTGACACTTTACAGTAAATCAGTTGTTAAATTAGTATTTATCTTATAATTTAAATCCCGGCGATAAAGGACGATGTAATCTTCATATGCCGCGCTTTATGGTAATTTGGCCTAAATTGTGAGTGAAGTAGCTAAAGTATTGTGAATTGTGATAGACGACTCAAAAGCCCTTTGTTACTTACATTTGTGTTCAAATACCATAACACAAGTACATCCGTAAATACGTTTTTTGTTCTCATTTTTATTTTTAACGGAGTACTTTTATGATTTACTTATTTTATTGAATAGTTTTGGTACTTTATGCTACTTCCCAAAGTCCTTTTTTCCATTCATGTTCATAATATTTACAACTCTCCATCTTTAGGTTTTAACTTGTGGCAAGATCGAATCCCTACTGGATTAATTATCCGATCTAGGGATAGAAAAAGAGAATTAATTACCATTCTGTTGCTCCTGTGGCTGTTCGCCGCCGGTGTCGTCGGTATGTGGGAGGCCCTTCTCGGTCGCTGTAGCTATTTCGATGTTCTCCTCCTGGAATAGGTCGAGAACATAAGACGCTTTAGTACTTAAAAAAAAATGGTGCAACCTCTAAGCTAATTTCGCGAACAACAATTAGATTTGTACATCTTTAACACTACTTAATAATCAAATATTGATCACATCAACAATTTGTTGAAATGTTATTTTTTTTTTTTATTTAAATGCGAATCCCGAATCAGAAAATGCATCACGCAATGTGCACACAGACCCCTGCTCGGGTATCGTATTAGTTATCAATGAGACACATATTTCTTAAGAATGTTAATGTTAATGTAATGAAGTAACTATAATGGGAGGTGAAGTCAGTAGATAAGTGTTCAAAAACTAGCGCTGGCCAGTGCAGTTTACATTACAAAAACATTTTTTATTACAAAAAAACATAAACAACTGCAAATATCTCACCAAGTATATATTTGCTCTTTGATTTTGAGGAAAGCCCTCATATATGACATATATATCAGGAGTCCAAAGCAAACAACCAATGAAATCTGTTGATTCGTGAGACCACGTGGTTTTGCAATCCGGTTGAATCAAAAAATTGAACCGCATAGAGAAACCTCCTTCATTTTCGAAGTCGGTTGAAGGTCGTCAAGTGGCGGTCGTTGCACCCACCAGGTCCTGTTCGGAGATGAACGCGTCGTCCTCTAGGCGCGCGACGAGCTTGTTGCCGCTGTCGTCCAGCTCGGGGTCGCAGAGCGCGCCCTGGCCAGAGCTGCGCCTGCGGTACCCGCCCACGCCCACGCCCACCCCCACCACCGGCTGGCTCGCCTGCAACATCAAACACGTTTTAAGTCAGGTAATATTTTTTAACTATGGTAGGGCCACGCATGAAGCCTCGGCTGTTGCACGAATGGGCACGCTCGTCCGGGTGACTACCACGACCTCACAGAAGACGGGCGTAAAGTGGAAGTATAAACACTTTAGCCGGAGCCGAATTTTCACTTAACATCAGGTGAACCACCTGTTCGCTTGACAACTTTTCACATGAAATTTATATTCACTTTATCGAGAGGTGACAACGCATTTATAACCCTACGGTTGCAAATCTCTATGGACGGCGGTTATCACTTCAGGTGAACCACCAGCTCGCTTGCCATCTTCTTACATAACAGATAACACCTTGTGTTGTAAGGACGTTTTACGTACATAAATTTCACGTGGAAAAAGACCCAGAATCCGAAACAATTATCTGTGGGTTACACAAATAGTTTTAGCGCGTGGGAATAGAACCCACTACCCCCGGCGCCGAACCTTGGCAACTGCGCCACGGAGTCATCGAAAGGTATCAGCATAGTGAGAGAACCATATCCATTCCACGAGACTGAATTAATAAATTGGCGATGTTCACCTAAGAATGAGGTAGGAATGAGTAGGACAAGAAAATTTCCCCTGGACCGTTGAGTTAACCAGGTGATTTACGCACGACACTAGTGGTGAGGGAGTTCAGCATGTCGAAGGTGTTGCTCTGCTGCGTGTGGATTATAGCCAGCGCGTTGTATGGCCGCGGACCGAGCACAGGAGCCTTCATCACGCCCACCTCGCTGCCCACCACCACCTGAAAACACTCTCATATCACCAACAGAACAGACTTTTGTTTGGTAGTACGGAGCCTTGACGAACTAACTCCCATATTCAGCACAGGTTATCACTCCATCTAGTAGGGGTCGTCGTGCGATGGCCAGTACGAGGCTGCCACTCGAGAACCTTTCTTCGTCAACGGTATGTCGATGGATGCCAGTGACTCAGGATCATGCTTCGTCACAGTCTGTGGGGAAGGCCTATGTTCAGCATTGGACTCTCAGGCTGAAATGATGATGATGATTCAGAATTTAGACGGATGTTATGTGGTGCAGTGAAACCGAGCCGCGATTGGGATTGATCGTCCGGGAAAAGCGCCACGTCTTCACAAAAGACCACCGTGAAGTGGATGTATTGTGCTTTTGATGTTCCTCTGCTAAGTGAGGTAACTGAAGCCCACTCGTTCAAAAGTTAGCTCCATAGGTGCTGCCGAAATAGTTTACAATTAGGTGATCTTACCGCCAATCGGTTTTTCACATAATAAAATTGTAGATTTTAAACTGAAGAAATACGAAGCAGCATGTCTTAAGAATGAATTTTTAAATAAATAACGTCATATAAAAAAAAAAAAGATTTTTTTTCTTTATAAATATATAAGCTATAAGTACTATGCACGAATATTCTTTGCTACTGAGTAAATTTTTAAACAGAAACCACTAATGACAACGAGTAAGAAACAAAATTATCAAAACTTTGGCGAGTTTCGAAATAATAAACAGACGTCAGTGCGAGACGGGGTCCGAACGCTAAGTGCGAATGCAAACTCATCTCACCCACCCACCCTGATGAAGGACCTCCGATAGGTCCGAAACTAGTCGGCACGTACACCGATTGGACGTGTGTACAGCAGTTTTATTATTTCGTAATCAAGCAGAAAATAGCATAATGTGAAAGTACTAGCATTATTTGGCAATAGACATTAGGAAGCTCATTGTCCAGGCGCGCTCAAGCCGTAATAGATTAGCACGACATTATCCGGGCGCTCGCTTTCAATTTAATATACGCTAGCAACCTGAGTTCGATCGCCGGCGCAACAATGAAATTGTTAATTTTAAGTGCACGGAAAACATCGTGAGAAAACCTGCATATTTTCGAAATAATAGCAAAAAAAATTTCGCAGATATGTGAAGTCCGCCAATCCGTAGGGCTACGTGGTGGGTACAAGTAAAAGTAGTTACTTTAGACATAGAAAGGTTAAGCGCAATTCGTACTACCTTCAAGAAGAGAGCGTACTCTTTCCTAAAAGGCCGGCAACGCATTTGTAAGCCCTCGGGTGTTGCAGATGTCCATGGGCGGCGGTGATCACTTACCACCAGGTGAGCCTCCTGCTCGTTTGCTGCTTTCCCATAAAAAAAAAAAACTTCCTACCTTGAAAGTCTTCTCTTTGCCGTGGATCGTCTTCTCCTTAGTCGGCAGCACCGAGGAGTCCAAGTGGTGCGCCGGTTGCGAGATCTGGTGGCCGTGGCCGTGCAATCCGGACGTCATCTGGTGTTCGTACGTTTATGTCAACTCATTGGGAACAACATCGATGTATATTGATGTATATTACACAGTAACTTCTTAAATTTACCTTCACATATAGATGAAGTTCGAAATAAAATGGAAATTAAATTTTTTTTGTAAGATGAACGGGAAGTTTTCCGCCATATCTATCTCTGCACTTAAGATAAAACATCAAAATGTGTAGAAAGAAGTTTTCGTCCAATCAACTGTTTAGCTTAGTGTTTAAAGCGTCTGGGCGCGAATTCGGAATTCAATTTTCGAATTCGGGGTTCAATTCCGGCAGCGGCGAAAAACCTTTCTTCTACACATATTAATGTTTCGTCTCAAGTGTGAGAGATCAGCTCTATAAAAATTAAAAAAAAAAGAAATTGGTAAAAGGACCTCTACTTATTTACAACATAACATCAGCAACGAAGTAAAACCATTGTATCTCCATGAAGAGGGCGAGCCGACAGACAGCGCTTTTCACCCTCCGCCCATAGTGGTCTGAATGATTCCTCGCCAGAAAAAAAAAAGCGCTAACAACAGAAGTTACTTCTTTACGTCGGTCTATTGCGAAGCACATCCTTGATCAAGCCAGCTTAATACGAGACAAAAGCCGCAGCACGGCTCTACCACAGTAAAATCAATTTTTCATACAAAACTCACGATTAGTTGTATATTTGGCGGACGAAGTGCGAACTCTGAGTATTTATGAAATAAAATATATAACTTTGTGAAATTCGGTCTTATCAAGCCTACATAAAAATAGCATCATTGTACAGCTCAATATTAACAGTATCCTGCGACCCCCTACAATTGCGTCACTGTTTTATTACCAATCACAATTTACCACTCTTCAATTATCGCAATAAGACTGGAAGGGACAAATTGTCACATTTACATTTTTTGCAGTGAAAATCACGTATGAAAATGCATCAGTACCTTTTATAAACATTGCCGGCAGTTTACTATTTGTATCATTGAATATAAACCATTTTTTTCGTAAATAGAAACGGCGACTCTTCCGGTCGCAATCAGTAATGACATTAAATTTACCAATAAAGTAACTTTTAACGCTATTCTTTCGCACACCTAATAACCTAGTACAGGGGAGGGCCTTTGCCCACCAGTGGGACACATACAGACTTTTTGACTTTACATTATTTTACGTGGCTCACCAGCATCATTCTATTATCATCAGTGGACAAAACAGGATGAAATGACGTTGATGATAAAAATTTACGTAATAAAATTTTATTACATTTCGTAAAAGGTAAATTGATTAAGCAAAATTGTATCCTCTAAGCTTGATAATTTTGTTAAATCTTTTAAAGGTCTGTAACAATAACCTATTAATGTATTGTTGTATGTTAGATGTGTCTTATCATTCAGCTTCCGGTAGGCTCGAGCTAAAAATAACTTGTTTCCTATTTGGAATGCGCTGCGTAATAAACTTACCAAGTACTCGCATTTGTTACATCATAAACATTTCTGTGAAATTACTGTTCTCACTTAAATAACACTTAAAATCGACACGAAATAAAACGTAAAATGTAATTCGAAATTGATTATATTAATTATTTTATAAAAAAAAACTAAATTAACCTATTTTTTAACTGACAGATTTGAGATAAACGTAGTAAGATATCAACGGCCGGTTTCAATACTCAATATACAGATAGATTTAGTTACTGGAGATAGAATTTTAACGTAAATATTATAGATCAATGTTAAACACCTATCGATAGTAACCAAATCTATCTGCAGATAGAATATTGAAAACCGATAGAAATTGTAAACCGTTCCATTAGCCATCGACAGTCGAAAGCGAACGGAACGCAATTGACAGAAAAAAGGGCGCGAAAACCCCACGCGCCAAAACAAACAACGCAATTCCCATTCAGCTCGAGATAAGGTACACGGGACGCGGGCGGCGTGGCGCGGACAACGCCGGCCGAATCTCTACTAGCGGGCATCTTGATAACGCGAGAACTTATCGTCTCTGACGTAATGTAATTTCGCGCTGACAACAAAGGTTGCGCGCTCGAATTACGCGGAGTACGCCGTAATCGAACGCTGATACGCAAATTGGGACATCGACTGGAGCTGACGCATTGTCGAACGGAGACATTAGACGTTTAGAAAAAAAAATATTTAAGTGGGGCCCCCATAAATCACACATGATTATTTTGCCGTTTGTAGAGATACTGGTACGGGACCCTTCGTGCGCGAGGTCGACACGCACTTGGCCAGTTTTTTTTAGTTTCAGTGTTAAATTTCCGGTGCACCTTACCTTACGCTTTTAGCTTATTAAACGGAGAAAAATTTTTATGAGACAAGTGAGCATGTGATTCACCTGATATTAAATGAATACCGCCGCCTACAAAACCCGATGGCTTGCTGATGTGTTAACAACATTTGAAAATGCCCCGGTTACCTCACTCAACAGACGAATTGAGAAAGTTTAACTTCACTTCTACTTCACGCCGGTCTTCTGTGAGATCGGACCTGCCCATTCTGTGTAACAGCTAAAACTGTTGCGTGGCACAGTTAAAAGAATATCGATAATTCAGTAAAAAGAGTTCTAGTAAAACGCATAAATAGGAGCGTTACGAAGTCAACACCGGATTCAATAAAGCGAATCGCCGCAGCAGCGGTCCAAATTGAGTAATAATGGGCTCTTGTGACCGCCGGTCGCGCTCGTACCAGTCAAATTGGATGCGGTCCTGTGCTACCTCATTGCACACTCTCGTCTGCAAATGGTTTGATCGCTCCGCGCAATTGGAGTGAATTGGTGCGGGAGTGAGCGCACCGGGAAGCGGACGCCTTTGGCGCGCCAAAACGTGCGCGCCAAAAGCAACAGATTATATTATTCTCGTCCACCAGAAGCGACAGATTATCTTGCGCAAACAGATTGCGACCGGATAGAAGATGAAGCCGCTTTGGAAAATCAATTGAACGTTCGAGAACAATTTGTGTATATTTTGTTCGTAATTTATTAGGTCTCCAAAAAAATAAATACGAAGAAAGGTTTTTAATGCTTATCCACTTCGGATAAAGTATGATTCGGTATTTCCGTAGCAACTTTAAGAGAACCTGTTGCAAATAAAATGGATCCTTTTGTAGCTTTTGGAGGGTAACTCCCATCTATCACCCTTCACCTATTTAATTATTTTTGATATTATATATTTTTACGACGGACGGTCGGACAAACGGTACCCAAGTGTATGTGATCATAGATCATTACCGGCTTACGTTTATATTTCTTCGTCCGACATTTCGTTATCACTGCCTGTAACACTTGTTATAAAAGCGTCTGCTACAGTGTCTATAACTTGATGGAGATTTCATTTTCTCCCTTTATTATATGACTCCATCTTTTAACAGTCAACTTAAGTCCTTCCCAAAAAAAGGTTTTGTTTCTCGGTAACATGTTTTCGCCTGCGTCCAAACCATATGATCATAGGATCATGATAGGATTGATTTCACTGTGGTAAATCAAAGCGGCTTTACGCCTGCTACCTTGCAAGCGTTAAACGAATTCTTTTAATTCGGTTAATAAACCGTCACACTACACAGTAACACTTATAACAGAATTCAAAATTAATCAAATATTGATAGTGGAAGGAAAACAAGATGGAGCAAAGAATCAACAGAGATCAACAAGTCAAACGTCTGCTACATCAATGACAATTATAACAATAAACACTAAGGAATTTTCGACCTAAAAATAGAAAAATTACGTTCCTCCAGTGACTGGGAAGTAATAAAAGGACCGTGTGAATTTTTGTTGTACTGATAATACGTTTTGAGAATATCAATGATCGTAATTTAGAAAAATATCAATTAAGAACGCTAGATCATCAATTTTAACTGTGGTGGGGGAACTGAAACATTCTTCGCTGTTGCACGAATGGGCAGCTCCATCCGGGTAAATACCACGAACTTACAAGACTCATCCGCGAGAAGTGGAAGTATTAGTTAAGGGTTCTGCCTTTCGTCTGGTGAGTGAGGTTTTCGGAACCAACTTTATTAGAAGGTGGCCACGCATCAACGACAAAACCAGTCGAGCAAACCCTTACTAATAGAAAATTATACACCGGTATAAGGAATAAAATAGGTCACAGTTAAGAGCCTTGTGGGACTATACCTTGTAGGACTTCACATAGACGTATTAATCCTGCTTATATCACTGCCTTTTAATGTCAGTGGTGCTTTACATTCTTTACTGCAGGAGCAAAGGTTAAAAATATTCTTTCAATATTATTTTAAGACTTTTAGTGCCTATATGGATTTCATAAAATCAAACTGGTGAGGGGAAAGTGAACTTATTTTAAATTATGTAGCGACTAAGCTTAGTTGAGCCGAAGCTCTTCGCGATGGTACAGAACACTGTGGTTTATCAGATTTGACAAGTTTTGTCGCAATTTTTGATAGAATTAATTCACATTTTAACTCATAGAGCCGGGTGGGCTTTTCGAGGTTACATTAAGTGCTAAACAGACTGTGGCTTTCCTCGCAGTTATTTAATTTTTTGGCCGTTATCATCATCTATACTTCTACTTATTACTTTCATCATCATAGTAATTTCAGACTGTTCATGTTCATTGTTGGACCTATGTTGAGCAATGGATTGCGTCACGGGTTGCAATCCAGCATTGCGAAAAGCTTGGGCTCAACTAAGTTTAGTCGTTTTATAATTTAAAATAAGTTTAGTCTACATTCCCCTCACCACTTTGATTTTATGAAATCCTAGTCTAGGGGAGTTTAAATGAAAACATAATGCTAAACGGTGAAGGGTGAAATCCCTTCTCAAACCATCACTTTAATAATAATTTTGTCGTTGGATATGGGAAGCTTAGTCGATCACATGGCCCGGGAAAATGATAAATGGTGAGAATGTAACAATACCAAGTGAAGCCTTCACTTCTGCCAGCTAGTACGTAAGCGGGCGAACAGTGTCCGATTCCATTACATGCGTCACTAGCATCGATACTATTTTTAATCGAGCGCACGCTTGTACAATCGTGAATAAATTTGTATTAGATCATTTGTTGACAGTCGGGCACGGACGCTCGGCTGTTTGGTCAGCGGATTCGTATCAGACGGTGTTGGCGCAATTTGCTCCATTGACATTAGCATTTATTTACCTATACGCAATTGACACAAAAAAAAAGATATTTAAAACAAACGGACGGAGATACTGCGTGGTTTATGGTAAGGCACGATGGCAAAAGAAATCAGTTCAATTTTTAGCGACAACCCCCTATGAATATGCGCGTTGATAGTGAGGTGATAAAAGCGTTGTCAGCCTATGAAGGAGTGACCACAAGAAAAACAAGAGTTAGAAAGAAAATTTACATTAAATGAAGATATCAGTTTTATTTTTGGGTAAGGGCTAAAAGTTCAAGAAAAACTATGGTGAATCAATGGAAATGTATTCAATGGTTTGTCCGTTATTGGCGCTTAACGGCAGACCTCTATCATTTTATTTAGCTTAACGGAATCCCATGTCACATCATCGATGATTTAAGGATATACCATGGATTTGCAATCAGTTTCGTCTAATGTTATAAAATCAGGTTCAACATTTAAAATAAAGCAAAATAACTCTTTAGACATACGATTCAGGATGTCGATACTGCATGTATTATGCTATGACACAATCAGTCGTTAGTTTGTTTAACATTTATATACTGTGAGTACTTTTTTTAAATATTTGCTCTTGATCTCCACATCAACCATTGAGTAAAAACTATGCAATGATACTCTTTTCAATGCAAAACAAACAACAGCCCAAGGGTTGTTTGCGATGTCTTGTCGAGACTTTTTATCTGTGTCAAAACTGCCAACTTGTTAAACAGTGAACATTTTTAATAAACTTCAAGTACCAACTAACCATCGACTTGCAAAAAACTTCTACGATAAAAAGGAAATATCATCGTGCGCATGAATACATGCCTATTTTTATGATATTGTTGTTTATAAAAAAAAAATTGTTTTCAACGATTTATTGGGAAACACAAACGGACAAAACTCCATTAAGTACTAATATTATCGTCACAACTTTTGTAACACGTCGAATGGTAACTTGGTCGGCATCAATGGTAAAGATGCAGAAAATTTAAACGTACAAATTTTATTCAGCATCTTGATATTTTTTTATGTGAGAAGGTGGCAAGCGATCTGGCGGTTCACTTAATGTTAAGTGATAACCGCCGCCAATGGAAATTTGCAAATGCTATCCATTCATCCATGTATTGACGACCTGTGCAAGTGTGCGAAAGCCGATTGATGAAGGTGGCTCAGGATCGTTCTTCGTGGCTGTCCGTGGGGGAGGCCTATGTTCAGCGTGGACACAGACAGGCTGAAAAAATGATAATGATAATCGACACCTTAGACCCAAACGTGACAACTCATTGTTCTACCCACATAAGATTTTACAACCGATCGCAAGTATGGCTACAAGACGACAATTATTTCCAGTATGTTTAATAATCGGTAACTTAAATAGAATGTTTTATTTGTTCTTATAAACAACTTACACATAGCATCTTATAATGAAATGTTTAATTTAAATACATGTCAAATTAATGTTATTTTTTTTTATCATTGCCCTTACTTTAGGATAACATTATCCTGTGTTGTAGGGACATTTTACAAACATAAATTTCACGCGGACAAACACCCAGATGCGAAACAACTATCTGTGGGTCACACAAATAGTTGTCCCGTGTGGGAATCGAACCCACGACCCTCGACGCCGAAGCCAATACCTTGGCAACTGCGCCAAGCAGTCATAAAGATGTTTAGTAACAATAAGAAAAAGCTTCAATCGTATAATGAATGCTACGTCTTGAATAAGTCCGAAGGGCCTGTAAACTTTGTGGTGTTAATTATAGAAGCGAATTGGCTGCGAATTGTGTGTAAACATCACTATTTGGGAAATAAGCTAATTTCAGTTTCGATAACAGAT